GGGTGAACAACATATCCAAAAATCACCCAGATCAGACCAGGGGTTCGGGAAATGTATGGAGGGAATAAAATGACCGACCGCACTAACTGAGACAGCCGAATGAGGTTCCATGCGACTGGGCCCTGCGGTCGGTCCTGGCATAAGGGAACAAAATACACGAAAGCCTCTAGCTATAGAGGCTAGGGAGGGTTCGCCTGAATCCCCTCGTTCGGTACTTTCTATCTACCGAACGAGGGGCCGTTCGGTAGTTTGGAACCGAACGGACCGGGCTTGTGGAGGTCTCAGCGGTGTTCGCCTACTCGAGTGTCCGATTTTTAGTTCCAGACACTCGATGGCAAAACACCGCTGTTCGGGAGTTTTAAAATGGCCGCCGCCACGTGTTCGTTTGTCGAATGGCGGCCACCCCCGAGAACAAAGGACGGCTACTTACTAGTCAATTACCCGTTCGCAACAATATTGACCCCCATAGAGTGAGGGAGGACATGGGGGCACTTCTATTTTTACATATTACAAGGAGGGAGTTGTGCGTCGGTAGCTCCCTCCTTGTAATAAACTGAACAAACGAACGAAGAGGTCTTCATTCATTCGTTTGAAATTTCTATTAATTTATTTGTTTTTCTGATGAATGAATAGATCAAATTCCTGTTCGCATGCCCAAGTGTATAACGCATGCGTGGGAATTTCACAGCTCTATCTAGTGTGAGCAGATGACTAGGGGGACAATTAAATGTAGTGGAGTCGGGAGGGGGGGTTAAAAAAATGGGGTTCGGCATTCCTGCCGGGACTGAGCGCATGAGATTTCCGGGGTATCGAGAGCACGGGGGTACAGAGATACGTCCACCTATACGATAAGGGGAAATTAAAAACGTTTGAACACCTGAAAACCCTAGCCCCCCTGACCACGAAAGACGTATTCCGCTATATCCAGCTTAAGGACTTTGCCAACGGCCCAGAGATCAAACAGGCAGCACACACACCCATGACGTTTTTTGAACGACTGTGCGACGCCGAGACCGAACAGAAAGGACTGATCACACTTCTGTACGCACACCTCAGTGCCCCAGACAGAAACACCCCGGACCCCAGATACATTAGACAGTGGGAGACTGATCTGGGTGGCGCGTTAGAGGGTGAGGACTGGGTAGATATATGGGAGGCGGCTGCAAAGTCGTCAATCTGTGTTCTCCACCAGGAACAATCATATAAAATGTTAATGAGATGGTATACCACACCAGTACAATTATACAGAATGGGGCAAACTACAACAGACACGTGCTGGAAGGGATGCGGACATAAGGGCACATTTGTGCATATGTGGTGGGAATGCCCAGTCATAGGCAGGTATTGGAAACAAGTACAGACTTTATTAACGGACGTCCTGGGTAGACAGGTGGACATGGACCCTTGGTCCGTCCTGCTATCTAGGCCGATAGATGGCCAACCCAGACACGAACAACTCCTATTCAACAAAATCACCCTGGCGGCCAGACGGGCACTAGCCCAGGCGTGGCGGGCACCCTCAGTCCCGACAAACACCGACGTCATCTTGAAAATTAAAGACACTTACTTAATGGACAAACTCACTGCCCAAATAAGAAACACGGAAACGAAGTTCCACAAAGTCTGGCAACCATGGGAGGAATACATAGGCGACTAGGACACACAGCACTTGACGAGAGCAAGAGACAGGGCCCGCCGCGTGCTCCTCCCCCCCCCCCTCGGGGGCGGTTGGGGGAACCCCGTGCGGCCCCCCCTCCCTTTTTTTTTTTTCTCTTCTCTCCTCCCTCTCTTTCCACCTCCTTCCCCCCTGCCTCCCCAACCCTCACCACACAATACCACAACCACGCAGACACCACCTCCTAAAGGAGAGACGTAGTCTCTTCGAACCTTGATGGAGGGCGCGACCCCAGAAGCAAGCTCAAACAGCAAAGAGAGGCCCTGCTGATGGGGATGCTGCCCCAGTGACACCCCACCGACATTATCAGCAGATCAAGGGGGCTCCTCTCACGCTACACCACCACACCCGAGGTAGGCCCCGTGGAGCAGGAACGGGGGCAAGGATCCTCTCCCCACACACGCTCCACTCCACATCCGTCTCCCTACACGGACACCACGCCAGCTGGGGCACAACCAGTTACCTACACCTCACTAAAATGCATCTTTCTGCTAGCAAACCACACTGCCACAACCAGGCTCTACCAATAGATATAAAAAGCAAAGACACGATCAAAGCACTGTACAACTTTAGTAAGGCAGCATACTGCACCACACGCTTCTGTATGCACTGAGTGCTGGGCATATATCTATATGTATGTAAAATGTGCAGATATATCAACTGCCACTGTCATACTGTATACGATTATACTTTTGCTCCTACTGTCGTGGCAGGGTAAGACTGATTGTTATATGTGCACAACCAAAATAAAGAATTAAAAAAAAAAAAAAATTGGGTTCGGCCATGACAGTGCCGCTTTAATATATAGTACAAATCTCTAATCTCCAATCACAGAAAAAGCTGCAAATGCATCTACTCCTCAACATGCAAAAATTAAAACAATGCGTAGGGACACTCTATTGCCCAAATAAAAAAAACAAATAAATCACTATTTTGTTTAAATGCTCCCAGTGAAAACAAGATATCTGCAGCTTTTGCAAGCTATTTCTAGATATAGCCCTACTGAAACAAAGCATAATTAAATACATGCATGTCTGCATTTCTATTGAATTTTTAGAGTGGAGACCCACGCGGCACTGTAAATAAGGTAAGTCCTATTACCTTTTAAGGGACCTAAGGGGAGCAAGCCACTTAAATGGTGGTTTTAACACTATAGGGTCAGGAATACATATTTGTGTTCCTGACCCTATAGTGTTCCTTTAAATAGTATATAACATACAATAAAGAGGGTCAATATAATTTATAACTTTATTTTTTATTTATATTTTCTATCTCTTGTATGTTATAATAATAAATGGCTTCATATGATCAATATCCTTCACTAAAATACATTTTGCATGATCAGTCATATTTTCAAAATCAGTGCCAAAATTTCACAATTTCTGCCAGGGTTTTCAAACTTTTGAGCACAACTGTATTAGTTAAAATTGTGTCCATCATTAAAGTAAATGTATGGAAAATTTAAAGCAGACTCAATATGTTCCACAATGCTATAATTCAATCTCAGAATGCTATATGCACAACACATGATCATTTTGATCATTGCCATTTTGATAGGCCATCTTATGACATATTTGAAAATCATTTAAAATTGGGTTCTACACCTTTTGAATCTCATGGGGTGGGTGGCATTTAGGGTGGATTTTTATTGTATGTATTGGGGCTGATGTGTAATATAGTCATTGCTGCCGGCCAGGAGTAGTTTGAGTTTGAGCGCAGGGTTTAATTTTGTATGTTTACATTTGCTTTTGTATCACACAGCCACTGGTGTACATACCGCGGTCGCAGGGGTTGCAGCTGCGACTGGGCCCGGCCCACCAGGGGGCCCAGCCGACCTGCGATCTGGTATGTATGCCACTGTGGCCAGCCTCTTCTCCTGGGGGGCCTAGTAGTTGGCCACCTCAGGGCCCTGCGAGGTGCGTCATATTCCGGCATCAATAAGCAGCGCCGCTGGACCCCAGGGAATCCCCTCAGCACTCCCAAAGGTAGGGAGGCTGGGGGATTACATTAAAAAAAAGTGTGTATGTGTGTTAGCATTAGTGTGTGTATGTGTGTTAGCATTAGTGTGTGTATGTGTGTTAGTATTAGAGTGTGTGTTAGTGTTAGTTTTTGTGTCAGTGAGTGTGTTAGTTTTTGTGTGTTACTGTGTGTTAGTTTGTGTGTGTCTGCTAGTGAGTGTCAGTGTGTTAGTTTGTGTCAGTGAGTGTGTGTGTCAGTGAGTGTGTTACTGTGTGTCTGTTAGTGAGTGTATGTTTGTCAGTGAGAGTGTATGTTTTGTGAGTGTGTATGTGTGTCTGTCTGTCAGTGAGTGTGTATGTATGTCTGTCACTGAGTGTCTCTGTCAGTAAATGTGTGTCTGTTAGCTAGTGTGTATGCGTCTGTTTGTGAGAGTGTGTGTGTGTGTGTGTGTGTTTAAAGCACCTTCAGCACGTACCTTTCTCTAGCGTCGGACTCCCTTGGCGCTGTGGATCCCTCCGCCCCGATCCGCTTCTCAGCTCCGAATGTGCATGCGCGGCAACTCATTACTCATTGCTTTTCTCTGAAACTGCTATGTTTTCAGCTGCAGGGTTAAAACTAGAGGGACCTGGCACCCAGACCACTTCATTGAGCTGATGTGATCTGGGTGTCTGTAGTGGTCCTTTAAGTGTATGTGTATCTGCATGCACTGGCGTACATACCGCGGTCGCAGGGATCGCAGCCCGGCGACCCCTGCGACCAGGTGCCCGCCGCCATTTGTTGCGGCCCCAGCCCGCACAGAGTAAGTGCGGGGGGGAGGCCATGGATCAATTTTCGCACCTGGGCCCCATGGGTCATGTGTACGCCACTGTACACAGCCATGTTTTCCCTATGAAGGGCTAATAAGTGTTTAGAAAAATACTCCTCTGTGTCTGATTAGAGATTTTTACCTTAGAGCTGCAGATAGCAATGTGAATTGTTACTGTAGGACTCACCCAAGAAGTTTTGCCTTGATGTGGCAGGTGAGCTTACACTTAAATGGCCATTGAAGTGATACTAAAAAGTTATTTAAATGTGCATATGGATTTGGGATAGTGTGCATGTAACTTTTTTGTTGTTTTTTATTGTATGTATTGGGACTGATGTGTATTATAGTCATTGACGTCACCCAGGAGTAGTGGGAATTTAAGCTCAGGGCTTAATTTTGTATGCTTAAATAAAATCTTTTATGTATACATTTTCTGCAATTTCTGTTAGCAAAATGTATCTATTAAATTGTATTACTTACCCTGAAATTTAATTTGACATGGAAAAAAAATGTAGAGCAAGTAAATAAAAATAGAGATAATAAAAACAAATGAGAACTAGGTTTGTTAAATGATATTTAATAAAAATGTTGGTATTCTTAAGGTATTATTTTACACATTACACCTAGGAAAAAAAAATGTCCTGTGTTCCGTATGTATGGTCAACTCCTGGATAATTAGCATTGAGGCAAGCTTTTAAAAGTCGCAGGATAGCGCTGCTACAATTAGCTTTTGTTCATATGCCTTGGCAAAGAGGTCGCCCCTACTATTCAAAGGGCAGCAGATTAGACTGTACAAATATACCCAGATATGCTAATGAACCTTATCTATGGCATGCGTTCATTTGTCAACACTTTTGCTGCTGTCAGAAGGTTAAAAATGGAAACCAAATCTTTTCTTCTTTACAGCAAAATCAAGCCCAAATAAGGTGATTGGTTTTGGGCTGCGGATTCGTAGTTGAAATCTGTCCAAGTCTCTCCTTGGAATGGATGTAAGTGAAAAAAGTCTTGTGGTGTCTCAGGGGACTAAGCCATCCAATGATATGCTCTGTGAGTTTAAAACTGTCTGTAGTTTATCCACCTTCAGTTGAGCTTTGCACACACAGTTCACTGCAGCTTCTCTTACTTCCAAGTGGCCACTTCTTTCCTCGCTGCGAGAAGCCTCTTAGCCCAAGGTCAAGATGGAAGCAATTAAGAAGAAGATGCAGATGCTGAAATTGGATAAGGAGAATGCCATAGACAGAGCAGAGCAAGCCGAGGCTGATAAAAAGGCAGCTGAGGACAAGTGCAAACAGGTATCTCTCTCCATCCGTCAACAACTCTGTATTAACAGCAGCAAACTGGTCCAGCTTGTCAGCCCTTTAACTGCATGTTCTAAAAGCAGAGACCACACTAGCATATTGTAGAAATACCACATTACTTGTGATATATATTGCTGAGATCCCTTCCTCCACATGTCTACAACACTTTAACAGCATGAAACAAGGTTAAATATGCTATGTACTTAAATTCATCAACAGTTATTGCCTAGACTATTAAAGCTATGAGTTCCACAGCACAAATAGAATGCATATTTAAACCACTGTATCTCAGATGATCACCTTCATTCATCCTAACAACTAAATAAAAATAAAACTCTAAATTATTTTACGACAGAAAACAAGATTACTGTATTTTGTTGAGTGCCAAAAGACAATGTTATCATTGGTAGTGTAACTGACGTGTGTTAAATACTCAAAAAGTTGTTCCAAACAGGTCGTTGCTTTGGTTTCTATGGTGACTACTCTACATTTATAACTTTACCACTGAATAGTTGTTTTGTTTTTTTTTTAATATAAAATCTCAATGAATGAGACACATGGAAAGCAACACAAAAGGCAGAACCTCACCTATTTACCAGAGCGACAAAAAAATGCATCAGTATTGTGACCAAAAAAAAACAAAGCAGGGAGATCTATAAAAGTTGTATAGTCATTGTGGAAACAATGAAACATTCCTGATTCCATTATTTTCCATGGTGATTCTTCCACTTTTTGAACTTCGGCTCTCTTTTATGTTCGTAACACAAATCTCCCCATATATGCTGAGCTAAAGCAGTTAAAGCAAGTTAGCATTGCATCCTCTGCTGAATTAGACCAGTGTGTCTGTCCTGCCTGTAGAGGTCATATAAACAAAAAATGTTAAAGGGAGATGAACATCAAATATTCCAACAAGTCTGCCTCCTCTCAATTCATACTCTGCATTCTTCACACAAGCTCAATGCATGTGTACAATATTTTGTTTAACCCCTTTACTCTGAGTTCAAATACCACCTCAACTGGAAGGCTTTTCCATGTATATACTGTCTAAAAAGTTCTGTTATATATTTCTCTATTGAACAGCTATATGCTTGCAGACCTCCAAAGTGGTGGAATTTGAGGTGACGTGCAGTATTGGAGAGAAGAAAACAGCTATTGCTGAAATCCTTTATACAACACTTGATTGTTTTCAAAAATCTTTATTGATTTGTTTCAGCCTTGCCATAATAACCTTTCAGCTATAGTCTGTATTGTGCCCAGTGCAACTCTTCTTAGCTGATGATGTGCTTAATTTAAACATAATTCTACAAGAGACAAATCTTGAGAAATGCAGTTCATCTGGTTAGCATAAGCTGCATGTTGAGAAAGCCCTGATTGCATACTTATTGGTAATGAACTATAGTAATAGCACACATTAAGTATGCTGTTGAAAAGTATACACTCTATAGTGTACCTGACTTAGATTTATATATACTCTAATTTTTTAACCCCTTTAAATGACATTTTACTTTAGGTGGTAAAATAAGTTTATAATGTACATTGTCCTTTAGTACAAATGACCTCATTTGCTATGAAAAATACATAATTTATCGTATAGTTAAACAATGTATATACTTTCTTTGCAGCCCTATCGTTTAGACTAAAAAAAATATGATGAAAATTAATATATTTTTAAGCTGAGTTGGTTATCCTTTCTGAATATTTATATGGAAGGATTCATTTACTCGAGTTTTATAAACTAGAGTAGGTAATCAGCCGAGGTGGTAATCTGTACTTAAAGGACTACTATAGTGCCAGGAAATCAAACTCATTTTCCTGGCACTATAGGGTCTTTAGGTCCCCCCACCCTCATGGCCCCTCTCCCGCCGGGCTGAAGGGGTTAAACCCTTACCTTTCTCCAGCATTGGGCTCCCTCGGTGCTAGGAAACTCTTCTCCCTCTCCCGACATCAGCTTTGAATGCGCATGCGCGTGCATTCAATCGGTCCATAGGAAAGCATTTCTCAGTGCTTTCCTATGGACGTCAGCGTATTCTCACTGTGATTTTCACAGTGAGAAGCGCGGTAGCGCCTCTAGCAGCTGTCAGTGAGACAGCCACTAGAGGCTGGATTAACCCTAGCTGCTATGTTTACAGCTGCACGCTTAACCCTAGATGGACCTGGTGCCTATAGTGGTCCTTTAAACACCTGACAAACAAATATACCATTTGGGATTTTTTTTTTTAAATTAAGTTTTCCATCCAAGTACAGTCTCCAATCCATTTGTCCAGTAAAATTGCAACAATAAACTGAGCATTCTGTGCCACAATGTAATACATATAAACTAAAAAAAACTAAAACATTAATATGTGTTATTATTTCTGAAGCTTTCCGATGCCCATCCCACTACTATGGTGCTGTGGCTGATGGTTTAAAACTTATTTGGTTTATATATATATTAACATATATTTGCACTAAATATTGTGCTTCAAGTGTTTTTGTTTCTTGACTTATCTAAGCTATTGTTACATGAGCTATTTCCCTATAGATACCAGCATTTCAAATGGCTCAAAGCAGGAAAAGTACTTAATGTGCACAAATACATTATAAACATAAATTCCCTGTTTAAATAGATTTAATTGTGGGTGTTAGGGTGGCAGAGTGCCTTGATACAGTAATACACAGCAAATACACTAAACTCTTAGAAAATAGGGTAGTAGGATAAAAAGAAAAATAATGTACTAATAATGTTTACATCTTGTGATAGATACAGACTTTGTATAAACGTGCTTCCTAGTAATACACTAAATAAAACACAAACTAAACCATAAATGTCCTTAAAGGTCTCCTCTTTATTTTTACATCTTATTAGACCTTCGCCCAGTCTCCACTCCTTCAACAAATCTTTGAAAACACACTTCTTCAGGAAAGCATATCATTTAAACTGTTAGCGGGTTATAATCCCCATGACTCCTCTCCTGCAACTGTCAAAAATAACCTACTAAGTTCTCAATGAATACTTTTCTAGCAACCTATTTCATTACCCCTACTTATACCCTTTGTTTCACTATACCCCACTCACTCTAGCATGCAAGCTCATTTAGCAGGGCCCTTAACCCCTCTGTCCCTGTGTGTCCATATGTCTGGTTACAATTACATGTCTGTAAGTCCACCCATTGTACAGCGCTATGGAATTTGCTGGCGCTGTATAAATAATATAATAATATTGTTTCTCCAACATATTGATGCTCGGAAGAGATGGTACTACATTCAACTTAACAGATAGAGTTAAATACATATCCCTAAGGGGTGCTTGTCAGTTAAATCCCTGGCATTCCATTCCATTCTGCTTAGAAACGCCCACCAGGGTTCAGGATAGAATGGGACACAGTGACTGGGTTTAATAGACAACTACTTCCTAAAGTATTTAAAATGAGAACAGCTTAAACAAAATATGCACAAAAATATCAGACTCATTTTTAAAGAAACTAACTGAAGTCTTTTTCACATACAAGGTTATTCACTAAAATGGGATTTATTTATTTCCAATTTAATTTCTTTGGCCTAAAATTTTGAATTCACGTTGAATTTCCAGCAACTACGACTTTCATGAATAAACCTGCACGAATCGCCTCGCTTACTGTCTGCTATAGTGATTCTCTCCTTCTCCTGCAGCAATAGGGTTAACGGCTGAATATCCCTGCCACTTTCTGTGGTTTTTATTCGTTTGACAGAGAAATAGAACATTCTTTTCCTTATTTGGTAAAAAAAAGTCTGGTATGGAGCTGAAAGTTGACTACAAGCCAATTTCAGCAACGTGATCTGTCCTAGTATAGGAATTTCTTAATAAAACAGAGATTCTGTTTATTGATAGTGTGAGTTTAGAAATGTGTATGTCTGTGTTCCATGTCCTGATTCACAGAACATGAATGTGGTCACTGATTTAAATACATATGTTTTACACACACCAACAGTAGTAGTCATATTTGTTCCCTTGTAACATTTGTCTTTAAGACTAAATACAGTCTGCCAGATGGCTGTGGTTTCACTCTGCAGAACAAAGCAATATTATTAGTGGGGCCACGTTAAATGACAGAGATTATTAAAAAGACAATCATGACACAATTGGGGCCACTTTTAAGATATGCTATAAATGTTTTTAATGAAAGATGGTGGCATTTGCCCACTAAATGTGAACACCCTCCAGTTTGTTCCATTCTATCATAAATTGTAAATTCACTTTAAATCCCCCACAATTCCCATTATAGTGAATAATCCTGACTGTATAGCATAGGTATAAAACGAATTCTGCCTCGCGGTATGTAGAATTCCCATTGTGACAGAGGAAAACCAATAAATTAACTACACAAGAGATCCAATAGAGTTAATAGCATTAAATTAATTATATATACTTTCAGGCAACACTATTGCACAATATGTAGAACTTGGAAGTTACAATTGTGTGGGAAAACATGGCCAAGAAGCAAAATCTTTTACTCCTTTTCCAAAAGAGAAGTAGACTCACGGAATAGCATCCCAGCAGAGATGGTATAATTTTTTACTGCAAATACATGTGCAATTTATTCTATATTTTATTATACAACCCTTTAAATAGTTCATGGAATAAATCCCTTTGGTCAAGCTGGACTACTACAAACTTGGCTGAAACGAGGAGTCACAGTGTACTAGCAAACCCACCCACAGACACTCTGCACTAATTCAAGAATCCAGCTCATGATGTGGGATCAAACCACAGCTGTGCATTCACTAGTTCTCTTTAAACAAGGATATCAAACATGTTAAGTCATCTAGCTAATTTTATAACAACTGATCAAGCAGACAATACGAGGGTTTAGCCAAGCTCGGGAGCACAAGTTGACTGGTATTATATCGCAGCCTACAAGAGATTTAGGGACATTAAAACGTGAGATCATTCCTGATTTTAATCTGGAGCGGACTTATGTGTGCTTTCATTGGAGTAAATTAGATTCACCAGTTGTTCTTTCTAAAGAGACAACTCCATTTTTAGCCTTAGCTGTACAGTAGAGAATATTAACCAATTTCAGCAATGTAACATGAATTCATAGAGTCCAATAATTTATGAGATTGTCCTTGAAATAAGATGACAGGCACCGCCAATAAACCCATTGAATGCTGGATAATGCTATAATCCATTATATCGGCATAGTGCTCAAACTGTTAATGGGAGACCTAAAAAAAAATGCTTAAAGTGACACTGTAGGCACAATATCCATTTCATCTCATTAAATTGGATATAGTACCTAGAGACCTCTGGCACGGTCACCTCATTCAGTGATTTATTTATTTTTAGCAGTTTAACACTAAATAAGGGTCCTTGGCCACCCACAGCCCGGACCCTACTGGATCTATGGCTAAAGCATAAATTACACACTTCCTTACAGTAGTAAAAAAAAAATCATACCAGCAATGGGTGTTTTGTTAGGCTAACAGAGGTCAGCTGACCCTTCAGCCAATCACACTCACCCATTGATGATCCAGCTAATGCTTCCTCATTAGCACAATCAGCACAGAGGGGATGGGCTGCTAAGCACCATCCTTTAGCATTGAAAGATTAAAAACGGTTTGATGCTGAACGAAAAGATGACGTCAGGGAACTCCAGGTGCTATAACCATTTCATCGAGATACAGCATGAGATTTTATAAGGTTACTGTATTAATAGCACAAAAGCGAGGGTGATAATTTCCTAGCTTTTTAAAGTAACCTCAAAGGTGTTTTAACATCAATGCAGCCTTGTTAGATGCATATTGTATACCCCTTTTATAAAAAATACTAATTTAGAAGAGAGCTTCACCATAAAACTTGCTTTGTCCATCCTGCCTTTTCTCCAGATGCTCTAACAAAATTGATGTGTCCCATAAAATGAGGAGTCATCAAAAGAGAATATTGGAAAAGTCTTAATACAAGACACATTCATTTGTTTCTATATGAACCATAGATCGAAATCACTACAAACAAGAAAAAAACTGCCAATATAGTGATAAATAGTACTGACTGCCTTTATACTGTGTAATTATAGATTAATCAACATATGTCAAGTATTTAAAATCATTGGGGGCTGTGTGTACAAGGGGTGCTGTTGTGACACAATGTGTTTTTGCATTTATGTATAAGAAGATTCCTGCCAGAAATACATACCTGTGAGCCAGCTGTGGCAGAACAGAAAAAGTGATATAATTATTAAATTTCTCACACATTATGTATAAAAATAGATGAAAAAGTGTGCCCTAGTTTTAATCACTTTATCTCTGGCATTGTATGCTCTGCAAGAAAAGTCACAAATGTGAAAATAAAAATTAGAAAATTTGACAGAAAACAAAGTCACAGACATACCCCAGCTTGTTGACATGCATTTAGCCCATTTAGATATGTTTACATATACCATAGAGACGCAAAGATAATAATCTAACCAAACAGATCATGCTTAATAAAACACGTTTTTTTTTTCTTGGAGTAACTCTTTCTGTGGTGGTCCACTCCATTAAAAAAAAAAAAAGCTTAAATGTAACTTTAACTCCAGGTCAAAGGCAAGCTTCTTCCTTCCCAATCTTCCTTGGTTGACATCTCCCCCCTCGTCGAAAGGGCGGCAGGCTGGGGAGGGAGCTGTGCATTATCTTCGAATATGCAGTGTTTCACTATGAACTCACTCCAGACACCATGACCACTTCAAATCACTGAAGTGGTCCTGCTGTTTGTATCAACCGTTTAATGGTAATGAGATTGCAACATTATCCGTAACCATGAATATCTGCTGTTTTAACGTGGGAAAATATGCATGCACACGCACAGTCTCTTGTAGATCTAAACCTGTTTAAGTTGCCCTTTGATAAGCTTGTGATGTGATCTGTGGAGCAGTCCAGGCAGCAGCTCCTTTATACATCAAACCAATATCGCCGTAAGAAGATGAATAACAATACTGGAACGTTGTAAATTCATCCAAGAGACATACCGTTAGGTATGAATGATGATCTAAAATGACACTGGATACCCACCACTATTAAGTACTTGGCTAGAATTTTTATAAACATTTTGAAATCTTCCCAACTTGCATCATATTTTGTTAAAATAATTCAGTTTATATAATCCTATGTGATCCTCGTTGACCTTATACTACCTCTCATTCAGAAAATAGAGATTACTTAAGACGTGGTATTTTTTTAAATAAAACTCATCATTATTACAATGTCATTTATTGGGATTGAAAATAACATTCTCTTCTTAAGCACACCAATGTCAATTGGTGTGCATAGTACCAAATCCCAATTTTATTTGATAGTTTTCCTCTCTTCCTCAAGTCTGAAGCAATACCTTTCAAAAACTCTTGAAAGCTTGTCTTTTAAGTATTATGTTAACTCAGTAAAAAAGTATGATTGCATATCTCAATACTCTGGTATTTTGGCATCTAGTCTACTGGACTTATATGGCTAATCCAATCTAAATATATATATATATATATATATATATATATATATATATATATATATATGTATATGTATATATGTATATGTATGTATATGTATATATGTATATGTATATGTGTGTATATGTATATATGTATATGTATATGTGTGTATATGTATATATATATGTATATATATATGTTTTATAAATATTTTGCACATGGAAAACATCATAAGACATATCTCAAATCTAAATGTGACAAAGAGAGCTTTCTATACTAACATAACTTATAGAGTCTATCCTCTTTACATGAGGAACACAAACCCTAGCAATCACTGCACAGTTCTATCCCCTAGTTAAACTGTGCCATTCCTGGTTAAATACTTCAATATTATTATTATTTAGATTATTGTTATCGAATGTCACTGCACAACCCTTGTGACACTAGTGATTATCCAGTATACGGTTTGTGGTCTGTGATTTGGGGATTTTTGAATGGTGACAGAAAACAGCGAAGTAAGAATAGGCAGCAGATCATACAATGTCAGTGACAAACCCATATATATTTTTAGTAAATACCTTTGTAATTTTCAATAGGAGGGCATTTACCTGGAGCTGCAGTATTAATATTGGCTTATACCATATAAGGCAGTTCAAATCCTTTCGTCTGGTTGAACTCTTTAAAAAATATTAATACCAAACAAAATAACCTACACTCAGTTGAATAAAGTATGGGAAAAGGTGACGTCCCCTGGTTAGTTGCCAGTTAGTTGCCACCAACTGGTTTAGCCAACAAAATTTTGCACATCGAATGTAGAATAGTGGCCCACTACACACATCACTTCTGGTGATATTAGGCAGCACTGCATCGATTAAATAACCCCGGCAGTTCAAAATTATAACTCTCTATGACTCTATCCCTAAATAGTAACTGGCCCTGGATAAACCATCTTCCACAATAAGTAAAGGGAATGGAGGCTATAAAAAAATGTATTTGGATATGCTTGAAACTATAACTTTATTCTCTGTGTTGGTAGGTGGAGGATGAATTGGTGGCATTACAGAAGAAGCTAAAAGGAACAGAAGATGAACTGGACAAATATTCGGAAGCTCTGAAGGATGCTCAGGAGAAATTGGAACAAGCAGAGAAGAAGGCCACTGATGTAAGTCTTCCGTGTGCATATTATATCCATTCCTTGCAATATTGATTTTTCTTTAGATGAAGAAGCTGTATTCACATAACTGTTTTGACCCAAAACCTTGTTAATGGGATAAAGGCATGATGCTAAACGTAAGCCCCACACATTATCCATATGATTCGGTCCACCAATAAGATCTCCACGATAAAGAAGATATTATTGTCTCTTTTGTGGTTTATTATGGTCCCTGAATTCTATTTTAGTGTATTTATTTATTTATTTATGTGCTTTTTAATGTATTTAATCTTTGAATCATATTTCTTCATCAGGTCAGTTCATGATTTTTGTGCTTGGACCTGTGAGAAGTCATTCATAGGTAGTCTACTAAAGTGAGCATAATTGCAATTCTTATGTGGATATTAACCGAAACAAAAAAGTTAATGGCACTTGTTCATTAGAATTGATTGTACTCTAATCTATTTTACATTATGAACAAGGGCTGACTTATTAAGTATGAAACTGAATTGCACTTGGTTGTTCTTGGACTAACTGGATGCTTATTGATTAATTAGGAGATGAGCGTTGTACATGTAACTTCATACATGAAAACACTTCAAATATTGACTAAAGATGTGATCAAGAACTGGGCTATGCCAGGACATTTTAGTTCTTTTTCAATAGTTTCCCCCATCTTGTGTCTGGCATTGGCTGCCCTGCAAGGGAAAGTCACAAATGTGAAATAAAAAAGTTTTTGAAAATTTGACAGAAAAAAAATCAGACATTCCCCAGACACTCTATTATTCATTAATACACAACTAAATGCAAAATGAAGAAAGATTGTAGCAGCGACTTGTGAGTGTCTTCTGATCCAGATGGTGCTCAGTGCATGTAAAAGAGCAGGAGACACAATATAGTGCAGTAGGTACTTATACTTGGTGAAGAAAATATAGAAATGCACTTGGAGTTTTTTGGAGCTTCTGATTAGCTCCAAATAGTAGCGCTTGGACGCCGAGGATATACTGGTGCAGCAACAATTTTCTAAGAAGTGTGTCAGGATCCAGATGCACTGTATGGGAGTCCTGGCGTGGGTAGTAGCAGCTCACGGATGCAGATGTGGCATAAAATGAATATAAAAACAACCTATAGTGCTCACTGATAAAAAAAAAGCAGTATTAAAATAAAATTAAAAAAGAGGGGTACTCACAAAAGGAGAGCCAAAATGGTTTTGCAAAATCCAAATAGCATAGGTGCTATAATCCCCACCAAGGATATTTCTGGAGTCCTCATGGATAAAATGTTCGAAAAGCAGTTAGGAGGGTCCAAAGTAGAAATACACTTTACGCGTTTCGCCAAATCACAGGCTTTCTCAAAAGTGTTTTATTCATTATACACAACTAAATGTCTGGCAAAATTGGGTCAAAACAGATTGTACCGTCTAAAAGAGAACATTTGGAATGAATGTAATTTAAGACTAGTCAGCAATCTAGAACTCCAGATAAATAAACTTTACTAAAGATAATACATTTGTTATTTCTATTTGTTGTAATCCTTAATGTCACTTTGTGTTTATACACTGAAACTTACAAATCAAATTACAGATTTCTATAGAATGTTTCATTTTGTTCTTGGATTCTCAGATAACAGATTGATGTTGGCGATTTACCTTATATGTTGCCAAACAAATATAAGATCATTGCTAATTCAACTGAACCAGACCAGCAGATTACTTGATTTATACCGATTCTCCTTTAGCATTCAGCATTCAGTGCTGTTTATATCATGTCCACATGAGGGCAGCAAAAGAAAAACATTTTACTTCTCGAAATGAATAAACCGCATAAATTATTGAGGAAATTATAGTATAGAAAATATCCACATCAGGATTTCCAGCTAAATTATAGATTGTCTGTGACTACTTCAATTTACTTTTAGCTACCATGTGCATTTTTTTTCTAACTACATGCTATCGAGATATTATTTGAAAATAAATATGCAATCAGCATGTGTGTTTAATAGATTTTGCATTCGGTTTCAATTGAATCGCAATTCGTCCAAAATCTGAATGGCAACTCTGAATTGACATATGGGCAAATTAAGAACATGGGACAGCCACTAAATGTTAATTTTATTCAAAGATCAGTTGAGAAGTTATAAACAAAGGGAACAAGGAGGAGAAATAAAAAAAAAAAATAAAACCAGTAAAAAAATCTACATTTATGTTATATAATTAATAAATATATAATATATAAATATAGATTTTTTTTTTTTACTGGTTTTCTTCTTACTTAATCTGTAAACCAAATGGAGCAACAATGTGCTTATTACTGTAGTGCAATATATATATATACATAATATTTAAATATATATTTACTATCTTCATTGTTGCGCAACATAGACAAAATTCAATTTGTCTGAAACCAAATTTATTTATTTTTTGCACTTCACGTCTAGTGTTTTCCTATAGACTGTAAGCTTGTTTGAGCAGGGTCTTCCTTAAACTATCGTTCCTATACGTTTTCTTGTAATTGTGTTATCTATAGTTAAATCCCCCTTCTCATAATATTGTAAAGCACTACAGAATATGTTGGTGCTATATAAATGACAATAATAATAATCATGCTATATTGTCAGCAAAATTTCACGTCATATGTTTTTACAAATATACAGATATACAAATTGAAATTATACTCTGTTATTCAGTAAATGTCATATTGTAGGGAATTAAAATCCAAATAGTGAAATGTAAGCTAAAATCTACAAGTTGCAAGTTGTAACTATTGCTGAGTTAGAGAATATTTCAGAAAATCAACCGTTTTTACCCAAAGTTTGCAAATGAAATGTTGCTACAGTTCACTGTTTGCAAATAAGCCCTTTAATTTTTAAGTGCACCCGTCTTGTGTATGTGTACTGTTACTGTGCATTATCATTTTTAACATACTTAAACTTGAGGAAATCAGATGCAATGTGGTATTAATCTCAGGAGTCTAATTTGGTAGCATGAAAATAATCCTCATAAATCAAACATTATTTCTGAAATAGTTTACATTAAAATCTCATAAACAGCATTAATTAAAGGGTCACTCCAAACCTTATTTTTTTTTTTAGGTTTATTTTTATCAGTAATGTTTTTTTTTTATCAGTAAAACGGTTATTTCTGGTTTTGTTTCCACCTTCCTACTAAAACTAACCCTGATAAAAAAAACTTAACTGGAATCCAGCTGTGGGCAAAGGTCCCCTCGCTGGTTTCCACTCCTCTTCTGAAGACATAGCCTCACTCGTGCAGTCCAATCTAATTCTTCTCATAGAGTGGCCATTGATAAGGCCATTTCAATAGCTCAGACTGCATGTGCATGCTCTAAGCCCCTTAAGAGGAAGGGATTTTTTTAATTTTTTTAAAGCAATAAAAAAACCATTTGCTTAATGGGACAGGAGGGCAGGCACGGCAGGGAGGTATTACATGGAAAAAGGAGGGAGGGGAGATGAATGCATCCCATTGCAGGCACAGGCATCAAGAGTAGAAGCTCTGTATGTCTGTCATTAACGCGCAGTGCGGACCAATCAAACACCAAAAATTTTAACATAAATTTACTTTAAGTAGCCTAGAACTAGCCCACGGCTCAAAAGTGATTATTCCTCTGTACATTCAGTGTTTCCAGCAGAAACACTGCCCATACAGACTCCTACCACCATGACCACCTCGAAAAGCAGAAATGGTCATGGTGGTTTCAGTGCCCTAGTAATCAGTTATACGTAAATGATTTACAAATATTCAGTCCGGAATGTGGTGTGGCAGTGCAAAGTTTGTGACCCAGCCCCCACCATCCCCAGAAATGGAGAAGCATAGAAAAGTGTAGTGCAACTGTATGTTTAAATGCACTCACAATGTGCTAGGCAATAATTTAATAGTATTTTAGCCCACAGGTGATTTCTTCAGTAGATCTCTCCATATGGGCAACACTGCTTGCCCACCTGCTTGGCATTCTCTTACCTCATTCATTTTATGAATATTTCATAATGCTAAATTCCTCATGAAATACTCTTGTTGAGTGGTGGAATTTCACTGAAAATCTAATACCATCACAAGTTGTCATAAAACAAATTAGGGACTCCTTTGTCTTATGGTAAATCCTGAAGTTGGCAAACTGTGTTTCTATTTCCATTCTCCTGTGTCAGTTCCCACAGTCATTGCTAGAGACATCTGTGGGAAAAAGACATGCTCTTGCACATTGAGTGTTGCTGTGTGGAGGATCCTGTTGTCTAGCAAGATCCTCCATGGACCTCTGTGTTGTATTGTTTTATTCTCGACAGTACAGCAGATGACATGCCAGGAACTGAAGGAAGAAGGTGGCTGAACCCATGAGGGAGAGCTTCAGGTAATTGTAGCTCACCTCTGCTTACCGGCCCAGAGCTGCATGCCAAGCAGCAATGTCACTTTCAAGGGTCTTCGCAAAAATGGCAAAGAACCCTGAAGGTGACAGAACTGCTTTAAGACAGAAGTTGAAAGTTCTTCTAGGACTTTTAAAATTAATGTGTTCTTTGAAAAGCATGCTTTTCAGAGTATCAACGATACAGTCTTGCAGCGATAGATTACAGTGGTTACATCTGTATCTCTGTCTGCAACACATGCCAAGGAATTCTAAAGTATCATCAATGTTACTGATGTTCTGTGGTACAACATGCTGACTTGCTGAAAGAGAACCTTCTCTGAATCATAAAAAAAGCTTGGTTTGGTCACATTGTTGAGCTGTTTCTGGCATGGAGGTTTAACTGGATGTTCTCTGCCTACATGGAGTCAGAATTAGTGAACCTATTAAAGGGTTACTCAACGCACCATGACTACTTCAGTGTCTAGAAGTAGTTGTGGTGTCTGGAGTCTGTCCAGCGTTTTGCTATGAATCCCTGCAATTACCAAGTTTATCCCCTTGTACGCCGAAGTTGTAACTCCACCTCCAGGAGCACTATGTTGTGTCATCTGTTAGCTCAGAACTAGAGGTCCTGACTGGCTAATGTCAGTTCTGTGCAAATTTTCTTGCACAGTGAAATGGTGGCTGGATCAGCTTCTGCAGCTCTGCATATGCTGGAAGAGCATCACCAAGCCACAAGGAGGCTCTGAAGTGGTGGGGACCCAGGTAAATCATTCCTAAACAGTGTCCCCCATTACTGGCTTACCAGGATAGTTTACAGCGGCCTATAGTGGTTATGATGCTTGGAGAAACCCTTAAAGGATCAGTGAGAATCTAGATATTCATTATAATCTTATGTATAGGGATCTTTGTATTTCCAACTCATCTGGCATCCTTTAACAACCATTATAAGGTTAACCCATGTAAGATCTCTTAACGGATTGTAATCTTTAAATTATTTCCTCTGATGTCACTGAGAACCACGGCGTGAGAGCGTACTCAAGGACAGCAAGGCAGAGGTCCCAAATGGGACTCTTCTGCAATATCTAGGACACATGAGTTGTTTAGGTAAACATGGAGAAGTTAGACATTTTTAAACATGAGATGAAATTGGGAGGAGGGAGAAAATTAGAAACCATATGTAGCTATTGCTTGACTGTGTGAAGCAGCAATTTTGAAAAAAGACACAGCTGTTATTAATAAGCACAGTCAGCCAAAATGCAGTGATTCAGATCCAAAACTGAACTTCTAAAACGTGGGCAGATTCACTGTGGACCACAGATAGAATAAGAAACTGTAGGGATTTATTGACTAAACCATGAATTCTAATGATATGATGACCATTAGGGTTACTCACAAAACTCCTAATTGTTTTTATTTTATTTGAGTCAGTAAAGATTTAACACGCTAAAAGTTAAATTGAGAAAATGAGCAATAGTTACAGCTTGGATATTTTCACCTAAAAGTTTGCAACTTTTGCAACTTGGTTTTAAATAAATACAATTCAGTGTTTTACAAAATTCTATGAGTTTTTTATTCAGAAACAAGAAATAAATAAATAAATAAATAAATAAATACAGACATATATCAAAAGAACACTATAGCGTTAGGAATACAAACATGTATTCCTAACGTTATAGTGTCTCTTCACTGTTTACTATATTCAGCCCCCTGAAATTAAGTTTAACCCCTTAAGGACACATGACGTGTGACATGTCATGATTCCCTTTTATTCCAGAGGTTTGGTCCTTAAGGGATTAAAGTGTCCCTTTAAATGGCAGGAACTAAGGTGTATGCACAAGACAAGAGATGTGTTAGGCATCCTAATATTTACAGTGGCAGATTCACTCTAGCATTAAGAGTGTGAAGGACACAAAGAAAACAAGAAAACAATTGAAAGAAAAATAAATTTGATCAAGAAAATAAATATTTACTATAATAAATGTAAAAGAACAGCTCTGACAGCAAAGACGGGAATGGTTTAAATCTCCCAGGTAGGACAGTTGTCAAGAAATATGGTGACTGAGGTTGTTCCATTAGCCTTGGGGTTGTAGCATAGAGGGTGCTTGACATCCACTTAAAATAGAACAATCAAACCTTCAGTTCTCAATATCCGTATTCATAAAATGTTAGAGCACCCTTCATAAGAGTATCATTTACACTATAGTGTCAGGAACACACAGATGTAATTCTGAAACCATATTAGTAAAATTACTCTTTTTGTGTCCTGGCCCCCCGGTCTCTCTTTGAAAAGGTATTAACTTACCCAGTGGCGTACACATGACCCATGGGGCCCCGGTGCAAAAATTGACCCCCCCACACCCCCAGCGCTTACTCGGCGCGGGTCGGGGCCGCAACACATGGCGGCGGGCACCTGGTAGCATGGCTGCGACCCCGCAACCACGGTATGCTGCACACACACCTAAAGGACCACTACAGACACCCAGATCACATCAGCTCAATGAAGTGGTCTGGGTGCCAGGTCCCTCTAGTTTTAACCCTGCAGCTGAAAACATAGCTGTTTCAGAGAAACGGCTATGTTTCACTGAGGGTTAATCCAGCCTCTGGTGGCTGTCTCATTGACAGCCGCTAGAGGAGATTCCGCGATTCTCACTGTGAAAATCACAGTGAGAAGACACTGAACGTCCATAGGAAAGCATTGAGTAATGCTCTCCTATGGGCGGATTAAAAGCGCGCACTCAGTAACAGACACACTAACACTTACACACACACACACACACTCTAACACACACTAACACACACACACACACACACACTAAAACACACACACACTAACACTAACACGTGTTTTTTTTTAAAATTGAATCCCCCCAGCCTCCTTACCTTTTGGAGTGCGGGGGGGATTCTGGGCTGTCTGTGTGGCCGGCGCGCGAGGGAGCATTCTCCCCTGAGTGCTTCCTCTTCCGCTCCCTCGCGCGCCGCGTAGGGATGCCGGAGCCGGAAGATGACGACATCTTCTGGCTCCGGTATCAGTGCGGTGCGCGAGGGAGCGGAAGAGGAAGCACTCAGGGGAGAGTGCTCCCTCGCGCGCCGGCCACCCAGACAGCCCACCCGCCGGGGTCAGCAGGGCCAGCCTCGGGGGGCCCTGAGGTGGCCGGCTCCTGGGCCCCCCAGGAGAAGAGGCTGGCCCAGTAGGTACATACCGGGTCGCAGGGGTGGCCGGGCCCCCTGGTGGGCCGGGCCCGTTCGCAGCCGCGACCCCTGCGACCCTGGTATGTACACCACTGTACTTACCTTTTTTCCAATGCCGCGCTGGTTTCACCATGGCTGTTCCTGCCCTCATGACTGATATCAACAAATTTGAGAATCTTAGCCAATCCAATCCTTTCTTATGGGCAAATTGAATCACTGCATCTCTATGGGGAGCATTCAGTCTCTAATGAACTATCCACATTAGGGGGGACACCAACAGTCAAGAATATAATTTTCGTCAATTTCACCCAAACACATCAGTGGAAAGTTACAGTGCACAGCATATCTAAACTGTGGAACTATAAAATGGATTTAGGGGCTGTAACAACACTGGGATCTTATGAAACCAGTATAGTAATTCACAATTTCGATGGCACTGTTTTGATAAACAATCAAACTTGTTGCCCAGTTTTAGGTTTGAGGTTTGGATATTTTCAGGTTTCCATTTTTATTAAAACTCTTGCTCTGTGCTGCTTTCATATTATTATTATAATTTTATTATTTATATAGCACCATTAGATTCCATAGCACTGTACAATGGGTGGACTAACAGACATGTGGATCAGACAACTGGACATACAGGAACAGGGAGGTGGAGGGCCCTGCTCAATGAGCTTACATTCTAATGGGAGTGGGGTATAGTGACACAAAGGGTAAAAGTAGGGGTAAGGTAATCATTGGTATGTCTCTCTCTCCCTCTCTCATTATTATTGTAGCTATTTATGTAACTGAAAATCTAACTTACGAGTTCAAAGTGTCTTTCCACAAACTAATTTCTAAGTACATTTATTGAAATAAGGACATTTTACTCTGAATTTTATTGCTGTAAAGCCCCAGAATAAACTCTATACACCTCATAATGTAAATATCCTGGAACATTGGAAAAATAGGATAGAAAAAAAGGACAAAGGATTTGGACTCTAAACAGGGAACTTGGGAGTTATGAATCACCAAATGCTGACTATGTTATTATGAGGCCATGCCAAGTCTGAATTACAGCAATATTAGTTTCCTGTTTCGGTGTTGTTCTTTTATCTTCAGCAAGTAAAACAGATGTTGAATTCAGGTCAGGTGAATGTGCAGTCAAGAATATTACCCTTTAATGCCAGACAAAATAACATTAGTAGTTTAACCCCTTAAGGACACATGACACGTGTGACATGTCATGATTCCCCTTTATTCCAGAAGTTTGGTCCTTCAGGGGTTAAGCAGTGTGATTGGGATCCCAGCATTGCAACAAAGTCAACTGTGAGCTGCTTTTACAAGTCTCAATAAAGAATAATTAAAGGGACACTATAGTCACCAGAATGCCCTATGGAAAAGTATTGGATTGGCTAAGATAAATTTGATTATCTCAGCCAAGGAGGAGGAGCGTGGGCTGGGCCAGCTGCAAGGAGACCCGTGCAGTGCTGGAAAAAGGTAGTAAACTATCTTTTTCACGGGTGGGGGCAAAAGGGGGGATGGTCACCTAAATGGTGTTTTCCCACCTATAGTGCCAGGAATACATGTTTCTATTCTTGACACTGTAGCGTTCCTTCAACCATTTCCAGTGCCCACAATAAATTCCAAAGCCTTAAAGCAGGAGTAGACAACCTTTGGCACTCCAGACATTGTGGAATACATCTCCAATTATGCTCTTGCAGTCATAATGCTGGCAAAGGATAAGGGGATATGTAGTTCACAACATTTGGAGTTCCACTGGTTGCCGACCCCTCCCTTAAACGAATAGTTTAAACACATACAGCACTTTGACTTTCTGAAGTGGTTTATGGGTGAATAACTTGTCATCTTTTTTATTTTTTTTATTTAAGGAAAGTGCCTATTTCAATAGAAATCTGCACTTTTATAAGTGACCCTTGGTACAACTCCCCAGCTAGACAACCCTTGCTGTTACTTCCTGGTTGTTTAGCTCACTGTTAGTTAAATTTAAGAGGCAGCAATTTCCCAAAGCACCTACCTTGCAAAGATTTATTATTGAGCTGTAATACAGGTGACAAGTCTGTAATTGATCAGCCACAGAAAGGGGAGAAAGGAAGGCTCGCAGTAGCTGAACATACTAGATCTGCAGGTATCGCAAACCAAAGAAAACATGCAGAACAAATTGCAAAATTTAAAAAATTTAGACTAAGTAATGACAAGGTTCTGAACAAACATGTGTTTGCTCAACTGATATGGGTTAGCTTAGTGAAGTATGCAGTGAAGGACAAATAGGGTGCTAAATGGGATACAGGGATATATATCCCACGAGGTACATACTTAGTCAAAGAATAAAATGATTCCCAAGGACACCAATAGTTACTGCACAAAGATAAAAAAAGTGGTGTTCTAACCCTGTAGCTTTACCAGTAGCCACTACTTGCCTGTCGATATTGGCCACACAGTATAAAATGCTCAGGCATGTGTTCTGTGTTTTACCAGCAAGATGCTAAAATGCAAGTGGTTGGTTTCCGTATTGGCAGCTGTTCTTAGCGATAGGTTACAAAAATGTAGCAACAAGGTTGCAAACTGATGACAATTTATAGCTGCTACAAGCTACCACCAGCATTTGTGAATAATAGCAGTTTGTGGCAGATGATTATGAGCCTTTTATGTTGTGTTTTTTATTAATTTTTTTAATCCACTATTTTGGCCTAGATTTTGCAGTTTAGATTTCAATTCACTACAATTTGTACTTTGAGTAATTCTTATCATAGTTTAAAGGAATGCACCATAACTACTTTGGATTTCTGTAGTGGTTATGTCGCCTGGAGAGACTGGGAGCTGTTAGAGGTTAAGATGTCAGGGTTTTGCTAAAGTAAGAATTCAAAGGGAATATTAAATTTCAGGTCCGAGTAGCTGAATAGCTGAACTGAAAGCATGGCTGACAGCATTGATTTAAATACAGACCTAATATACCAGGCTTCCCCAAACTCCGGCCCTCCAGATGTTGCTGAACTACAACTCCCATGATTCTATGAATGAAATAGATAGGCTGAGATTCATGGGAGTTGTAGTTTAGCAACATCTGGATGGCCGTAGTTTGGGGAAGCCTATAATATACCTTTCCGTGACTACCCCTCCCATCTTCTTCTTCAGATGGAACATCTAGTCTCCTACAATGAAGTCTGTGTTCACAGATGGATAAGCAAAAATGCCAGTATGGGTGGGGATGTTTTATTGTGTCTCACGCCGTGTATATTTTAGAAGGTGTTCAGAATTTGTATGGTGGTTATCACTTTGCAGCTCTCTATGAAATCAGTGGTGCACATTTTGTGGCTTAGGTTAAAATTGCAACCTTTCAAGATGCTCAGTTGGACACAAACCAAAAAATTGCTGCGTAGATGAGGTAAGTAAAAATCAATGTCATGGGATTGGAATGCTCATTGGGAGTACTGCCTGCGTTTGTGTTAACACCGTTGGAGTACAAAGCTCACTGCATACATTTAATAGATTACTGTAAAACTGGCAAGTATTGAATGTTGCAAACATTTCTAACCTCATAGTAATGTCTCGACAAACACAGCAGCAATTCACTGACAAAAACAACAACCGTTTAATACCCCACCCCTACTGTTAAAGTTAGAGGGAAGGTGAAGCTAACTTTAGGTAAGTTAGAATTAAGGGACCCTATAGTATGACACTTAGAATTTTAGGATTAAAGGAATTTAAAAGAACACTCCATGTACACAACTACTACAACCTGCTGTAGTGGTTATGGTACGTGGAATGTACCGTGCTGTCCCAGATAATATAGCAAACCGTTTTAGCATAGTTTGGTAATTTACCTGGGTCCTGCCAGATGTCCTAGCCACATCAGCTGTGTCTGGACTTTTCCAGTGGGAGAAACTGGATTGCTCTGTAGAACAAAGTGAGCTGATGCAGGGCCAAGCTTGTTGGCTGAGAGTGCTCAGCTCACGCAATCCTGATTTGCTCTAAGCCGTGATATCTAAATTCTCCTACTGGGAAAGACTAAACGTAACTGATGCGGTGCAGGCACAGGTAAGTTGTCAAAGACTAATAAAAGAGTTTGACATCTTATCGTAGAATGGTGCCAGGGTACTCCTAGCACCAGATCCACTACGACAGGCTGTAGTGGGTATGGTGCTCTGAGTGTTCCCGTAAGCACATATATGCCATTTATTTAGATGTTGTGGACAAAGGCAAAACCAGGATCGCAGCAGCAGTCATGAGTTGACGGGCCCTTGAGTTCTGCCAGAACAGGATACGGACTACCCCTCTTGCTATTTAATATATTGCCTATTCAGGTATCCTAGGGAGCATGTGGTCCACAACTTCGGTTGGCGCAGACCACTTCTTTAAACACTCCCTTGCTGTCCTAGCCCTCAGTAAATGAGTCAGAATGCTGCCACCAGATTGCCATGGCAATGTTCTGACTCATTCACCAGAAGAGCGTTTACTGTGGTCTCCATCAGCCAGAGGTACAGGCCCCCATAGTATCCTTCAGAGACACTATGGGGGCCCAAGATGGACCAACAGGGATTGATGGATTATACGTCCTTGCTGCAAAAACAAAGTAGGATGGTGGTAAAAAAAGAAAAATTTTGAAAATAATTAGGGAACAAATATGGGGGAAGATTCCAACACATCCTTGGACAGCCTCCCCACACACATTCTCCCGCAGCTAAAACTCTCCACACATCCTCCCATAGCCAACCCATATGTAATTTTGCACACCTCACACTCATCCAATCTCACACGCATCCCACACATCCAAACCCACACATATGCCTATCATGCTCAATCAAACCACAGACTCATTGCACTCAGCCACACACACGTACATATCACACTCAAGCAGCCTCACACACATCACTCCTAGCCAAACACACATACATGCATCACACTTTGCCAACTCCCCCACAACAGTTGGGGGAAGGAGTGGGGACCCTTCATCAATTCTTGCACTGTGACCCTGTAATTTCCAGTTACTCCCCTGGTTGTGGACTTTATATCCCATTATTAACACCCAGGCAAAACTTTACTTAGAGTAACAGGATCTCAATTCCACAGTATCATGAAGGCAGATACCTCTTAATTCTATCAGAATGTTAAATTTCCCCCTAAACATACCTAACTACTTCTAAATTTCCATTACAAAAATACATTGCTTTGTGACATATCATTACCACTCGTATTAAAACAGTGCTGTAACAAAGCCCATCATCATAAATGGCTCTTTAATATTGTAGTGGTCCTTGCAATGCAGCGACATTGTAGCATCAGCCTTAACGTTTGCGACTTTTTATTCTTCATTTAAATCTCAATATTTTTACAGTGAATCCTGACATCTGCTTCTGATCACTTGTATTTTGCTCTTTCAACTGTTATGGTATTACTTAATTCTATGAAATTTAATACAAATTTTTAGTACAAAGATTATTTTACACAGAGTTGTGAAATGCACTTGCTAAATAACCTGGTAATAATAGCCAGACCTGCCAACTTTACCAGGACTGTAATAAATGAAGAAGTGGGTGAATAAAGCAAAGGGCCAGTGAATGAGCATGTTAATGGTACAATTACTGTCAATGTAAATGTGCCTGCCAATCAAGGAGCTGTGTTATGCTAGTACACGTGTGTAATGATGAAAAGCTTGCAAAGGACATCACTACATTGTAGCAAGGAAGGGCGGCATGCCCTCACATCCCCTGATTGGATAATTAACATCATATGACCATAATCTTTAATGGCGGCGATCATTTAAAAAAAACACTCGAACCTGGAAGGTACTACAGCCAACTGAGGAAGCCCATATCGTCAAAACGCATTTTGGCACATCAAGACTGGACTTTAGAGACTGATAAGTGCTTGTTATTTTATTTTATTTTGGAGTTATACTGTTTATTGTTTTATTTTGTTTTCTTTACTTGGTTGTATAGGGACAGGTATTGGCAGTAGAAAGAGGGAAGTGCTCATACCATGTACAGAACACTGGTGAGACCTCACCTGGAGTATTGTACGCAGTACTGGAGACCGTATCTCCAGAAGGATATTGATACTTTAGAGAGAGTTCAGAGAAGGGCTACTAAATTGGTTCATGGATTGCAGGATAAAACTTACAAGGAAACTTAACATGTATAGCTTGGAGGAAAGACGAGACAGGGGGGATATGATAGAAACATTTAAATACATAAAGGGAATCAACACAGTAAAGGAGGAGATTATATTTAAAAAACTACCACAACAAGAGGACATAGTCTTAAATTAGAGGGGCAAAGGTTTTAAAATAAGATCAGGAAGAGGGTAGTGGATGCATGGAATAGCCTTCCAGCTGAAGTGGTACAGGTTAACACAGTAAAGGAGTTTAAGGCTGCGTGGGATAGGCATAAGGCTATCCTAACTATAAGATAAGGCTAGGGACTAATAAAAGTATTTAGAAAACTGGGCAGACTAGATGGGCCGAATGGTTCTTATCTGCCGTCACATGTTATGTTTCTTTAAAAAATATCAGTTTTTAGCACTCTAGTCTGTCATTCTATATATGAGTAGTCCAGGTTCCAATTCCAGGCAGGGGAGTGTCACCCCTATATATTGACACCAAGTGATTCCACCTTAGAGCCAAGGCATTATTGGGCTCTATTAAAGGTGAGAGTCTCCTTTTAATACCTGTGTACATTTCACCACTTCAAGAGATATACTAAACCATCATTTCCTGTTTTTTCTGTCTTCTCTTGAAGAAGGTGGGGTGCCGCCTATATGAGCACCACTGCATTTATATAGAGCCTTTAAATAGAGCCTCTGAACATTGTGAGGGTTATTTCTATACTCGTTTGCACATTTCATTGTGTATAAGTACCATCTGCAATAGTGTTTCTTCTGTGCTTTTTCTCTTTTGTATTCTCTTTTATTATAAGTACAGCAAGATCTCCATATTTGTACAATAGGGGTAAGCTACCACTGCAAATATTCACTGTTTAAGTGCTCCACCCACCCACCTGATAATTGTTTGTCCGTCTAATAATGAAAAGCTGCCTGTTCTGTTGCCAGTCAGGGCTGGCCATACCATAAGTACTGTGGAAGAACCCAGGGCCGGATTAACATAGGGGTTGATGGAGCTGCAAAAAAAATTTTTTTTTTTTTTTTTCACACACACTACTGTTAGGTTTGCCACCTGACTGGTGTTTTACCAGCACACCCGGTATTTGAGGCTGCCTGGCCGTGCCGGTATTGCAGTAATACCGGCAATACAAATGCAGGTATTTTTCTCAGTATAAACGGAGATTACTCTGCAATACCAGCACTAACCAGTAGGGGTCACTGTGTGTGGAGAGAGGCAGGGATAGGAAGTTACAGCATATCACTCCCTGCCTCTCTCTACTCACTGATCCGCAGGGGAGCAGCTACACAACACAGAGACGCCAGACAGCAGCTCCCAGCCTACAGAAACAGCCTACAGCTCAGGTAAGTGAAGGATGGGGGGGAAAGGCAGCAGGGAGACATGGGGACACTGAGACACTAGGGGACACTGAAAAACTAGGGGACACTGTGAGATATGGGGATGCTGAGACACACTGAGACACGTGGGACACAGTGTCCCCATGCCTCCAAGCCAGTGTCCCTATTGTCTCAGTGTCCCCTAGTCTCCCAGTGTCCCCTAGTCTCCCAGTGTCTATGTCCCCATGTCTCTCAGTGTCCCTAGTGTCTCAGTGTCCACATGTCTCCCAGTGTCCCCAAATGTCTGTGTCCCCAAATGTCTGTGTCCCCATGTCTCCCAGCCAGTCCCCCTAGTGTCTCAGTGCCCCATGTCTCCCAGTGTCCCTATGTCTCCCAGTCAGTGTCTCTAGTGTCTGTGTCCCATGTCTCTCAGTGTTCTTAGTGTCCCCAAATGTCCCCATGTCTCCCAGTGTCCCCAAGTGTCTCCATGACTGTGTCTCCATGCCTCCCAGCCAGTGTCCCTAGTGTCTTAGTGTCCCCATGTCTTCCAGTGTCTGTGTCTCTGTGTCCCTAGTGTCTGTGTCCCCATTTCTCCCAGTGTCCCCATTGACTTCCTGCTTCACTGGACACTGCTGTTAGGGGGTATGGATTTACTTGAAAGATTAAAGCATAAATTAGAGAGAGATTAGCATAGAGTGTGTGTTTTCTTAAAGCTGCATCCTTTGAGTTTCCCTCCAACACCATCTCCATTAGATACTTGACGCTTGAGAGGTATGACTAAGATTCTTGTCATGACTGGTAGTGTGGTGAATCACGCAGAACTATGTACCATCTACATAAACCGAACAGAAAATGATAAAACGTAAACCAGTCCTTAGAATGGCCGGACTAATACTTTAAAAACAGAGAATGGTCAAGGGAGCCAGAAATATACAATACCATTTAACAAGCCAAGTCAGGGAAGCCAGGAATCAGAATAGTCAGGAATAGCCAAGGTCAAAATACTGGGAATATCAAAAACAGGACAAGGAAACGCACTCTCAGGATTCAGGAACCAGGAAGGAAAACCACGACAGGGCAATAACCTAGGTTAAATATCCCTCTGACTGCAGAACGTGTGTGTGTGTGTGACCCTGGGGGGCAGAGCTATATCTAGCTGCGACCGCGTGTTCGGCACCATCTTGAACCCGGGCAGGCAGCCGGGAGAACCCGGCAGAGCGGCTCCCGACTCGCTGCTGAGCAGGTAAGTTCAGTTCGATGGCGCGGTCGCACTGGTCCAGTGCGACCGCACCTCACGGCGAACCAGGGGCCGTGACATTTCTGTAATTAGGCCCCATCATAATTGTCAGCACCAGGCCCACTGGGCTCTTAATCTGGCCCTGGAAGAACCTGTGTGTTGGCCAAAATACCTTGCAATTCCTCGAAAGTGCATCAAAAAGACTTTAGAATATGCTTTTAGTCTGCACTATAAACCAGTTCTCTCTATACCAGGTGACGGTAACAGTCGGCTGGGTGAGGAGCAGTACTATATTCTATATCATGTATTATTATGTATAAAGCACCAACAAATTCCACAGTACTGTGGGTGGACTAACTGACCCATATTTGTAAGCAGACCAGTTGGACCCACGGGGGTCCGAGGGCCCTGCTCAAATGAGCTTACATGTATTAGTTGATAAAACTGTATAACTTTATTGTAAATCTCCAGAGATTATGCAGTCATCTCTGGTTCTGCCACAATAAATCTTCCCTCTTTTGATCATAAATTCTTATTTTCTTCTCTAATATCTAATACAGAAATGGGATTTCATCTTTCAACCCACTTACCATTCCTTTCAACATGCATATTGCCTACAATTATTTTAAATCACTTCTGATTTGAGACCGATTACTACCCAACATATCCAAGTGACTTTTTTACCTCTTACTAGGTGTTGACTGGTCCACTCCAAGCCCCATAACCACTAATGCAGGCTACAGCAAAGCATTGAGTGATATCTCCTGCTAGAGGATATTACATGCAGCAGATGCTAAACGCCACTCTGCTAAAACAGTTTGACATCTTACAAGCTGCAGTGTTTATGGTACTTGGAATGTTCTTTTATCAATGTAGAAACATGTTTTTTCTTTTTTAGAGCAACTACTAACCTGGAGAGAATTGACAACCAAATGAAAAAGTTTAGGCCAAAAGAGCCGTTATGGACAAATTATCCAATTCACATGAGTTTTATAGCTTAGATGTTTTGGTCCCAAATTTTCTGGTTTAGAGAATAAACGACGTGCAGTTACTTTAGTTCAACTAACTTCCAGTCATAGTTACTGTGGTTTGAGCACACTTCATTAAGATGAAGAAATGTTGATGCTCAAAGTGTCCCGTTAAGATTGACCTTTTAGTGATGTGTTATGTGCAGACGATTGAGGTATTAAGGTATCAGGTATGCTGGTTTCACTTGTTCGCATACTTCCTGACATTCCAAATAATTAAAGCAGATTACTGTCAGCCTGAAGAAATGCTAAAGGTATGACAGCAATCTACAAAGCCACCCACTCAGCGGGACAACCTGTGCATGCTGTGGAATAACTGTGTCCTATGCAATGGCATTTGTGCAAATGGAAGTATTGTCTATTATTTAGCTTTATAAACTGATAGGAAGCATGCACACATAAAATAAAGATTTGAAAGATGGTTTATATAAAGCATATTATACTCTGTTATAAAGGACCTATGGTAATCATACATAGTACTAGTTTAACAAATGTATTGTTTTAATTAATAACTACACTTATACTACAGTTAATAATACAAACTTCACTATGTAAACACACATTTATTGTAGTTATAATCAGGGGCATGCAAATATACAGACCATTTTTATGGTCTTTGTTTAACTAGATAAGGACTGAACTCAAACTGACCTGTAATTTAAGGTAGGCCCTTAGATAGAGGTAGGGAAGACAATTTGGCTATGCCTAAGGCCAGGCAGGACAGTTAGGCCTTGTCTTGGAGGGCACGTAACTTGTGCATGCTATGCTGAGGAGGAATATATTTAATTAAATAAAAATGCAGCAGATCCCTGGACACCTCTAATGGCTGATTCAAAACGTGGGCATAGGCTGGATACGTCAGGCCTCTGTATAATACAGTCTTAGAAAAGTGTTTTGTATTAGCCATAGAATTGTATATTTCAAGCCAAGATATTGCTGTGAAGTACATCCAAACCTGCGGTGTCTGCTATTAATCTCCTACAATTAAAATCAAAATTGTTGACTCCTACTAAGGCGTCTTGGCTACACTCCACACCAATTCCTGTACATGTGCATATTGTCAATTTATTTTTTTTAAAAAATTTACAAGGAAAGATACATTGAGATTTCTCTCGTTTTCAAGTATGACCTGGGTCCTAGAGGAACATTGAAATGTTGCCATTTCTCTTGCATGGACATCTTAAACACAACAATCAAACATCCCATTATATGTACACATATAAAAATAAAAAAATAATAATAATTAAGAAATATTTAAAGAAAAATAACAAAACCCATGGCTTAATTTTATTCATCTACTAGATCATGCAAAAATAAGTAATACAAAATCAGAACTATTAAGCAAATCAGGGTATCCACAGAAAATTTCCGACAGCGTGGTAAAGCAAAATAATCTGTAGAGTTATATATTGTGCACTGGTATAGATGTAGTCTTCATTATATTTTCATTCAAGATGTAGATATTCTTTAACATATCTAAATAAAGGTCATATCTACCTCCCAAAAAATATAATGACTTCATTTTACAAAACAATGTTATCTTATTTTTATAAATAATAGAATATGTTTTATACATACAGTATATTTGTAAGTAATATATATGAGTGTAATATGTAAAAATATGAAATCTCAGACCAGTTTAGTGTGCGCTAGTGTCAGTAGTATGAGGTGCAATAAATACATTCACTTAATTAACTCTCTGCGTGCTATTTCTCAAACTATAATTCTAAAGCCCTAGACAAGGAATCCTGAGTTTGATTGCTCACACATGCTTCCTTGCTTTAATACCAGCAGGCATATACACAGCAGGGTGTATATGAAACTGCTACAACACATGCAGAAGCTGGAGAATGTAAAGAATGCCAGTTATGCAAACAAGCGGTTTTGTCTTCCAGTGTGAAATAAGAAGCCTTACAATCTTGAAATTATTAAGGCGAGACTTTTATCAGTACTTCTTAATGACTCAGACTGAACAGTTTAGCATTGTTTTAACAGTTTAGTTTATCGTATTAATAGGGAAGTATATAAATGATTTGAAATTAGGTTTACTGTGAAACTTTCTGGCACTTCCTGAGGACTGCACTAGATACCTCTTTTTATGTGTTTATTCTCTTAAAAACCCCAAGAGGGGGGTGGTTTTTAACTACTTGAGTTGCTTTGACTTACACAGTATTACTACAGATGGAACATCCTTACAGTAACTTTGTCATCTGAAAACACATTTTCTATCAAATAAGTTTTACAAAAATCTGTTTAGAACAATGTTTCAATATTGTTATAATCTACCAGTTCTATAGTGAATTTAGACTTAAGTCATTTATGTGTTTGAATGTCTTTTTATTGTAGAGATGGCCAGTGGCATTTTAAAATTGCATCACCTATTTTAAAATCATTCCTAACGAGTTTCCCTGAAATAGGCAGCTCGAGTATCTATAAAAAAAAGTAAATGCAGGAACTTCAAAAAACAGCTTGTTATGGTTTGAATGTTTCTGTAATGAATTAAATGCAAAAAAAAAGAAAGAAAAAACTGTTTTTAAATGGGGACCTTCTAAATGTGACTGGTAGGTTGGTACACTATGTGTCCTACACTGGAATTATCCTGTCCTAAATTACATGGTATGATAAGAGACCAGTATTTTTACTAATACAAAAATAATAAATAAAACCTCTATCTTCCAATATTGCCCAAAATGTGTGTTGCAGTTCACATTGGGTAATTTTAGGTGGGTATAAGCTTCTGCAAGCAACTTTTGGACCCTAGAACACCAGGTGGTCAGAGCAGAGGTGTAACTAGAAACCACTGGGCTCCGGTGCGAAAATTGCACTGGGGCCCCCCAATGTCTCTTTCCTCCCCCACCAGGTCCCCCACACGTCTTATCTTCCTCTGCCGGCCCCTCCACATGTCTCATTCTCACGCCCACACTCCATGTGTCTCTCCCACCCGCATTCATTTGTAACAGACACACACATGCACTGACTGGCAGATACACACTCACACTGACTGACAGATACACTGACAGGCAAACACTCATATTGACAGACAGACACAGACTGACAGTCAGACACACACATGCACACTCACTGATTAACAGACACACACACACACACACTTACATACTGTCAGACACACTCACACACTCACACCACTTTTGCACACTCACAATTAAATTTTTTGAGGCCCACCCAGCCTCCATACCTTTTGGATAGCTGGTGTGGGTCCTCTCTCTGGGATCCAATGTGGGGTTGTGCTGTAACCCTCTTGCGCGCTTTTTAGTATGCTGCCATCACAGAGGGCACGCGAGGGAGGAGCGAGGAACTGCCAGAAACTCCTCCATCGCCGCCCACACTGCCATCTCCTGCCTCCTTTCCTCCCACCATCCAGGTAAGCAGTTGCCTTTAGGGCATTCGGCGAGGCACTAAAGTAGCCAAATGGCCACCTCCTGGTCTTCTGTGAGAGGGCACTTCTTGGCGCCCTCAGCTTCAGCGGCTGGAGTGATGGGCCCGGTCGCACTTGCGACCCCTGCGACCGTGGTAGTTCCACCACTGGGTCAGAGCATCATTCAGAACCCTGAGCCTGTGCCAAATAAAATATTGTAGTACTAGTTTTAGGATGATTATCAGTGCCTTCATTTAAATACTAAAATCTTTTGGAGAACCCAACCCTCACTGACATAGTGAACCGCGAAACCACTATAATCACTATACTCGCTAAGACACACTGACATAGGGCCATACAATTAAATATGCATTTTATTAGCTTGAAGGATATTTTACTAATTAGGTGTAATATTTGTTATATAATTTCTTTCATGCTTTAGTCAGAACTGTGCTGTGTATTTTAGATGAGATATTTAAAGCAGCACACTTGAATAAAAAAAAAATAACTGAACAATGATAGTACAATATAATTTTTCCAACCATGCATCCTACCAGAAAGGCCATTCCCTAACAACAGTCACATTCTGGCTAACACAAACATGTGGAGTACTTAAACTGTTTAAGGCCTTTCGATCAGTGGCAAAACTAATGTAAGGAAAAAATGTGTATTGACCCCCAGTAGAACTGGGGTGATGAAAAGGTATATCCACAACTGCAGTACAACTCCCATGATGCTTTACTAGCTGTGCATCTACTGTTTGTCCATCCTTGCAAAATTGTATTTGTGAGCAGTACCTGTGTGTGAATATAGGTGTACTTTTGTACTGAGTGTGTGACTGTTTATTTGCATATGATACTGATGTTTGCATGCAGTGGTGTATTTGTGTGTAGTATTGGTGCTTGAATGCTGTTTGTGGGTATTGTCAGTGTTTGCATGCAGAGGTCTGTTTGTATTTCAGTGTTGTTGTTTGAGTATAGGGGTGTGTTGGCATGTAGAGCTTGCATGCAGGGCTGGAGTCTGAATGCAGTGGTGGGTGTCGTGTTAATGTTTGAATGCTGGGGTGGGTTAGATTTATGTGTAGTGTTGGCACTTGCAGAGGTGTGTTAACATTTTTTGTACTGTTAGTGTTTGAATATTGATCTTCACCCACATACACAGCGAACCTCAAACACTAACATATATGCACAGATCCACCCACTGACATACATGCACAAATACACACACGTCCAACATTAACACACATGTACGAACACAATCACAGACTGAACCCCTTGAGCCCTGGTGCAATAGTGCCGTAATACAATTTGACCAGCTATTAGACTCTCAAGCGTCTGTGGGTTTTCATACACTGAATAGAAGCAAGTGATTCCCAAACTTCATTAAGGGAGCGGATTATAATTGTCGCCCATACCATGGAAGTAATAAGATTCCACAGGGTCCAAGGCAGGTTACCTTGGTCCTTCTCCCAGAGAAGGTGAATAGGTAGAAAGCACATTCACAGTTCAGGGACTGCTGGTCAGGTTCAGGGACTCCCTAGGTTCACTTTATGGTTAATCCTGCTCTGTCCCATACTGTGGTGACAGCTCACTTGGCTATCAGATTGACAGTCTTTGGATCCAGACAGCCCTCTTCTAACCTGTTCTGCACATTGTAGCTGTGTGCTGACTGCATATGTATTGACAGTTTTCAGGCAAAACCACACAAATATGAGTGCACAGCCTCTGCCAGGTCTTCTCAGTGGAAGAGGCTGTATAGGGCCTGCAGATCCTGATTCAGAGCAAGAATATTCCAATTATTATATTGGCCAAGCTGTCAGTTATTTTGATGTTGCTGTGCAGGAAGAAAGCTCAGGGGATCAATGCTGTCTGAGTCGTTGGCTAGCTGTGTGTATTTAGGACCTCTTTGTATTAACTTTGGACGCTCTGCATATAATAAGTGATTTCTGGATCTCTGGATACAATCCAGTGTTCCTGGAAGATGATATGGGGTGGCAGTTTCACATTATCCACTCAGTTTCTCTGTGACCTCAAATATTGACCATCAATGCTTAGAGCTGGACAGACAAGATCTATGCCAGAAAACAAAGGGCTGTATTACTGCATATATTATGGTCAAGAAAGAACTCATGCAAATACATTACTTGTAAACTAGAAACCTATACCCCACCTCCTCTAGGCTGTAAGCTCGTTTGAGTAGAGTCCTCTTTAATCTATCGTTCCTGTAAGTTTTCTTGTAATTGTCCTATTTATAGTTGAATCCCCCCCTTTTATAATATTGTAAAGGGCTACAGAATCTGTTGGCACTATAGAAATGTCAATAATAATAATAAATGGTAAGAACAGAGTAAATGAAAATTAAGTAAGAATAATGTAAGGGCCAAAATGAAAGTGCCTTATCAAGAAGGAAGCGGTACGATTATATCTTATTTTCAAGTATGTCCCAGCGGACATTTGTATTTTATTCCCTAGTTTGTGTATAATTAAGTCAAATGTCTTTCTCTCTGTAACATTACTTCTATATATTATATGAAAGGGAGTAGGAATGTAAGCAGAAGGAAGAATTGAGGTGGAGGAGGGCATGGCTAGGAAAAGGCTGTGAATGTCTCACCCCGAACTGGTTTGTTTCACTGCCCCAGGTAGTGCTACAATGGAATAGAGAAACCATGTGCCTCTAGGCCTTTAGTACACAATTGTCAGCAGGATTCATGTTGACACCGTTTTTTCTCTCTCTCTCTAACAAGACTTAATTATTAGGGGGAATTCCAATGGATGTTTGTGATTTAAACAAAGGGGGAAGTCAGATACTAAACATGGGGAAGGAAAAAGACAATAGCATTAATGTTTGAGTTACAGAAACCAAACAATGCATCAAGGACAAGATTAGCTTTTTCCATCATACTGACTTTTTAACCTCGTAACACCTTAGGTACTATTTGACATTACTATACAGAAAATAAAATGTAAGAAAAGTGTCCGAGAGCATGTTTGTATCTACTTGTTTATACAGTTAAATTCAATGCAGTCTTTAAATAATTCAGTAAAATATGTTTATTTGAATGCAGTCTTAAATGCAGGTTGTTGTTTTTTTTACTTACAATTATTGTTTATTTTAGTTAACTCCATTAAATGAATTTTTATTAATTGAATTCCTTTACTTTATAGTGATATCTGCATAGTAACCTAGTCTCAATAACTGATATTAGTAAGTTTGTCAGCTGCTTCCTCTTTACAAATACATATTAATTAGACCTGACGTTGACAGGGTGCCACTAAATACGTAGACATCATTTGCTACTCTAAGTGAAAACAGGCTTGAAACAGCAAATAAAGATACCTTTTCTTTCAAGGTGCATTTTTTCTATTATTGCGCTTCAATGGAATAGTGTATAGCAAGGCTTTTATCTGCACCTGCAGCGGGCATCCAACTAATTTGGATTTCCAAAAGATCCGTGTACTTTACATTCAAAATCCTTAATATTTTTTTTTACTAGCCTTCCATAGAAATTACCAAGACCGCCACCAGAAATTTTGGGGCCCCTAACTCAGCTCAGGGTCTGGGCCCCCTGGGGCCCGCCTCCAATCCCGCCCACAGGGTCCGCCTCCAAATCCCGCCCACAGGAATACACACACACAAACACACACACTGATACAAAAGGACACAGATACACACACACACACAGACACATACTAACAGACACACATACTGAAACAGACATACACGCATATAGGCATACATACTGACACACATACTGAGACATACACACATATACAGACACAGGCATACATAGTGACAGACAGATACATACTAACATACACACCGACACACATGCATGAGGACATAAAGACACATACATACATACACACCGACATACATACATACACACAGACATACATTCATAATGAGATACAGAGATACATTCATATATTCATACAGACAGACATACATGCATACAGACACTGACATTCATACATACACAGACATACATTCATAATGGCATACAAACATACATTCAAACTGGCATACATACGTACGTACAGACATACATATATACATACTGACATATATACACACACACAGCTCATTTTCCAGCCACCCTCCTGTTTCTTACCTTTTCTTTGCAGGAGGGTGGCTGGGGATGATGGGAGTCGGCACGGCTGTCACTCTCCCTCTTCACGGCCTGGCTGGCGGTCCTCCCGCGAGGAGTGAGCTTGGAGGAAGTGACCACTTCCTCCCAGCATCACTTGCTGCGGCTGCGTTTTTATTTATTTATTTATTTTAAAGGGGCCCGGTCGCGCTATTGCACGGCCGCAGCGCTGACCGGGCCCCTGAAGATACAGGGCCCATCGGGTGGCCCTAAGTGCGCGGGCCACCAAATAGGAACAAACAGCGTGCGGCCCCCGGCACAACTGCACCGGCGGCACTTCCGCCGCTACACGTGGGGCCCGGGCAGCCGGGCCCCTCAGGGCCGCCTGGCCCGTGACAACCGTTACGGTTGTCACCCCCTGATGGCGGCCCTGGAAATTACTATCGGAGTTATTAACTAAAGTTGAACTGTGAGGAATTAAAAGTAAATTTAAAGTGAATTGTAAATAAGAGGCCAATACAGCCCACCAGGAAAAAAATTCCAAGTCCGTTACGAATCTGCCAAGTATGACAGGTCTAAAATTGGGAGAGGGAGGAATAGGCAGTGTCAGCAGGTGGGCGTATCCACGAGGCAAACAGCATCATAAATTATACTCTTGAGCTGGCCTACATAGTCAATCAGGGCCACGGCTAGTGCAGCACAAGCACCTTTAAAGGAACACAGTAGCGTTAGGAATACAAACATGTAACGCTATCGTGCTACCTTTCCCATTGAGGTGTCAGCACCCCCTCCCCCACCCCCATTAGGGTTTAAAAGGTGCTTGTCTCTCCATTGCTGCCCCACCTCCCTGGCTGAGATCATCAAGCTTGATGAGCTCATCCAAACCAATGCTTTCCCAAAGGGAATCATTGTGACACTAGTGCGCACACACTGCTTTAGGCACAGCATTTGATGGGATAACCAAGCCTGAGTTGGTTATTCAGCAAAAGTGCCTCTGGTGGATATCAGGATGACAAACACTAGAGGTGTGTTTAACCCTGTGGTCATTAATTGCTGTATCTACTGAACAGCAATGTTTTAGATAGCAGAGTTAAAACTATAGGGCTAGTGGATCCCATTGAGATGATGTGTTCTGGGTACCTTTAGTGTCCCTTTAATCATGCGCTCTAACTGCACTTTTCAACACTCCTCCTCCGGTTTGGCACTTCTGAAATTCGGGACTTCGGCAATACGGCACTTCAGTTCGGTTCGGGACTTTGGCAATTCGGGACTTAGGCACTATGGGACTTCGGCACTTAGGGAATTGCCTAAGTCTCGAATTCACAAACTCTACCCCTCCCCCTCCCCCTAAAAGGGTTAGGGGTAGGGTTCGGGTTAGGGGTAGGATTAGGGGATGGGTTAGGGGTGGGGTTAGAGGAAGGTTGGGGTAAGCTGTAGTGTTAGGGTTAGGAATAGAGTTAGGGGTAAGGTTAGATTCCTGTCATCATGCCCTTAATTTTCCCTCTCTCTCTTGTTTTGCCACTTTTCAGAAATCCGAAGCACTTCGGCACTTCTAAATTCCTCACTTCAGCAATTCGGTTTAGTTCGATACTTTCGAAATTTGGCACTTTGGCAATTCGGACATTCGGAAGTGTCCAAATTGCCAAAATTCATCCGAATTGCCGAAATTCATCCGAATTGCCGAAATTCATCCGAATTTAAATCTGGACAGAAACGAATTGCACATGTTTAGCACTTGGTAAGAAAGGCTCACGTGAGAGGGAAACATAGCTAATGTGATAATAAAGTGACACTTTGACACTGTCTGTGTGCCTTGTCTTTTCTATATGTTACCAGTGATGGACTTGGCTAACCAGAGATGTGTGACACTAGGATGGTGCCTTCTCTCTCTGTGTTTATTTACATAATTAATGGCTGATGTGGAAAACCTACTCTAATCGTGCACACTATATATTAAATGAGAGTAAAGGAAAAATACTTTTGTATCTGTAAGAACTGTTCAGCCAGGCTGTCTATGTATCTCTTATACTATGTTCATACAAAAGACTTTGTCGGGGGAGGTACTCATTGGCTTTTCATTCCATACATTTTTTCAGACATCTGTTTCTCTCCCTCTGTAGTGGAACCTTTTTCAGTATGAGGTTGTTCTTTTTACGTAGATTTGATTAACTTGCTGATGCCACAGCCCTGAAGGTAGGAAAACTAGACAAAGTTTCTTAGTCACCCAACAACAATTAATGTATCTAGACTAGATGTTTATTGTTATAGGATTAGTACTAAAACTCTGAGCAACTTGTTTAGAGCAGGGGGAATGAACCTATGGCACAAGTGCCCAATATGGCACGCCAAACACCTTTAGTGGCATACCAGCCAAGCCGAGCAGCCACAGTACAAAACGCCACTTGGCAGGGACACTGGCTAACTGGGTGGTTTTTTGCTGGGTCTCTCCAGTCTAGGGCAGTTTAAATCTCATTTCAATTTGTGAAAGCACCTTGATGGGCTGTGGAGAGGAAGGGCTAGTGATGGGAAAATTTGACACATGCATGTGACAGGAAAAAAAAATTAAATCCAAGATGCTGGAAATGTAGCTTTCAAACTTTGTCACAAGTGTCACCTATCAGGGGAGGTGCTAACCAATCTAACTTATATGTACTCCTATTCAGCTTCTTGGTGACACCAGATGAAAGTGTGTTCTGCCGCACCCTTGGGCACCACACATCAATATTCTCATATCAACCACATTCTCTATGTCCCAGGGAATTGTACATCAGAGGAATCGCAAATGATGACAGAACTAGGGTTCCAAATTTCTATTTGTATTATTATCATGAATGTGTAGGCGTTATCGTTATCTGAACACTTACACTCTATATATGTTTGTCGGATACCAAAGATGTTTCATCTGTGTTGACATATACTCTTGTACTAGATCCAGACTAAGTGTTATCTCGAGAAGCAAATAGATCACTTGAAGCTCATTGTGATAAGATTGCTTGTCTTTCAGAGGTCCTAGTGTGTATATATATATATATATATATATATATATATATATATATATATATATTGCAAGAGATAGTGAATTTTATTATGTTTTGAGTGGAACACATAACCGAGAAAATATATAGCTGTGTAAATAACAATAATTACTGTTATTTTATTTATGTATAGGCTTGTGGAAGCTCCCTTGATGCTAGCAAAATATAATAATGAATACAAAGAAATTAAATTTTAACAAGGTGGTTTGTGTCATATGCCATAAAAGGAATACTTGAAGCACTATAAATACTACAGCAGTTTTACACATGTTTGTCTTCTACTCTGGGGTCCACTGGACACCGCTCCAAGCCTCTTCTACAGCTCAGTGTGAGTTGGAAGCTCTCTTTATAGCACCTAGCTCATTGGCTGAGAGCGACCAGCTGACACTCTCCGACAATGTGCTAGTCTTGGCAAAAGCTCATGTGCTTGTGGCTTCCACTGAGCTGTAGAAGAGAACATACTTTTTGGCTATTTCTCATTCATGAAAAAAAAAAATGAAATAAAAATTAATGCCCAGCAGACCCCAGGTATGAAGTCAAACCATTCTAACTTGGTTTGACTCCTTACAAATGGGATTACCTGGGTGCTCCTGACACAATAATCACTACAGTGCCCTGTAGTGCTTATGTTACTTGGTGTGTTCCTTTATTATTATTATTATTATTATTATTACTTATAAAACACCAATAAATATATTTATTTGAACTTTTCTTGTATATCACACACACACACACACACTCACTGGACACTATTACTACTCCAAGGGCACCCACTCACCACAGCTAAATTCACATCTCACGTCAGAACTCTACTATCGAGGTTGGGCTACAACCCGGCTTCCTTCTCCAGTCACTCCTTCCGTATAGTCGCAGCATCTTCAGCATCTAGCTCAAACACACCAGTCCACATCATTAAGAGACTGGGCCGCTGGAAATCCTCTATTTACAATACCTACACACCACGACCGGAGAGGGAGCTCCGACAAGCTTTCAGAAGTCTCGCTTTGTAACTTGCAATAAAGTGTGTTTTCTTTGAATCCTCCTTTTGCCCTCTTTTTATTACAGGCCTACTCGTACATTGGTTTCGGCACACCTCAACCAACTTTGCATCTTCTGATACATTCCATAACCTATTAGAATTCCGAGCACAAATATATATATATACTACTAGATCCAGACTAAGTGTTATCTCGAGAAGCAAATAGATCACTTGAAGCTATAAATTATATATATAATTTAGTTCCCTTGTAATACACAGAAATGTTTTTTGTTTTTACATAATAAACAAAAAAACATTTTAAATAATAGCTGTGGTTTAAATGGACTCCGGTAAAATTAAATAGGGGTGCGCTCTGTGGTATATGGGGGTTACAGTTTAGTATTTGCTGCTTTTTTGCACGTTGATCATATCCCATTGTACAGCGCTACGGAATTTGCTGGCGCTATATACATAATAATAATATCTTATTATCTAAACTGAATTAAGTTGGTAAGTGTGAATTCCCATTCAAAAATGATGTTATTCAAAATAATAGCTTCCTCGTCTAAAGAAGCAGAAGGGATTGCAAATATACTGTATATTATTCACTCACACATGCAGCAATAAAATGTATTCTATACCTTAAATTCAGTCATGAACTTACACTTATACTTATGTTTATATTTAATCCGTTCTAATTGCATACTTGCATATATACTGTATATTATTCACTGACCCATGCAACAATAAAATGTATTCTCTGCTTTAAATGCAGTCATGAACTTGCTCTTCTCATGCAAGAGAGATTATATAAACTGATCAAACTACTCAAAACAAAACATGAAACATAAACATGACTAGATTAAAACGTTACTATTTTGCTGATGTATGACTTTTTGTTTCTTTTATGTCAGTTTATTTGAATTATTAATAAACATTATTGTGTAGCTCCAGCGCATTCTGCTGCATTGGCGAGAGAGATCACATGGTAATGAGTTCCATAGATGTGAGGCCTGTACTTGGGAAAATTCTTGAAAGTAGGAGGAGGAGAAACATAGGTCATGATAAGAGTGGAGGGGCTGGGTAAGGGGAACACTGAAAAGTAACACTAGAAATTGTGGAAGTCTATAAAGCAGAGTGAAGAAATACAAATTTAGTGGGAAATTGGAACCCATAAGTATGCAGTATATTTTTAATTAACGCATGACACAAAAGCAATCAAACAAAGACACAAGCTTTGGTTAATAGATTATAGATAAATAACCAGCCAATAAATAGCATCACACATGTATGTGGACTATGGAAATACTTAGAAGTTTGTGGTAAAGTGATTGCTTGACCTAACTGAATCCATCCTCTACAGCAGGATGATTTTTGCCCGTGACAAAAGAAAATGAACAATGAAAAAAACAGTATTAAAAAATACGTAAAAGAAACAAAGGGGGGAGGGTGGGTGTCTGAATACAGGCCAAGCTCTTTTTCTAGTGTCTGTAGTACCTTGTTCTCAGCCACGCTGCACAAGACGTACGCTAAAATTTTTACATGCCTCACAACTGTACGTCTAACCTGCTTGTACTTTTTAGAGCCAGTGCAACTCTTCATTTGCATTAGTTAAAATAGTTAAAAATGAGTGAGGTAAAGCGTAACACAGTAAATCGTAACACAGGAGACAGAATTTTTAAAAACACTCCACCAACCAAATTTTTGTTTTTTAAATCACTGTTTAGTATATGTTTTCCAATACAAAAAATAAAAAAATCTCCAGAGGGTTTCATTATTAGCTTTGGCATTTTTTATTATGTCCAATCACAGACGTCAACGTTTCAGTCCTCACACCATGACTTTTATCTAGACTTGATTAAAGGTCTTGATCAGGGCCGATCCTGGGGTCACTGATGCCTGGGTGCAAGAATATTTTTGGCAACCCCTGGTGGGTGTGGCTATATTGCTAACTCCTACCCTTTACAAACATAACACTGCTAACCACACCTATTTTCTATGGAAACCACACACCCTCAACCCAGGTCACATGTCACCCACTTACTACAGTGCCAGCTTTGCCCCGAAAAAGCTTATTAGTGCCATATGTGTGCCCAGTTTCCCAGTGCCGCCTCTGTCCACATACAGCTTCCCAGTGGCATCTTAGTTTTAAAATATTTTTGTCCCCATCTTATCAGTGCCACTTAAGTAGCCATTTTTTGTGCCCAAATCACTGACCAGTGTCATTGTTGTCCCAAAATTGCTAATCAGTGACATTTCTTTTTCCAAACAGCTTACCAGTGCCATCTTGTCCTCAGAGAGCTTGCCAGCTGTTAGTGTTTTGGTATGAACTGTGTGTATGCTGGGTGTATTTGTAATGCAGAAATGTATTTACAGATGTGTGTGAATTCAAATGAATATTTGTGTATAATATTAATGTGTGCAGATGCAGTTATTGTATATTTGTATGGTGTATAAAATGTATTAGTAAGTGCAAGAATGTATTTGTAAGACGTGTGTGTGTGTGTATGTTTGTATGTATGAGTGTCCTTCACTGGACATTACTGTGTGTGCATGCATTGTTGTTTTCAGCAGTACGTTTGTTTATTTTTCTAAATGTCCCTGTATGACTTATCTCACCATTCTCTTCCAGTTTTGGCTCTACCCCATCCACAGGGGTGTTTCTATGTGGACTACGGACGTCAGCCCAAAATATACATTTGATAACCCCTCCTATATTTGGCTTGCGCAATAATCCATCTCAGCTGTACCGTAAATTTAAAAAATTAATTATGAAATGCTGCATTCTACCTCCCCTCACCAAAAGCATGCACACTAAAACACAACCACATCCATTATGCTATGCAGTCTGTGTAGTTAATAGTGTCTGAGTGTGTGCTGGGGATGCAGTGTGTCTCTGTGTGTGTGTGCAGGGAATGCAGGGTGTGTCTGTGTGCAGAAGATGTAGTTTGTCTCTGTGTGTGTGCACGGAATGCATTGTGTTTTACATTTTTAAAATGTAAAAAACACCCACAATTTGTTTTAATGTTTTCAAGAATATTCATTCCACAAATATGTAAACTGTATGTTAAAAAAGTCCCTTCAAGGCCCCATTAGAGGCTACAATGGAGTCTAATGGGCCCTGGAGAGGGTTTTCTCTAAAATGCTGGCCCCCGTTCACAATATAGTGATATAACACAGCTCTGTGATACCCAGCTCAAGCTGTTTCCTCTCACCTTAATTATTGTTGCTGGCTGGCTGCTGTGACTGGCAGGCTGCTGTGGCTGTCTGGCTGCTGTGGCCAGCTGGCAGGCTGCTGTGGCTGTCTGACTGCTGTGGCCAGCTGGAAGGCTGCTGTGGCTGGTTGGCAGGCAGATTGGCTGCTGTGGCTAGCCGGCTGGCTGCTGCTGGCAGTTGTGGCTGGCTGGCCTCCTTTTTCCACCAGCAGGCATCTATTTCTAGATACACCTTACAGCCCAGTCAGCCTTCCAGGAGCTCGGAGGGCCTTTAGGATGGAGGTGGGGCTAAACACAAGGGGCATGGCTTATCAAGAGGGGCGGAGCCTACTGTCACCATGCGCCTTTACTCACAGAGCACCTGGACGCTGTGCACCCACCTTGACGTATGTGACTGGACACAATAAGAAATTCTGAAACTTATTACGAAGCCCTCTGTAGTGCAGTTCTTTGGAGATTTATATTTTGATGGAATTTGCACCGAGGAAAGGAGCACGACAAGAGTGCCCATGGTGAATAATAAAAATAGGAATACATTTTAGTATGCATTTTTTCATAGGTGCTAGATATTGTGATAAAGTGAAGGTAGAGAGGCCTTTAACATTTAATTTAAGGGGAAGTACGTGTTGTATGTGTGGTGTGCAACACAAAGCTAGGTTTAGTTATGGGCCCCTGGGGTGGAGCATTTGGAGAGCAAGGTGGGCCAATGCTCCACTCCTCAGTTTATATACAACTGGGAGAAATTAGGTCCAGGCCAGAGTTTTTTGGAACTGTCTCCAACCCACTGCTCAGCTGCAGATAATCAGCTGTAGCAGTGGGAATAAACCCCTCCCTGCTATGCAGGTAAAATAGGGGGATTGCTGGCTTCCTCCCTGGAAGCAGGTTGGAGAGAGGCTGTTCTCTCCAGTGAGAGAGTCAAGGAGACTGAGCACTGGGAGTGCAAAAGGAAAGCAGTCAAGGCTGGCTTGGAGCACTGGGAGTGCGGAAAAGAGAGAGAATGTTTGTTTCTCTCTTGAAGGGCTGGAAGCAGCAGGCTGACTAAACACTGGAGTGCTGAGAGCTAACAAAGAGACTAGATTGGTGAAACCAGTATTATTTTGTTATAGTTTAACCCCTGAGAGATAGGCAATCTGAAGTTAGTTAGTGCTCAGACGAGCTAGGTTTTTGTTTCTAGGGATTTTGTTACATTATTGTTTGTTTCATTTACGGCTGTCTCCTGTGTGAGTTTAACAATAAAACTGCCTGGATTATATGCAAACCAAAGGACTGTGCCTGTTGTTTACCCTAGAGGACCGTGCTACCTGCCGACAAGGATCACAATATGGTGGAGAATGCGGGCACTAACACAATTGGGTTGTTCCACTCACTTTGTGACACTTCAATCACCCCCAACTCAAGCATCTTTTTAACCTCTGCACTAACCACTTCACGTCTAGCCTCAGATTGATCTTCTTCCCAGGTTCAGTTAGGATATCATGCTTGATTATGTGTTTTCCCTGGTATTGGGGAAAACACATCCCTATTTTTAGACACAAACTCCCTGACTTCCTGTTTTTGATGAGGGGCAAGAGTATCAGCGATATGCACCTCCGGACCCTGCTCACGAGTGGCTTGAATAGGTTTATCTCTGGCTATGATGAGAACCTCTCGTTCTACCCATGGCTTCAATAAATGTATATGATGTCTGTTCTGGCTTCCGTCTGCCTGGCTGTCTTACTTTATAGTTCATGTCACTGACCTGCTCTGTGATTTCATAGGGCCCTTGCCAGCTGGCTAAGAATTTGCTTTCTACCGTGGGAATGAGAACTAGAACCCTGTCATCTGGTTTGAACACCTGTAGCCTTGCATTCTGGTTATAGCTTGCTTGTTGGGCTCTCTGGGCCTTTTCCATGTTTTCCCTAACTATGGGAATTACTGTTTAGATTCGCTCTTGCATTTGAGCTACATGCTCTATAAGACTATGATGGGGGGTATGCTCTTGTTCCCATGTTTCCTTGGCAACATCTAGTATGCCTCTTGGATGCCTACCATACATCAACTCAAAAGGGGAAAAACCTGTGGAAGCTTGCGGGACTTCTCTAATAGAAAACATCAGGTAGGGTATGAGATAATCCCATTTTTTTCCGTCCTTGTCTATCACCTTCCGCAGCATAGCCTTTAGAGTTTTATTAAACCTCTCCACTAATCCATCAGTTTGCGGATGGTATACTGAGGTTTTCAGTTTCTTGATTCTGAGCAATTTGCACAAATCACGCATGATTTTTGACATAAAAGGGGTTCCCTGATCTGTGAGAATTTCCTTTGGTATACCCATCCTGCTAAACATCATCAGTAATTCCCTTGCAACATTTTTAGAGGTGGCATTCCGTAGAGGTACTGCCTCTGCATACCGTGTTGCATAATCAACAACAACTAAAATGTACTCTAGCCGACCTAGGCAATGGCCCTATCAGGTTCAAATGGAACCTCTATTATGGGAAGGGGTACCAACGGACTACGAAAGCCCTTATGTGGAGCTTTCATTTGGCATTCTGGGCAGGATTTACAAATAAAGTGCCTGGAATTAATTTACTTTTAAAGACTGTGCATGTTTGTACCCAAAAGGACCGTGCTAACTGCAGACCAGGATCACAATATATAAAATATAGCTTGCAAAAGGTGCAGTTCTCTTGCCGCAGCTTTGCAAACCCTCCCCTCCTAACCCCGCACAGACTTTCTGTGGCTGTCCAATCGCAGACTTCCCAATGCAGCTCATTGAGAAGACTTTGCAAAGCAGGTGCTCTGAGTGATTGCTGCCTTTTGAGTTTAGCTCCACTAAGCTAAACAAACCAGGAAGTAACGGGACCCGTTTTTGATTTCCAGCCAGGGTTATAACAAGGTGAATTTATAAAAGTGCCAATTTCTATTCATTTCTATTTCTACACTTTTTGTAAAGTGAAAATAGTACACACCCTTCACACATAAGGCATTAAAGCAAGATTAATTTCTTTAGGGGTCTGGAGTGTCCCTTTTAAATATATGATAAAGGGGGCAAGGTATGTTTGTAAGGGCTACTGAGAATAGAGGTTGGAGAAATGGGGATGGGTGGCAGTAATTAGTGTAGGTTTACTGAACAAAAAGGAAACACCCATGTCAGCTTCTGTTCACTCTTATAAGTGTTTCAAATTTAATTGTGGGAATTCATTTTTATTGAATTTTTTTCATGAATGAAAATCAGCCAAAAAGTATGTTTGTGAAGTTCTGTTAACAGAGGTTATGCTATACTACAATTATCCATTTGACACCATCAGAAGAACCAAGATTGGTTGAAATAGCTCCTTTGCAGACATCACGTCAGAATTTTGGGCTTTTTTATTAATCGTTCAGATTCATATTTTGTATGAAACTACTTACACCAGCTTTACTGTTTTCCGATATATGGGATAGGCATTGCTGTACTACTGAAAGTAATAGGGTAATTAGCTAGCAATGCTCAGCCGCTTACTAATGACTGTAAAATGCTTGGGATTTGCAGTAATCATAAACATCAAAGGACGACTTTTTATTTATTAAAAATGACAGAACTTCCCTTTAAACGTATGTGCCTGTTTTTCCCTTTCACAAAACGGGAAAACAAAATGTTTAACTATTTGATATTTCTTCTGTCAGTTTGGCTTGAGATAAAATATAAGAAAAGAATAGTTTTCGTGATTCTCTCTGTAATTTCCAAGGGTCACTTGTACAAACAGGAAACGTTGGCCAGAGCGTGAGACAGCATTTCACTCCCTACTCCTTTACAAATAAGGGTTTTGGTGTCTGTAAGTGGAAAATAATTAATTCCCAAGCCAGGAAACTGTGACGTGCTGATAGGAGCAGAGATTTTTACACATGCCTTTCACAAATGACACACTTTACAAGAATGTTATCTACCGCTTTGCCATTTTCTTCTTATCAGCACAAGAGGTGGGGGCAGAAAAGCCTTTTTTTTGGGGGGGGGGGGAAGGGGGGGGGTTGGTTATGTGATATATGTTAAAATTGTTGATATTCTTTCCAAGATTGTTTCCGTACATTGGGAATGTGCAAATCTGTTATTACTTTAGTAGCATTAGTCACGCTCACTAAATTCTTTTTGTCAGACTTCTTCTTTTTACAATGATACCGATCATAAACCTCTGCCTGAAGGTTTTGAACCCTTTAACATTCTATTTCTACCTTTAAACAAAGCTTACTTAATCATGTTTTTCCATTATGCTCTATGATACGTGTAAAAATGTCCAACTAAATGTGAATATAGAAAGTTGTTCTTTCAACGTTGTAATTTCAAATTGCAGCTTTTTTTTTTTTTTAATTCTTTGTTTTCTCCTTTGCACAAGAAAAATAATCTGCTTGTAGCCAGGGCCGGATTAACATAGGGGCTGATGGAGCTGCAGCTCCAGGCCCAGGCCCATGGAATAGGCCCATTTAAAAAAGAAAAAAAAAAAATCTATTTATTTTTTTTTTTTTTACACACTACTCTTAGTTTTGCCACCTGACTGGTATTTTAATGGCACAGACGGTATTTGAGGCTGCTTGGCCCTGCCGGTATTGCAGTAATACCAGCAATACAAATGCAGGTAATTTTCTCAGAATAAATGGAAATTATTCTGCAATACCAGCACCGGCCAGTAGGGGTCACTGTGTGTGGAGAGAGGCAGGGATAGGAAGTTACAGCATATCCCTCCCTGCCTCTCTCTACTACTCACTGATCCCTGGCGGAGCAGCTAAACAGCGCAGTCCAGACAGCAGCTCTACAGCTCAGGTAAGTGAGGGATCGGGGAAAAGGCAGCAGGGACACATGGGGATACTGAGACACTAGGGGACACATTGGGGACACTGAGACACTAGGGGACACTGAGACACTAGGGGACACATGGGGACACAGAGACACTAGGGGACACATGATGACACATACACTAGGGGACGCTGAGACACTAGGACACAGACACTGGGAGACCTGGGAACACTGAGACACTTGGGGACACTGGAAAATATGGGGACACTGAGACACTTGGGGACACAGACACTAGGGGACACATACACTAGGGGACACATGGGGACACTGTCACTAGGGGACACTGAGACACTAGGACACATGGGGACACAGACACTGGGAGACCTGGGGACACTGAGACACTAGGGGACACCGAGACACATAGGGATGCTGAGATACATGGGGAAGCTGTGAGACATAGGGACATTGGGAGACATTGGGACATGGAGACACCATGTCCCCCAGCCAGTGTCCCTAGTGTCTCAGTGTCCCCAAGTCTCCCAGTGTCTGTGTCCCATGTCTCTCAGTGTGCCTAGTGTCCCCATGTGTCCCAGTGTCCCCATGTCTATGTCCACAACTGTCCCCATGTCTCCCCAAGTGTCTGACTCCCAGCCAGTGTCCCCTAGTCTCCCAGTATCCCCTAGTCTCCCAGTGTCTGTGTCCCTAGTGTCTTAGTGCCCCCAAATGTTTCAGTGTCTCCATGTCTCCCAGTGTGTTCCTAGTGTCTCAGTGTGCCTGGTGTCCCCATGTCTCCCAGTTTTCCTATATGTCCCAGTGTCCACATGTCTATGTCCACAACTGTCCCCATGTCTCCCAGTGTCCCCAAGTGTCTGTCTCCCAGCCAGTGTCCCCTAGTCTCCCAGTGTCTGTGTTCCCATGTCTGTGTCCCTAGTGTCTTAGTGTTCCCAAATGTTTCAGTGTCCCCATGTCTCCCAGTGTCTGTGTACCTAGTGTCTCAGTGTCCCCATTTCTCCCAGTTTCCCTAAATGTCTCAGTGTCCCCGGGTCTCAGTGTCCCCGGGTCTCTCAGTGTCCCCAGTATCCTAGTGACATGGGGACACACTGAGACATTGGGACACTGGGAGAAATGGGGACACAGACACTGGGAGACTAGGGCACTGGGCGACATGGGGACATTGACACTGTGATACATAGGGACACTGAGACACTGGGTGACTTGCGAGACTGAGACACTGGGAGACAGGGAGACACTGGGAGCAATCCATCTATACAGCAGAATCAAACTGTGAGTAGTTTGGTGATTTTACAGAATTTTCTCTGATGTCACTCCTTGTGATTTACATCATGTGATGTCACGCATAACTAATTAATTATACAAATGATTAAGGCTGGTATTTTTTTCCAAGAAAGGTGGCAACCTTAACTACTCTTCGCACTCTTCGACCCTATTATGTTAAAACCACCACCCTGGCCCCTTCTTGCCTCCCTAAATATAGTAAAATATTACTTGTATTAAATTCTGCAGCTGCTGGCTCAGAAGTCGTGGTCTGAGCAAATTACAATACTTCCCCATAGGATTGGCTGAGACTGTCAACTAGGCAGATTTGGGGCAGAGCCAGCACAAGTCCAACATAGCCCTGGCCAATCAGCATCTCCTCATAAAGATAAATTGAATCAATGCATCTCTATGAGGAAAGGTCAGTGTCTGCATGCAGAGGGTGGAGACACTGAATGGCAGTGCTGCACACTAGGCAGTACTGCCCCAGGAAGCACCTCTAGCAGCCATCTAAGGAGCAGCCAGTGGAGTTATTTTCTCTGAAAAGACAGTGTTTACTGCAAAAAGCCTGAATGGAATGATTCTACTTACCAGAACAAATACAATAAGCTGTAGTTGTTCTGGTGACTATAGTGTCCCTTTAAGTTTGGAAGCTTAAGAGGGATGTATGGGAACAAAACTTGTGTGCACTTGCTGACATTAAAGTTAGTTTAGGTAATGCAGACGTTGGTCTCTCTAACACTGTGGCATGTCCCCTTTCTTCTACACTTACTACAGACATCTTTTCTCTGTCTCAGACTATATACCAGGAGCTTCTGCCTGCTAGTAAGAAGGTAAGGAGACAAGTGGACCAGCGAGTGCTAGGGGACAGTCCTTAGAAAGAATGGAGTGAGCGCATCATTAGACGCATTTATGTCAAGCTCAAGGTGCTGCCTGCATAGTATGCCCTTAGTTGGACAGCCTGCAGGATTGGCAGGCAGCCTGACATGCATTCATGCCAGGCTGACCTTCCAATTCTTTGGACAAACATGCCCCTTTTTGGGCATGTTCACCCCTTTTGGCAGGTCTTGTCACGTGATGCGCGCCAGTGGCACACCCTTTTACCCCGCTTATTGACTTCCTGCTTCACTGGACACTGCTGTTAGGGGTTATGGATTTACTTGAAAGATGAAAGTATAAATTAGGGAGAGATTAGCATAGATTATGTGTTTTCTTATAGCTGCATCCTTTGAGTTTCCCTCCAACACCATCTCCATCAGATACATGACGCTTGGGAGGAATGACTGTTTTAGTGTTTTTGGTCGATAAGATTCCGTAATTAGGCCCATCATAATTGTCAGCACCAGGCCCACTGTGCTCTTAATCCGGCCCTGCTTGTAGCACCCCGACAGTGTTGACAAGCAATGCATTTACGTATAGGAATAAACAGTGTCATGGCATGAGATAGTCACACACATTTTTTTATAACCAAAAAATAAACAGGCTGATTTGTAATTCACTTGTATATTATAGAGAAAGCTCGATAGGTATGTTGGACAGGTCAAGTGAACTGAGGCATGTTGGCATGTTAGCTACACAATTAACGTGTAGTACGCTATTTCTTCTGGACAGGTTTACACTTTTAGTTAGTTAAGTACTGAATGCCACCTAGAGTGAAGTGTCTGTGTGGGGAATGTGTTATCTTCCTTGTGGTGCGGGTTTAAGGAGGGTTTTTATGTCTCCCATAGGAACTGTAATAGTTAAAATACACGTTTTGTTTGTTCCCTGGAGTCTCCCCATAGGCGTGTGTCTACTTATGGTGTAGGCCACTGTAGGTATACAGGTCTACGTGGGCATTCCTGTGCTGAGTCAGGCTGGGTATTTTAAGCTTGAGTATCCGGGAGTCAAACATGAGAAGTTGGGTATGAGATCGATTGCTAGGCTATTGTTGGCATGGGCTCAAGGTGATGTTAGTTATAGGTGGTGTGGACACCTTGTTGGGATCGGGTAGGGGCTTCGTGACCCTTGCATGAGGTCTATAACCTGTGCTCATGGCTGCTTGGGTTACCCCTGCTTTGTGGGGGGGAGGGCGCAGTCCCAAATCTTGCAAGAAGGCGGGAGCCTTAGTGATGTTGGAGAGCCGGTGGACTGTTCCTTGGTGCGTCACTATGAGGGACCTTGGGGAGCCCCAGTTGTAGGCCACTCCAGAGTATTTCAGCTGGTTTGTCACTGCCTTGAGGGATCTGCGCCATTGGAGTGTGGACCTAGTGAGGTCGTGATAGAATTTGAGTTGAGAGTTCTCAAATGTGTATAGGGTCTTGTCTCGGATTGCTGTCATGACATGTCCCTTATCGTGAAAGGAGGAGCAGTGCACCACTACATCCCTTGTCTCGTTCGGAGGTGCATTAGGGGACTTTGGGAGGCGATATGCCCCATCAAGGGCTATCTTCCTTGCCTGTGGCTGGGGTAGTATAGCCGCAAGCAGCCGTCTTAGGTAGTGTGGTAGTTCTTCTAGGGGGATATCATCAGGTATGCTGCGAATCTTGCTATGTTGCCGTCTGTAGCGGTCTTCCATGGCAGTCATTTGTGTGCTGAGTGCCTGTTGGGAGGTTTGGACTTGCCTTATGGTGTCTTGCATCGTGGACATGTCCTTGCGTATGTCCAGAATGTCCTCCTCTGAAGCACGGACCCTGTTAGTTATTGCCTGGACTTCCTCCTTTATCACTGCATTGTCCGATTCCAGCCACTTTCTGATTTCTAGCATGAAGGTTTGGATGTCCTGCTTGGTAGCCAGCTCGGGCCCTCCCTAGGTTGTCAAGGGTGCTGCAGTCACTGTGAGCTCTGCCCCAGTGGTGAGCTGTGGTGGTGGGGCTGCTGGTTCTGCGGGGCTTTGTGCAGGGAATACCTCCTTGTTCTTTGCAGTCGCAACACCGCGACTGCTGCAGGTCTCTGGGATCGACGTCCCATAGTTGTTCCCACTGCCTGTGGAGTCAGTGCAGGTGGTTTGATCTGCCAGAATGGGTCTCCCTCCGCCGAGGAGGTACTCAAGTCTGGGGATGGAGGGCGCGTGGTAAGTCTCAGACCTGCGTTTCGGTCCCTTCATCCGTGGGGAGTGGAAGAAGCACATCGGGCTCTGTAGCGGGGTATCTAGGCTTGGTGTCACTGTGTGCCGCCATATAGTTGCTTATTTTTCTCGTTTTTTTTAATAGCGATTTTTGAGCTGTTCTTGCTGGAGCTCAGCTTTTTTTTAAGAATTTTTTTTTTTTTTTTTACCAGAACACAGAAAATAGAGTGTATTAAAAAACTTTAGGGAAATTCTATAAACTCCATATTTTACACATGTTCTAACACTGAATGAAAATCCCTGAATTTGGGCCATAATTGCAATTCTGATATTCACTAAACACAATTCATGGTTCAAAACCCATCTGTTTCCATCAATTTGATGTTGGCAAAAATTTTTTAAAAAAATGAACAGAGAAATGGTCCATATCACATAAAAAGTATAGCATAAGAAACGGCCACCCAGCGATATGGTCCCTCCTATTTTCTCACTACATATGTAGTGGTATATGGCTTATCAAAAAGTGGTTTGGCAGCTGGGACTGCCCTCCATCCCCTGGACTGGGGAAGGGAAGACATGTTCTGTGGTGTTCCCTGTTCCCTCACCTAATGTGCAAGTGATGGGGTTTTGACATATGGATGGGCAACTGTGGCTTGAATGTTTAATATTAGAAAATCCTAGGATCTCCTAAACCCTAGAAGAAGATTAGCACAATAGTTTTCCCTTTTGTCTTATCCAAGCAAGAAGGTCAGTTGAGTTTTTTTTTTATAATCGTAAGGGTCCAATGGGCCTACATCCCTATAGAGGGTCCACCACAATGTATGGTACGCCTAATCCCAGCCCATGAAATACTATGGTAAAGAATAACCGTATCTTCTGTTCACGCAATAAAAATTTGCAAAACAACTTTAAAGGAAGACAGAAAAACAGACCGCACAATAAAAACATGGATCCATCCAACCCAATGGCTTGGGCATCGTGTGGACTATACATTCTTAAATGATTCCTGAGCTTGCTTGGTTATACTTGCTGATTCAGATGAGCTCCGATTCCTATCTGTGAAGATATTATTACTGTGCAATTTCTTAGTAACAAATAATTGAATGGAAGCTGCTCACTGGCAAATACACTGATCAGCCACAATATTAAAATCACCTGCCTCGTATTGAGAGGCCCCCTTGTGCTGCCAAAAGAGCTCTGATGCGTCGAGGCATGGACTCCACAAAACCCCAGAACACGTCCTGTGGTATCATTCACCAAGATGTTTACAGCAGATCCTTTAAGTCCAGCAAGTTATGAGGTGGGGCCTCCATGGATCCCAACTGGATTGAGATCTGGGGAATTTGGAGACCAAGGCAACACCTTGAACTTTTTGCCATGTTCATCAACCTAATCCTGAACAATTTTTGCAGTGTGGCAGGGTGAATTTTCCTGCTGAAAGAGGCCACTGCCATGAGGGGTGTATGTGGTCTGCAACAATCTGCAGTCATGCCAAGTGCAACATATTAAAGGGCATAGCTCTCGTTTTATCTAGATTGATTTTATACCCTGAAAGGGTCCTGAATTGAGAAAGCAGGTCAAATACTGTGGAGAAAATCATCCCACCTATTGTTAAAGGGACACTATGGTCACCAGAACAACTACAGCTTATTGAATTTGTTCTGGTGAGTAAAATCAGTCCCTTCAGGCTTTTTGCAGTAAACACTATGTTTTCAGAGAAAATGCAGTGTTTACAGCCTAGTGATAACTCCATTGGCCACTCCTCAGATGGCTACTAGAGGTGCTTCCCTCTGCATGAAGATACTAAACTTTCCTCAGAGATGCATTGATTCAATGCTTCTCTGTGAGGAGATGCTGATTGGTCAGGGCTGTGTTTGGCTTGTGCTGGCTCTGTCCCAGATCTGCCTCCTTGTCAGTCTTAGCCAATCCTATGGGAAATCATTGTGACTGTCTCAGAGAATCACTTCTGATGATGTCAGCCAAGCAGGCAGATGAGGAGCAGAGCCAGCAGCTGCAAACTTAAATTCAAGTAAGAGTTTACTATATTTAGAGAGGCAAGGGGGCCAGGGGGCATAGAGGGTGGTTTTAACACTATAATGTCAGGAATGCATGTTTGTGTTCCTGACCCTATAGTTTTCCTTTAAACCTTTAATATCAGCATTCTGTCTTATTGAATTGGAAAGGGGTTCTAGGGATAGGGAGAAAACAACACTGGATACAGGGAAGAAAGTTCTGGTTGTACCCTGGATTACAATTTGTGTTCTGGAATTAAAAGGCTTGATTAACTTTACTAAATTGCTGAGGACAACACAAATGATCAAGCAAGCTAAATAAATATGGCTACTGTACTTTGTCAAATACCTTATCTGTGTCTAGGGATAAGACCAGAGAAGGTACCCCTAGTTTGACAACTTTGATATTTTTACCCCGAGTTTTCTCGGTTATGGATTTCATACACATAAATTCTGGGTTTATTGACTTCCTGTCAGTGCTTTCAATGCTCTCTTTCTCTGTTATACCTGTTGTTCATGGTCCAGAACAGTTTAGATTATATCACTTTGTATTTAAATGTAATAATGATAATTTGACTACAGCCAAAGAAAGTTCTTCTACAAAAAAAAGTTTCATATAGTTACCCTTGGTGTCTTGCTGCAAAGAAACCTTGTAATTTGGGAACTTTCAGATATAATGTAGTTTTTATGTGTTCCTAATAAAATAGCTATCCCTGGAAGTAATTCCTAATCATGCCTCATATCCATTGTGCAAGCTCTATCATGCAGAGCAACATGTGTGTCTGTGTATATGTCACATTTATGTTGCATTGCACAGCAATAGGGGAATTTAAAGCGGCACTGTCATGGCCGCATCCGTTTAGTTTTTTTTAACCCGACTCTAGTACATCTAATAGCCCCCATGGTCACCCCCAAATTCCCCTAAGCCCCCCATATTACCTATATTTAATGTGTATTTTCAGCTCTGACCTAGGTCCTGGGCGCCACCATCTTTGTGTGGGTAGATGAAATCACTGTCCGACAAGTCATCTGCCCACACTAGATAGTGCTGTGAAATTCCCGTGCATGCCAAGTTGGCATTTGTACGTGAATTTCGACTATTCATTCATTTGTCAGAAAGACGAACAAATAGAAATTTTAAACGATTAAACAAAGACCGAATGTCGGTGTTCTTTTATTACAAGGAGGTTGCTGCCAGCTCGCAGCTCCCTCCTTGTAATATGTAAAAATAGAAGCGTCAGGGTGCTATGCTCCCCGCCACTTCATAACTCCCCCACATGTCCTCCCACACTATATGGGGGTCAATATGACCCCATAATAGCACAAGGGAGATTAAAATCTCCTGAATGCCCTTACTCGCTATGCCGTGAGTAGGAGCATGTCACCTAAACAGTGAGCAGCCTGTGCCTGCTTACTGTTGTGAACCCCCATCTATTAACTAGCCCCCCCATCTATTAAAAAAGCCCCCCCCCCCACCTATCTATTATAGGTCCTCCCCCATTGTTAGGGCCCTCACTTGCTGCTCATGGGTGGGGGCGAGAGGGGCCGGGACAATAGGTCCCCCTTCCCTATTTTATCTTAGGGCCCCCACCCAACGCTCATGGGTGGGGGCCATGGGGAGACACTTATGTAGTTTAGTGGCCTCCACTCGCGGTGTACAAGTGGTTGCTCGAGGGGGGGACACTATGCCACAAAGGGTCACTTTATTAGAGGCGTGAGGGGGTCGGCATAGCGTGTAGGGGCAGATTAATTACTAATACTAAGTAATTTTTACTTAGTTTTAGTAAAGTTGGCTGAAAGACCAATTTTGGTCTTTCAGCCTTGTAGTAGATAGCTCCCTAATACCATGGGAATTAGGGAGCTATTTACTATGCGGCTGCAAGATGCAGCCGCGGCACAAATAGGATCGCAATTTCATTCATTTAAATGAAATTCCGATCTATACAGAAACAACCGAATGCCATTCTAACACGAATGAGCAAACTGTTCATTCTGTTAGAGGGAATTCGGTAGTTTCGCCAGCATCCTATCTATATGACCGGACGCTGGCGAATAGTGAAAGGAGGCATCGTGACATCAGGTGAGAATTGTGGGGAAATTCCTTTGACCATGAGAAGTGGGTCAAAGCTGGTCAAGCGTAGGAAACCTCCATAAGACAAAATAGTCGATACTTTGTCTTATGTTTTAAAGAAAACTAGAGCAGACAGGAAAAAAAGAAAAACAGATCCTGAGAGAGGGAGAGAAGTGGAAAAGATTGGACAAAGGTAAGTTCAACATGACATATGTATCATTAGTACAATAAAAACATATACAGTACAGGAATGAGATGTTGTCAGTATTTCTATATCTGAATCTGTTTTTTTTTTTGTTTTGTTTTATTCAAACATTTAATATGATGGGTGTTAAGGTTTTATCACCAAATACCAAAGCAAAAATGCAGTCAGGAAAGAAGAAAATAAAATGTAATAAAAAAATAAAATAAATTTGTAAAATATACAGAAGATTTTTTTTATATATAGTAAAAGCCTCAATTTAATATTTTTGGATAAGCTTTTCACATGATTTCATATTTAAAAAAAATACATAGTATTTTTATATATTGATATTGATTTTTGATATTGTAACAGTGGAAAATAAAAAATTTAAAAACACATTTGAAATGCTTATCCAAAAATATTAAATTGAGGCGTATCTGTGAAATGTATACATGATGTTTATATTATAATATATATATATATATATATATATATATATATATATATATATATATATATATATATATATATATTGCAGTAAACCGAATGGTCAATTTTTGTGCCCTTTTCGTTCGACAAAATAATTTTTCTGAATCATTTGCATGGACCAAAATTTTCCAAGATGTACTGCCCTATGGACGAATTTCAGACTACTGGAAAAAAATTATAATTTTTTTTAAATCGATTTTGGAAATAAAACATTTTTTTTTCTTTTCAATATATAATTTTTATTAGTTTTCAAAAGAAAAGAACATTAAATTTGTGCATATATGGTAATACATCCATTAGTATGGAACATGCGTTATGACATAGTATTTGAGACTGTACATACATGCGATACACAATAGCCATGGAATCAAAACATGGAGTCATTCTGCAGCTCGAATTGCATGTTGTCTTACATATGCAGGTATCTACTTATAGACTTGGTGGGGTGTACCAACCCATGGAGTATGCATTGAGCTATCCAAAGATGGAAGAAAGTAAGGTAGTAATAGAGGTAAAGTGAAATAATAAGTAAGGGAAGGGAAAAAGTAAAAGTAGGGAGAAATAACATAATGCAAACTGATAATGTAGAGTGCAACCTCTGTCCAGCTGGGGGATTAGAAGGTGTGTCAGACTGTCTCAGGTGTCCTTTCAAGGGGATAACCTTTGTCGTTGGTGACTTAGGATGTGGCTGTTTTAAAAAAAAAAAAAAAAATTTTTAATTATTTAAATTTTCTTCCCTGCCATAGAGTTAAGGACAAGGACAAAGTAAAGAAAACAAAGAAGTGGAACACTGGATGCATGGAGCCGGACTGCATTTTTACCTGCACATTCACCCAACTACTCAATTTCTAATCATACTGGTCCAATTTTCCTTGCACCCTGAAGCATATTTTTTCATAAAGGCTAGTGGAGCTGAATGTTTGGGTGACTTCCCCCAACTAGAGGGCCACCGTGCTCTTCTAGTGAAAGGCAATGCTTGTCTTAGCTGCGGTGAGAAGATTTAATATAACAACCTGAGTTGGAAGGGTGTCTAACTCTGGGATAACATGCAGTAAAAAACATTCTGGTGTATGGGGGATGTGAGTATGTGATTTTTTTAGCTGCTAGTTCACCAACCTGTACCCAAAATGCCTCTATAATCTTACAGTCCAAAAATATGTGTCTTAGGGTGCCATGGTCTGTGCCGCATCTCCAGCAAGTTGGGCATGAGTCTTTGTAAATCTTAGCTAATTTGTTAGTCCGCGAAAAGTACCAGCTTCTTTTCCCCAGCTGGTATTATCAGGCCTTGGATTGTGTTAGTTTTTTTTTTTGTGTGTATGAGCGGTTTCTGGCACATAATAAAGATTAAGGGTGAGAGAGGACATTCCTGACATGTGCCATTTGATATAGGGAATAGCAATAATAAGAAGCCAGAGTTGAATACCTTGGCTGAGGGTGAGGTATAAAGGGCCATTATACTCTTGATGAAGGTATGGGAGACCAAGTGTTCCCAGTGTTATTGTCATATATTGGCAATTTAAGCAGTTAAACGCTTTTTCAGCGTCGAGAGCCAATATGATACTGTCCTGGGTGCTTTTATGAGCCCAATCAATCAGATCTAGGAAATATCTCGTATTGTCCCTCACTTGTCTATAAGGCACAAATCCAGCCTGTTCGTCAGAAATTACAGTGTGTAGCAAAGGTGTGAGTCTTGATGCGATTAGTTTTGCATATAACTTGACGTCTGCATTTAAAGGGGAAATTAGGCGTAAATTTGCGCCAGAGCTAGGTGGTTTGTTAGGCTTGGGTAGTGTGATAATATATGCTTCCAACATTTCTGGTGGCATATCGCCTGTTTGCATTATCTCATTAAAAAGGCGAGTTAGATGCGGTGTTAAATTTCGCTCCAGTTTGAGATAATAATTTGTGAGTCCGTCCGGGCCTGGTCCTTTGTGTTTGGGTAGAGATCTAATTGCCTCTCTAACCTCCTCTTCTGTAAAAGAAGTGTCTAGAGCTTGGGATTGCTGGTGTCAGAGTACTGATAACTCGACACTGTCTAAAAAAGCCTGAATACCGTTAGGCGTGGGGTCATGTATCGTTTCATCATCACTTAAATTAAAAAGATGTGTGTAGAAGTTCCTTGACTATCATAGTGGGGTTATAAAGTTTATCTCCTGTGGAGGAGGATATGTAGGGGATATTGGTTTGAAGATATCTGTTTTTTAGTATATTCGCTAGTAGTCTTCCGGCTTTATTACCAAATGAGTAATATTTCTGTTTAGTTTGTCTCATCTGTTTTTCAATGTCATGTAAATTTAGTTCCTGTAGTTCTCTCTGAATGGCTGCTTTTTTCTTGGACAAGTTCCTATATGGTGTGGTTTTATTGGTTTATGGTGTGGTGTTTTTCTAATGCTGCTAATTCCCTGAGGCATCTAGAATGATCTCTACACCTCATTCTCTTGCGCTTGGACCCTAATTGGATCAGTAACCCATGCAGTACAGCCTTATGGGCCAACCATTGGGTGGTCGGAGGCATGTTTGGAGTTTTATTGTCGGAATAGTAGTTGCGTATTGCCTCCCTAAATGTCATCACAGTGGACGGAGAGTCCAAAATGATCTAATTCAGTCGCCATTTCCCCCTCCGTCTAGCAGGGTATGGGGACGTCAAATGTGAGTACCACAGGAGCGTGGTCCAAAAACGTCCTTTGACCTATGGAGACGTCCATTAAATGTTAGTTTATCCACCAAAAACATTTAGATTTAGATTTGGGAATATGTTAAATGCATAGGTGAGAAATATTAATAATCCTTGGCCAAGAGGAAAATATTCCTCCATGTGTCATATAGGTCATGTGTGTGCAACAATTTGTGTGTGGTTCTGTTCCTTTCTCTCATAATATCCAAGTAGGGGGAAATAAAACATAATTTAACTATGTGCACAAATTTACAAGTGATTATAGACAAGTGACTGACTTGCAAATTGACATATTTTCACATGGAAGGGCTGGGTACTGTCATTTTAATTGACAGTGCCATATAACAAATACTGTGACTATAGCAGGCCGATGAATCAATTGTATTAACAGAGTATTTTAAAATGTGGCAATTCTAGTTCTGATATGAATTAAATGTAAGTCATTGACCTATATTTTCAACAGGTAAACTTTGATAATCAGCTGCTAGTGGTTGATCATATCCTAAACTTGATGATCATGACAAGCAAGTTGCCAATTTAAGATATTTCCTTTTCTTTAACAGTGGAACAAAGTCATCCTGTAGTAGCTGGATTATGAGAATCTTCCCTGGTAACCATAACAGACAGAAAATACATCTTGAGATTTAAACAGTCATTAAAGTATGTTCTTATTTACTGGGAGAGATGGGAAAATCTCTTGCTGCTGAAATGTAAAGGAACATTCTATGCTCCACTACTACCACTACAGTTAAGTGGTAAAAGAAATGTTTTGAAGAAGTCCCTCAAACCATTTTTGCGCAGTTTGTAGGAAGCCAATGCATCCCCTGCACCCAAAGTCTGCCTCAATTTAATAAGCTTTCCAAATTATTCAATACTGTTAATAAAACGTCCCAAATGATTTATCTACAAAATGTCCCGTAGATTTTAATGGTGACTTCTATAAATAATTTATTAGGAAAGATTTTTCTAACAGCATCAAATTATTTGAAAAGCTAGAAATAAGGTTTTCTCCCAAACTATAAATTTTTGATGTCAAAACTGCTAGCATAATGTACAGACAGAATCTTATCCTCTTTTTAAAAGAGCATACGTTAAAATAGGACTCCAGGTATCTTTTAAACACAACTCCAAATCTGGGTAAGAGCAGAGCACTACATAAGACGTGGAGTGTAACCCCTGCCAATCTGAAGCAGACGGCACTGTCCTAATAATGTGGAAACCATAGCCTTAACCCTAACTCAGAATTTGGCTTTATGGTTTGGAACCATGTATCATCTCAATTACATCAGTCTGACCTAAAACATGTCACAATGATTAGAACTCAGTTTAAGAGTTTTTCTTCTTCTAAAATGCAATTGCTGATAATTCCATGTTGTGTAGTGAGTATGTAATACAGGATGTGGGAATAATAAATATCAAATATGGTTTGTATTGTGAATATTTCTGTCCTCTAATTTCTGTAAAATGTTAGCTAAGATTTGACCTCTTTGCGCTCTATATAAACTTTATATCACTACATATGTTTCTAATCTAAATATATACATTTTATTTCTAAACCTTGCAGAGAGGATATTCCGTGGATGTGCTTTTCTTTTGCTAGCATGGTGTAACTTTTCAATTCTTATTTTTTAAAATATAAAATGTATTTTTATAGCTCGTCTGACAATTATATTAATCTGTCATTCAGACAGAAGTGTGAGGAATTAAAATCTCACGATTTATTATACTTTTGTAAATGTTGCCAACCAAAATTCTTAAAGGCTGCCCATTTGGAAAATCTAAAATAAAATATCTTTAAAGGATCACTATAGGGTCATATACACAAACATCCCTATAGTGACAACCCACAATTTAGGTGGCTTGCCCCCCTCCCCCATTTAGCCCCCTCAGAATGGTTTAAAACCTTATTTTCAGCTCTACACAGTTCTGCCAGCACTGGCCCCGCTCCCTTGGTGACATCATCAAAATTGCCATTTTTTAGACTGACAGATTGGCTAAAATCAGCAAGGGGCGGGGCCAAATGCTGTTTTGGGCAATCAGACCCTCCTCATAGAGATGGATTGAATCGATGCATTTCTATGAGGAAAATTCAGCATCTCCATGCAGGGCTGCTCACTGTGCAGGAGCCAGGAAGCACCTCCAGTGGCCATCTAAGGAGTGGCCATTTGGAGGTGTCCCTAGGGCCAATGTAAATACTGCCTTTTCTCTGATGCATGAAAATGCCTGAAGGGAGCTATTATACTCACCATAACAACTACATTAAGCTGTAGTTGTTCTGGTGACTATAGTGTTCCTTTAAGAAATATATGTTTGCTTTTGGTTTTATATATAATAATATATAATAAATAATATTGTTTTTTACAGTGAAATTAATCATATTTAAGACTGCCCTCACCACAAATTTTTGCCCCCCATATAGTTAAAGGCTGATCAAGCTGAGATGAGTGTGAAGACATTCTAAAATAGTGGATTAAGTTTCAGGATGTAACTACTTCAACTGTGCTAATCCAGTTACATGGGGGAAGGGGTTGTAGTCTGATTTATGAGTTTACAACAATTTAGTAAATTTCCTGAGCTTTTGTGTCTACCAAAGGGGAAAGTAAAATGTAATTTATAACTGAAAGGTATTAAGGAGAGGTATGAAAGAAAAGCACTACATTTTGCTTCCTTACAGATTATATGAAAATAGTAAATGATGCATGAAGCAATGTGATTAAATAGGCCCCAAACCTTTATTCTTCCCCTTGTTCAAATACAGTTCATTCTTATTTGTGAGGTTATGGTGAGTATGTGTTGCCTGCTGTTGTTTCTTTTTGCAAGGATCCTGGATAGCCAGGCACCATGAGCAATACTGGTGGTCTGTTTTGTAACCCTTCCGCCCCCCAACAAGTGAGTAATAAAGCAAACTCCAGGTATTACTAAGATGTGATACATGAGGAAAGGAGATTTCTACTACAATACAGGGATGGGTGCTTTACTTGGAGAGCAATAAAGTTTTAAATTCTCTACTTAAATACGTTGTTTTGCCAAACAAATCGTTTTAAGCTGGGTATTATAGCTTCTTTTAGATCAACAGTAGATAAACGAGTGTACAGAGATAAGTTTGGTGGGCTTGTGTCTTTCCCAACCTATAATGTTAGATAGTCATGCACAGGGCCGATGCAAAAAATGTTGCTGCCCACTCATGCAGACTTACACACACTGGCCCAAGCAGACTGATACACACACCCATGCAGACTGACACACACGCACACATACACAACTGACTAATGCAGACTGACACACACACACTGATCAATGCAGAAACACACTGACCCAAGCAATTAAAGTGCTGCTGCTGCAATGGATTTTGGAGAGGGGAGCTGAGGTGGATGTCGGACTGATATTCTACTGGGCACTAGTCAGCAACCATGTAAGTGCTACCTAGCGCCTGGTAACATGGCCGGCAGAACACTTTATTTAATTAGTCCAGCATAGATCTCATAAGAGATTGCGGGATCTTAAGCCCGCCTTGCCGTCAGAGCACGCCCTAGCGCCCGCCCTGCCATCAGCCAGCCACTTAGATTTATCTCGTCCGTGAGAGAGCCTGCCGTTCCCAGTTTTCTATCACTCGTGGTAGAGGAGTGATAGAGTGGAGGTGATAGTTAAAGCTCTGTTATTGTCATAGATAGAAAACTCTGTTAGGGATGTTAAAAGGCTCTGTAAGGGACTTTAAAAGGCTCTGTCAGGGGAATTGAAAGACTGTCAGGGGCATTGACATTATCTGCTAGGGACATTAAAAGGCTCTGTAAGGGATATTAAAGGGCTCTGTCAGGGGCATTGCAATTCTCAGTTAGGGACATTAAAAGGCTCTGTAAGGGACATTAAAAGTAGGGAACTGTTCAGAGAAAAATTATTACTACTTCTACCTGTTCGGCACTTATAGAAACTGAGAAAGAAGATATAACTAAAAATCCAGAAAACATGCCCAAAATAGTTGTATCTACTGTTCCTCAAATAGCAGAGACAAGTGACAAGGCAAAAAAAGAAAAGCACACAATGCTAGCCAATCTTCTCAAACAAAGAAAAGAAAATATGATGATAGCTACTTCTCATTTGGATTCACAAGTGCCAGAAATGAAGATTGTCCTGAAGCACAATGCGTACTTTGCAATAAAATATTGCCAAACTTTAGCACCTGCTAAATAACGTTGTCGTTTTTAGCAAAACCATGCAGAATACATAGATAAAGACATTTACTTTTTTATGCAAAAGCTAAAGGAGTATCAGAAGAGTAAACTATTTATGAGCAAAATATTTCAAAATGCTGATGAAAAAGCCACAGATCTTTCTAACTGAGTGAGTTACTGCATACCACTTGCAGGAGAAGCACACACAATTGTGGAATCACTAATAAAACCATGTGCAAAATAAATAGTGTCATGTATTTTAAGTGAGAAGTTGAGTAAAATAATTTAAGCTGTGCCACTTTCCAACAACACAGTTTTGTGCCGTATTCATGATCTTGGTGATGACATTCATACTGAACTAATTTCTGCACTGCATCAATGTGATGGGTACTCACTGCAATTAGATGAGTCCACAGATGTTGCAGGACTTTCAGTTTTGTTGGTTTTTGTTAGATATAATTTTGGCAAACAGATTGAAAAAGACTTTCTTCTGTGTGAAACTTTGAAAACTCATATCACTGGTGAGAACATCTTTAACTGTATCCAGACGTTCATGAACACACACAGTATAAATTGGGACAAATGTGTAGATGTGTGCAGTGATGGTGCCAAAGCAATGGTTGGGAAAGTGGCAGGTGCTGTGACATGAATAAGAAATGTATCAAAAAATAGCACCAGCTGTCGCTGTGTTCTTCACAGACATGCACTGGTAGCAAAAAATATTTAAATCTCACTTAAAACTGTGCTAAACGAATCGGACCAGATTATAAATTTTATAAAAAGTCGACCATTACAGTCACAACTATTTAAAATAATATGTAAAGATATGGGTAGTCACCACTCTGCTCTGCTTTTGCATTCAGAAGTCCGTTGGCGATCATGAGGTAAAGTCCTTGTTAGAATGTATGAATTGCGTCAAGAGTTGTTTACATATTTCCAGGATCATAAATCTGGATTATCTGATCGATTAACAAACACTCTGTGGTTATCCAAAGTAGCATATCTTGCAGACATATTCACAAAATTAAATGACGTATGTTTATCACTCCAAGGAAAAAACACTAATATTTTTAATGCAAGAGATAAAATATTTTCACTGTCTTGTATGCTGCAGTTTTGGATATCAGCTGTTGAGCAAAATAATTTGAACTCTTTGCCAACACTTAAGGATTTTCTTGAAGAATCAGAAATTGAACTTGAAGATGAAATTTGCAATGAAATTGATCATCTTCGCCATTAAATCACATCTATTAATCAGTTTTTTCCATTCTTGAATGAAAACAATAATGAATGGGTTCGAAGTCCATTCATAAAAGACAAGTCAGTCAATTTTTCTAATGCAGATTTTGAGAAAATTTGATCGATATAACTTTTGACAGTCAACTAAGCCAAAAATTTTAAGAAGTTTCTCCTATTGCTTTTTGGGGTGATTTACGCAAAGAATACCCAGAATTAAACCAGATATAAAAAGAATTTGCCAGCAAAAGAGAACATTACACTCTGCTCATTGAAAGGTTTGCGCTGCGCTACTATGCGGCGCACATTTTTTTGTTGGGGTTCCAAAGTTTTGCTACACCATTTCAAAGGGTTCCAAGGGAAAAATTAATTGGGAAACCCTGCCTTAGAAAAACAACTGCAACCTGAAGAGCTCTAAGTATATGTTAAATAGTATCAAAATACTGTAACAAAATCCTTCACAGCAAATAGTAGCAAGAAGGGAAATCTTACCGGTGAGATGTACAGTATGATGAAGCCCACAAATAATATGAAAGATATACCACAGTATTAAAAGTACAATACTGATCAAGTTAAAATAAACTAAACATATCTGTAAACTAAATAGAGGCAAGTACAATACAGAGATAACCATATCACAAACAGAGCTGATAAAATATACAGATATAATGCACTGGGCACTATATAAATATATGCATTCAATACAGAGAGAGAGCTGGGTAGAGTACAGAGATATCCATGAATTAGGTAGAGCAGAGAAATAACATATAGAGATGGGCACAATAAGAAGATGTCATAACTATCCCACAGAGCCAGGATCACTGTGATGGATTACACAGAACTGCAATACAGAGATACTCGAAGAGGGCAAACTGTTTTGGCTCTTTCTCTCTCTCTCTCCCCCCGCAGCTATTAGGACCATGCAGAGGGTGCTGCTAAACTGAATTATGCGCTCTTGCTGTGCTATCCGGAGACAGTTCCCTGGTGTCCCCAGAAGACAGGACCCCTGTGTGCTAAAGTGGGATGGAGGGACAGCACCCCAAAATCAGAACTGTCCACAGAAAGCGAGACTGTTGGGTTACATGCACTATTATTTGCTATCTTTTGTTGCAAGTTGTAATCTGTGACTATTTAAAGACATAGCAACAAGACAGCTACTTTAAAATAATTAGTGAGCTATGCTATTGTTCATTATTCATACAAAAGTTCAGCTTGCCAAAATGAAAACACAATGGCAATTGTGTCCCAGTGTGTTTGTGATATTTACCCACTCTACCACATTCCATTCTACACTTCCTATTTCACACCTCACATGGTAAGGTTCCTTAAATTTAAAGGGACACCTAAATCTAAAGTTAAAATTAAAGGAGAGACATATATATGACTCAGGAACTAAACATAAAGTGATCTATAACAGAGATTATTTTACATGCAATTTTAGGACAGCAGCTTTCTACATGGATGGATATTTCTGCATTACATTACACAATGTCAGTCCAATCATTCACTACATTAAATAAAGTACGTATTACCCTACCTATCATACAGTACAGAATCTGAAAGCATGATCTACTTGCTAATTCTGCACTTTCAATACAGCGGATGAGAGAGTGGGAAAAGCTCTGGTTTATGGCAAAGCATTCCTAACTGGCAATCGGGGGATGGAGCCTGGACACACTTGCAACATAACCAATACATCAAGTTGTAGTGGTTCCCAAACCAGTACTCAAGGTACAGAAACAGTCATAGATTTAAATAATTACTAATTCTATTCTAAAGGTGATACTGGCAAAACCTGAATTATTGCTGTGCCACAGGTGAAGAGTAACCCTTTCACTAAAGTTATTGTAGTTTCCCATTGTACAGCGCCATGGGATTTGCTGGCACTATATAAATAAATAATAAAATAATAATAATAGTAAACTTAAAATGGAATTGAAAAGTTGGAGGATTTTTCAAATGAGCTACTTTAGATACATTTTGTGATTTGTTTTTTTGTTCACTGCATTTACCTGTTTAGTGAATAAACCTGTGAGTATTTGTTTGTATATATAGTGGACATAAAAGGGGCACTGGGTCTCGTTTTCGTGTGCGCCAAGACTGTTGCCAGTTTGTCCATGCATAATAGCCCTGGTTCTGGTTTTCTGGTTATGCTACACCTTCCAATTAATTAACTAGTGTTGATTTAATATGTAATCAGAAACTATATATGATAGTTTATCTGAAGTATAACCATACACAATGGATCTACCATACATTTTGCATGGAATAGTACCTTAATCACACATGCCTTTGCTGCACTTTCACATTGTGGGCAACTTCAGGGCCGGACTGGGAACTAAAAGCAGCCCTGGAAAAAAATTCTTCACCAGCCCAATAATGCGTTGCGCCAGCATAGTGTGCTGATATAGAGTTGGAAAAGAAAAATTTAAAATTATTACTCCAATGTGAAAGAAAGCACTCATAAGCTTCAAAATAAACAAAAGAGCAGATTTATTTTAAGCAGATGTGCCTTTGCATATAATCAATGTTTCAGTCCAACTATCTTGACATATTAAGGAAAGTTTGGTAGTGGGACTGAAATGGTGAATGTATGTAGGGCACAACTGTAAAAAAAAATTGACGTTATCTTCTTTATTTTGAAGTCCTATGAGTGCGCTCTTCACTTTAAATATGTTATTGTGCTGGAGTATGCACCTAGCAACAATACTGGGTCAATACGTGCTCATTACATATATGTTTCTTCCCCCTCCCTCTGTGTCTCTCTCTCCCCCTCTGCCTCTTTCTCCCCCTCCCCGTGTCTCTCTCTTCCCCCTGTCTTTCTCCCCATCTCTCTTTCTTTCCCCTCTGTTTCTTTCTTCCCCCGCCCCGTGTCTGTCTATTCCCCCTATGTCTCTTTCTCCCTGTGTCTCTCTATTCCCCGTCTCTTTATCTCCCAGTGTCTCTCTCTCTCTATCTATTCCCCCTCTGTTTCTTTCTTTGCCGTCCCTCTGTGTCTCTTTATCCCCTCTGTCTCTTTCTACCCCTGTGTCTCTATTCTCCCACTGTTTTTCTTTTCTATTATCCCTATGTCTCTCTATTCCCCCTTTCTCCCCCTGTGTCTCTCTCTCTCTATTCCCCTCTGTTTCTTTCTTCCCCCACCCCCTGCTTCTCTCTATTCCCCTCTGTATCTTTCTTCCCCCTCCCTGTCTCTCTATTCCCCTCTGTCTTTCCCCCCCCCTCCCTCTGTCTCTTTATCCCCCCTGTCTCTTTCTACCCCTGTGTCTCTCTATTCTCCTATTGTCTCTTTCTTTTCTATTCTCCTATGTCTCTCTATTCCCCGTCTTTCTCCCCCATGTCTCTCTATTCCCCCTGTCTCTTTCTCCCCCTGTCTCTCTATTCCCCCTGTCTCTTTCTCCTCCTGTGTGTCTCCATCTCTATTCCCCTTGTGTCTCTCTCTATTCTCCCACTGTCTCTTTCTTCCCTATTCCCCCTTTGTCTTTCTCCCCCCTCCCATTGTGTCTCTCTATTCCCGTTCTCTTTCTTCCCCCTCCATTTGTGTATCTCTATTACCCCTCTGTCTCTTTCTCCCTCCTTCCCCTGTGTCTCTTTTTCCTCTTCATTACTCCCTGAGGTTGACCTTGCCTGGAGCTCTGGGAGCAGTGGATGACCGGCAATGGCAGAAATGGGCTGTTCTCTCTGTCTCTCTATCATGCTCCCTCGTGGTTCCCACAATACCCAGCACAGCCACATCATAGAGTAATCATTACTCTATCATGTAGCTGTGATGAAAATTGTGGGAACCGCAAGGGAGCATAATAGTCAGGTCTGCCCCTCCCTCCTATGCTGACAGTTCACTTCTGTCAGTATTAGTGAGTGTGCCGCCGGACTGGCCTGGCGGCACCAGCATGGAACGCGGCCAGCTCCCTCAGAGTGTGCCACCGGACCGGCCACCCGGTGGCACCTACATGCAGTCGCAGCGTTACTGAAATTTCCCGGTATCCCAGTGGGCCAGTCCGACCCTGGGCAACTTCACCACCACATTGTGCTTCTATAAATAAATACAGCACAACTGCATGTGTGCTCTGCATTCATTCAGTAGGAAAGTGTTAGGTTATTTTACATGTGGTGCCTGGTATCAATTAGAAAAAAACTAACAGATCTTTAAAAAAATAAAAAGCACAATTCATAGCGAACATAGGCCCTAATTTAATATTTTTGGATAATCTTTTCAAATGATTTAATGTTTTAGATAAATTAAAATATCTGAAATATGCCAATATACCAACAAATACCAAAATACTAAAAATATTTTTTTAAAAATTATATTAAATAGTTGTAAAAGTTTATCCCAAAATATTAAATTATTTGGAAATCTAATCAAAAAATATTAAATCGAAACCATAGTTTTCTGTTTCATTATGCAAAAATCTTACAGTTCAACTTTAACATTAAAAATCTTAATAAATTGGTTTTGTCACCTAGATCCTCTCTCTGTGGCAATGTTAAGCCCTCAAGGACGGCGGGCGTTCTATGGCGTACTTTTGTTCAAAATGCCGGAGGGCGGCATAGAATGTCCCTGCTGTCCTTCATACTTAACGGGTCCCCAGGCCATGTGATCGCGGGGTCCTCGCGATCACATGGCCGGAATAGCTGGCTTGTGCAGTGCCTGCAGGGAGACTGTCTGAACTCTCAGGCTGTCCCCCTCATGCCTGTACAAAAATTTTAAAAAGTTAAAGTGTTAAAATAGTTTTTAAATTAAATAAAAGTACTTAGATCACATATATTTATATATATATATATATATATATATATATATATATATATATATATATATATATATAAAATCCTTTATGTATATATATATATATATATATATTTATTAATATTAAAATATACTTAGAATGACGAATTATATATATACATAATTATACTTTTATTTATATATATATATATATATATATATATATATATATATATATATATATATAAATAAAATACACAAGATCCAGCACACTCACCTATCCACTAAAGAGCAACTTCAATGTGGAAAGATTTTATTTGTTGTTTTACAAACACCTAATCTAGGCAAAAATAATGGGGTTTAGTTACATTATATTATCATACATTGCATAAGCCTGCCACAACGTCAATGTACCCCATCTTTGGCAGGTCCTACTCTAACAGCCTAATGTCTGCTCTTATGAGATTAACCCACTTACTTGGGGAAAAAAATTCCATCTGGGGCTCTCTGCAGTACAAGGCAGGGCCCTGGGATGAGGCACCTGTGACAGGGAGGGGTGCAAAACCAAGGAGTTGGCTAGACTCCCAAATATATATATATATATATATATATATATATATATATATATATATATATATATATGAAACAAGGGGGTGTGGCTGCACTTACCTGAACATGCATAAATGGGGTGCTGCTGGGGGCCAAATTATACAATACACAAGATCCAGCGCACTCACTTTGTAGATCTTCCCTTCCAGAGACACAGGCACAGCTACTGCAGAACACCAATCTGCCTAACAGGAAACCATATGAATGCTGTAAACAGCCGAATAGGAAAAACCATACAAATAGGTTTACACTCCTGGCAGTCGAACTGGAACAGCATACAATAAATCCCCCCAAGAACGAGACAAGGCTCCGTTTTGAGGGTCAAGCAGGAACAGACAGAGCTGTGGGTTTATTGTCCTTATATACACATTAGTACCACCCACAGGGTTTTGGAACACAAATAGAAAACACATCCAATACACTCAGACACTCCCACACAAAATCCTCCCCACTGCCTATGATACAATTACCTTACACAATGGGTAATGTAATTATCACAAGCAGAGAAATACAATTTTTCCACATTATTCAGAACTTGAAAAGTACGCATCACATTCACTTACATTTTCAGAATCAGCATACTCCAAATACAAACATACGTCAAAATCATCCAAATTGGTCCAGTGGTTCAAAAGATAGATCGTAGTCCTTTGTGACCAAAAGAGGCATGGCTTTTCTGCCCAAAACCAGTTCCACAGAGTCTTGTATCCTGGAGATAATTGTGAAGTAATCCAATTATCTCCAAGGACAGAGGCAAAACTCCATTGAACACATGGCAGCAAAAGACAATAAAACACATAAAAACATATAACTGTGCAGCCATTGCACAAAACAGGTACATTCAACATTTCCCCAGATAGCTCAGATCTGAGAGCACATTATTACTGAATGGCGCTCAGCACACACATACTGTTCAATTGCCATGGAGCCAAAGTCTTTCCCATAGTCTTTCATTATACGAATGGGCTCCATGGCATAGCTATCTGGGGTATCACAGCTCAAACAGAGCCAGCACCGAATGACCCGGCTTTTGTGTCTCCACAGGGGAAAATCAAGCCTTTTATCATGGGGCCATAGCCCAGAGGCAACAGGCGAGCAACCAGGCTTCTCCAATGCAATGTGGCGAGATTGCTCCCGTCACAAATATATACCAGTTTAACCCCTTAAGGACACATGACATGTGTGACATGTCATGATTCCCTTTTATTCCAGAAGTTTGGTCCTTAAGGGGTTAAACTTGTTCTAAATGTATTTTGATATTCATTTAATATACATTTAAATCAAAATACATTTAGAATGATGTTATAAATACATATATAGCTATATATAAATAAAAAATATATATACATATACTGGAAGGGATTCTGGGTAGGTGTATGCAAATGAGCTAAACAAAGAACCACATTGCATTAACGAAACAGCTGTCCATGAGTGGTTCACTGGCTTTGCTCCTCTTCCTGAGTTGTGTTTTAACCCCTTAAGACCGCAGGGCGTTCTATGCCGTCCTTTTTTAGATGGCTCTAAAAAAGATCTTTTGTACTTACCCGGTCGCCGGCGATCGCGGTATGGGGACTTACTTGGGAGCCCAGGGAGTCCCCCTCCGTCCTCTTCAGCCCCCCTGGGCCATGTGATCACAAGGTCCTTGCGAGGACCCTGCGATCACTTGGACGCGATCACTTGGACGGCATTGCCAGCAGGGGGAGTGCCTGTAATGTCATTTTATTAATTACAATTTGCAGGACCTGCCTGACAACCCAGGCCGAAAGTTCAGGGAATTTAATTTTCTAGCACTATATTTAACCCTGTAACTTTCCAAAACACCATAAAACCTGTACATGGGGGGGTACTGTTTTACTCGGAAGACTTCGCTAAACACAAATATAAGTGTTTCAAAACAGTAAAATGTATTACAACGACGATATCGTCAGTGACAGTGAAATTTTTTGCATTTTTCACACACAAATGGAACTTACATCGACGATATAATTGTTGTGATACGTTTTACTGTTTTGAAACACTAATATCTGTGTTCAGCAAAGTCTCCCGGGTATAACAGTAACCCTCATGTACAGGTTTTATGGTGTTTTCAAAAGTTACAGAGTCAAATATAAGGCTTGCGTTTCAGTTTCAGTTTAAAATTCGCCAGGTTGCCTTTGAGACTGTACGGTAGCCCAGGAATGAAAATTACCCCCATGATGGCATACCATTTGCAATAGTAGACAACCCAGGATATTGCAAATGGGGTATGTTCAGTCTTTTTTAGTAGCCACTTAGTCACAAACACTGACCAAAATTTGTGTTCAAATTAGTTTTTTGCATTTTCAAATATTAACACTAACTTTGGCCAGTGTTTGTGACCAAGTGGCTACTAAAAAAGACTGGACATACTCTATTTGCAATACCTTGGGTTGTCTACTTTTGCAAATGGTATGCCATCATGGGGGTAATTCTTATTCCTGGGCTACCATATGGTCTCAAAGGCAACGTAAACAATCTGGCGAATTTCAATGTGAAAAAACTGAAATATGTAACACGCTATATTTGACCCTGTGACTTCCCAAAACACCATAAAACCTGTACATAGGGGGTATGGTTTTACACGTGAGACATCTCTGAATACAAATATGTGTATGTTGCTGCAGTAAAAGCAAACAGTATTTTGACATTCACAGTTAAAATGTCACGTAGAACTAAAAATTTTTTAAAAATTCTTATTTTCTCCCATTTTTTTATTATTTTTTTTTTATATTAAATTATGTTCCATAAATATTTGATGTTAAACGAAAGCGCTGTTTCCCCTGAAAAAAATGATACCTATTAAGTGTGGGTGCATTTAATATGAAAGAGGTGAATTACGGTTGGACAGACATACAGCGCAAATGCCAGGTTTTGTTTACGTTTTGTTTTGATCACAACTTGTACATTTGGCTGCGGTCTTAAGGGGTTAAAGCTGTTGTATACAGCAGACACATACTCCAAGGAAGCCATGTATAAAGTGGAATTATGAGGCAAAAATGTGGTTCTTTGTTGAGCTCATTTGCATATGCCTACCCAGAATCCCTTGCAGTAGTGAGAGCATTGTTAAAGTGAGATTTCTGTGGAAAAAGCAAGTCTTATGGCTTGACTGGTGAGTGTATTTGTGTTTAGCAATGTATTAACTATACATTTACTTCAGGTGGAAGTGGTTTTCATCCACACTTTTTCCCACACCACAACACTTTTGGTATGTATGTGTGTATATATATATATATATATATATATACCAAAAGTGTTGTGGTGTGGTATATATATATATATATATATATATATATATATACACACACACTTAAATTCTAAAAATATATTTATATAATATTTTTACATAATTAAGTAATTTTATTAATTACAATTTGAGGAACCTGTCTGACAACCCAGGCAGAAAGTCCAGAGAATTTGGTTCGCAAGACCTACATTTAACCCTGTAACTTTCCAGGACAGCATAAAACCTGCACATCGGGGGTACTGTTTTACTTGGGAAACTTTGCTGAACACAAATATTAGTGTTTCTAAACAGTAAAACATATCACAACGGTGTTATCATCAGTGAAAGTGCAGTTTTTTGCATTTTTCACAGACAAACTGCACGTTCACGGACTTTATAATTGTTGTGATACGTTTTACTGCGTAGTCTCGCGATTAAAACCGTACCCCCCAAACCACAGGAATGTAACTCACAGGGCCCCAATAAAATACTTAAATTAACACGACAAGGAGCGGACAAAGATTAGGACCCACGGTCTCTCAATAGAGGTTTAACAGGACACCCAAAACTAGACCCGCTTTCACTATAACAGTACACCGCCCACACACCCCTGGCAATCAATATCAATGCTTAAATTGATGTCCATGTATGCCCCGCTACCTAGCTATGTTTATATTTACAAAAAAAAAAAAAAAAAAAATGTGCAATGTTCCTCACCTGCTATGTGCTTGTTTGCAAATGTATACCAATTTTGGGCTCACACACGCTGTTTTAGCAGTGCAAGCCAATTTGTGATCTTTTTTGCATAACAAAATAAAGAAAAAAAAAACCGTACCCCCCCATGTACAGGTTTTATAGTGTTTTCAAAAGTTACAGCGTCAAATATAAGGCTTGCATTTCCTTTTTTTCACATTAAATTTGCCAGATTGGTAATGATGCCTTTGAGACCGTATGGTAGCCCAGGAATGAGAATTATCCCCATGGTTTCATACCATTTAAAAAAAGTAGACAACCCAAGGTATTGCAAATGGGGTATGTCCAGTATTTTTTAGTAGCCACTTAGTCGCAAACACTGGCCAAAATTAGCGTTCAAATTTGTATTTTTCTATTTTTCACACACAAATATGAATGCTAACTTTGGTCAATATTTGTGACTGAGTAACTACTAAAAAAAAAAATGGACATACCCCATGTAACGGATCGCCTGGCACCCCGACTGGGTAACTCCGTTGAAGGATGCTCCTAGCGCTTCCTGAGAACCGGAGAAACAAATAAATTCTCCCAAGCATATGAATGCTGTAGACAGTTGAATAGGAACCATACGAATAGGTTTACTCTCCTAGCAGTCAAACTGGAACAGCATACAATAAATCCTTCCCCCAATAATGAGACAACACTTCACTTTGAGGGTTAAAACAGGAACTCTTGTGCTGGCACACCCAGCCTGGTTTTTATTACAGCCTTTCACATACAGTACCGCCCACAGGTATAAAACAACCAATCACATATCAGTTACATCCCACATATTCCCTCCCCTTATCCTGAGAGGAAACTCAATTACACATACAGTTAAAACATACTTTTTACCCAACTTTCATAACTTTAAAACCATACATCACATTAACATAAAATTACATATTCACAATCAATCCATTCAGGGGAACAACATATTAAAAAATGGCATGAATCCGACCAGGGGTTCAAAAGTTAGTAAAAGTATCTTTTGGACCCTGGCTGGCACATGGTTATCTGGCTCAAACAGGTTTTACAGAGCCCTCTATCCTGGAGACAATGGGGAAAGTAATCCAATTATCCAGGGATAGAGGCAGACTCCATTGAGCACATGGTTGCAAAAAGACATAAAACACTTTAAAATACATAAAGTCACCTTTTACACATAACACACAGACATTTTCAGATAGCTGGGATCTGAGCGCACAAAACTACCGAATAGCGCTCAGATCCTATTCACACAGTTCAATTGCCATGGAGCCGAAGTCTTTAACTACACGAATGGGCTCCATGGCATAGCTATCTGGGTTAACACATTCACATAAAGTCTGGTCCATAGTCCAAAGGCAAGAGGCGGGCAAGCAGCCCCCTCCAAGGACACGGGGCGAGGTCGGTTTCGCCACACCCCATTTGTAATACCTTGCGTTGTCTATCTTTGCAAATGGTATGCCATTAACCTCTAGAATGTAAGCTCATTGAGCAGGGCCCTCCATCCCCTCTGTTCCTGTACGTCCAGTTGTCTGGTTACGATTACATGTCTGTTATTCCTCCCATTGTACAGCGCTATGGAATCTGATGGCGCTATATAAATAATAAAATAATAATAATTATGGGGGTAATTTTCATTCCTGGGCTACCATTTGGTCTCAAAGGCAACATAACCACTCTGGCAAATTTCAATGTGTATAAACTGGAAAATGTAATGTGCTATATTTAACCCTGTAACTTTCCAAAACACTGTAAAACCTGTACATTGTGGGTACTGTTTTACTCGTGAGACATCGTTGAATACAAATATGTGTACTTTATTGCAGTAAAATCTAACAGTATAGTGACATTCACAGTTAAAATGTCATGCAGAACTAAAAAAATGACATTTCTTAATTTCTAATTTTTTTTTTATATTTTATTCATATTAAATTAAGTTTAATATACAAATATTCGATGTGACACTTAAGCCCTGTTTCTCCTGAACAAAATGATATACTGTATAAGTGTGGGTGCACGTAATATGAAAGAGGTGAATTACTCCTGAACAGACATATAGCGCAAATTCCAGGTTTTGTTTACGTTTTGATCAAGTATACAACTGCCTCAGTTCTTAAGGGGTTAAAGAAACAGCAATATTTACATTTGCCAAGAACACAGCTTTAGTGGCTATCAGACAGAGGTGCTTCCTCACTGAAAACTTTCAGTTATTGTCAATTTTCACATTATTATTATTGTTATTTATAAAGCGCCAACAAATTCTGTAGCACTGTACAACATTCAAGCCAAAATGCCGTCTCAACGGCATGAAAATGTTTGTTTTTTAACCCCTTAAGGACCAAACTTCTGGAATAAAAGGGAATCATGACATTTCATACATGTCATGTGTCCTTAAGGGGTTAAAGGAACACTGCAAGCACTATAACTCCTACAGCCCGCCATGCAAGGCAGTGCTTGGGGCCATTCTTAAATGGTTTGACTACTTATTCTATGAAGGAGCACCATAAACACTTTACCGGGTCAAAGTGTTCCTTTTTAAGTTATTCTTTCTATTGCTCTTAAACTAAATGCATAACACACAATTATCCAGGAAATGTTTTCACAAAGTTTTTAAGTAAGTTAGAAAACATTTACGAGGTGATTCACAAAATTTTAGGCAAAAATCGGGTATTAAAATTTGAATTCCTGACAATTCAGCTCAGCCTTTAGATTTTCCTTATTACCCTTGTCCTGATACTGTATCACTGCTTACTGTGTGCATTCCACACATGCAGCAGCAATATTCTTATTGTGTTTTATACACATACACACATACCTAACCCATTCTAACTATTAGCAAAAAGAAAGTGCAACCATAACCACGAATGCATGTAATTCCCAGTTGCCAATATTGTATTTATAACACAGGGAAACGGTAATAAAGCGTTTTCTCCCCTCACTGCTTGCCAGCAGGAAGACAGGCAGGCCCTGGGAGCTGGCTGAACTTTCCAGGAGAGGTCTTAGTCACTCAGCGAGGGGCGGGAAAGGGACGAAAAATCCACATTTTCTTTCCCAAATAAGTCGAAAAACGTTGCATATTTTAGAGGGAATACACCACCTTCCTGGACGTCATTGACCACACCACGCCCAGCCGTAGCCACGCCCACCCCTACCATGAGCTCACCAGTGGATCGCAGGCTGGAGTTCATTCAATACATTTATTTTTCAGGCAGCACCCATCTCTGCAGTCTGCTTCCAAATTCCCTCAGCTCTATTCATCCTCAATCCATTTAAAAAAAATATATATATATTATTTTTATTATTTGCAACATAACAAAAACACAGGGTGTGGATTTTTATTTTTAATTCACATTGGACATTTTTTTTCCTGTGGGATTGCATTTTCTTTATTAAAACAGCTCAGGCAAAATAGGTATTTTTAATTTTTTTTAAAGTGCAATACATATTTTTTTGTTAACTTATTTTTTACAGCAGATCTAATTTTTCGTACATGTGCAATTTATATTCAGTTTGACCTCCAGCTCCCAGTTGCACTTTATTTTAAAGTTTATTTTGTGTTTTTTTTTTTTTTTTTATATATTACTTCTAATTTGCGAAATTTGGTGCATCTAAAGGGAACTTGGAAGTTTGATTTGTAGACATCAACAAAAAGGTCCTTGAGATCAAGCTTAGCTTGTGTACTGTTAAAGGAGCAGAATGGCTTGCCTCGGCCTCAACACCCTGGACTCAGTCAAGAGAAAGATCCAGGCTCTACAGCAACAGGCCGACGATGCTGAAGACAGAGCGCAGGACTTGCAGAAAGATCTGGACACTGAACGTGAGATGCGTGAAAAAGTGAGGCGCAGCTACTCCAAACTATACGGCCTCTGTTTCCTGTCTTCTCCTAAAGAACTCTGATCCCAATCTATTCTCTTCTTCCAAGATTTCTCAACATTCCATCTCCCTGTGGCTGATCTGTGCTTTCTTAACTCTGTATAAAGATACCTGCTTAACAAACATCTACTATTCTTTCTTTTCCCCCCTTGATGTATTGGTGGTGAGGTAGATGTTTGCAAGTCCTTTTGTTCCTGGCAGTAGCCAGTTAGAGTGTAAGTGATATGCGTTTTTAATGTCTGAAGTTTTCTATATGAATCACGATTTAATTTCAGACTTGAAAGTGAATCGCTAAAGAATGTAACGTTCAAGCAATTGCACTCAGTACATAGTGATATTGTAGTTGGGGTGTGGTTACCTGGTGTATATATATGTACGGTGGCTTCGAAAGCCTTTCCCTGTGGGATTGTTGTTCTTGTTCTGAGATACAGAGACTAGTCAAGGACAAACTAGTTAATATGTGGGATAACAGCGTGTAGATCCAAGGACAAAGCTGGTTTAGAATTATTAATAATTATTTTGTGGCATTATTGGTAAATGCTTCAAATTTTGGTTTTCAATTTATTTTGGATCTATAGCAATCAATGAAAAGTTGAATTTGGTGGACCTGAGTGCTTTTCTACCTAGGTCACTATGTAGATATTTTAAATATAGCTGTGGGGACTATATTACCATTTTATTTTATTTTTATTTTTAAGGATTGGTGCATTTTAGTATTCTTCATTATAGCTTTCATTTAATTCAGCCCATGTAGTACATACAGTATACATATAACAAGACCTCTTCACTAACAAAACAGGGAATTTTTTCTTCTCACTGAATTTCTGAATATATTGTTTATGTATTTCATGTCATTGTCCATTGATAGTGTGACGTGAGAATATTAGGATGATTGTTTAGCTTCATTTATCAATTGCATTGCAGTCTGTTTGAGAAGGAAAGAAAAAGATCACTGGTACTTCATTAAGAGGGCATTATAAGCTCTATAACCAGTATAGCCAAATATAGTGGTTATGGTTCCAACATACCCCTGCCTCCAGTTTTCGTGCAAGGGAACCAAGGGTCCTCTGGGCACCAGTGGCGTGGCCGCACGTTCAGTACATTGCCATTGCAGAAGTTATGCTTCAACACTAGAAATATTAGTTTAGTACAATTTTAGGTGATGTTCATTGGCTGTAGTTCAGCTGATTTGCTTAGCCAGTAAAGTTGGACAAAATTGATATTGCTAATGTGGAAATGTTGCCTTCACTATAGCAATATTGTAAACAATGGGTCAGACCAATGTTCCAAGGGTGCCAACAGTTTAGGTCAAAACACTCTAAAGTGGTTTCACACAAGATATATAAAAATTAGAAGATGATGCCAGGTGTATGCTGGTACTATGAAAACAGGGGGCTGTACTCAGGCCTCCCAACCATCCTTATTTCGGTGGGGCAGTTCTTATTTCAGGCTTCTGTCATGATATCCAGACTTTTGTTGCTTTTGGGGGCACTAGGGAACTGTCCTGATTGAGGGCAGCACGGGCTCATTAGACGTAATCATGGTATGCTCAAGGCACCAGTACCTGTAGAGAGAGTTGACGCAGAGCTATCTGCAAGGTTGGCCCTTAGTAGGCCAACCTTCTTGATTGGCAGGCAGAATGGTATGCATTTGCTCTAAGAGGACCTGCCAGTTCTTTGCATCCTTTTAAGCAGTGCCAATGACGCAATTTGTGTCATTGGCTTATCTCGACTTAACGGAACACCAATGTTGATGGGTACTGCTCATGATGTTTAGAGTCCCCATTAAACCTGAACAGCACATTTTGGTTGGCTAGTAGTAGGTGACGTGGGACGATATACGTACCATGTACCTATACTTACTATTTTTGAGATCAGTTCAACTGTAACGGGTGGAGAATATAAGATTTTTCACTCTTGTTTTTCTTATGGTTTATTAGCATTAATTTTCAGGTCAACTGTCGTGTCAATGGTTAAATGGCAAACCTATACATATATTGACCATGTGATATGTAAGACACTAGGTCATTGGAGTTATAGATTTTTTTTTTTTTCTATTTTAGTCTATAGCCGTGGTTCTTAAACCAGTCCTTAAGGCACCCCTATTAGTCCAGTATTTAGGGATACCCAGTTATGTTTAAGGTGTTTAGAAGGAAAAAATAAAAAACACCTTAGACACAACTGGGTAACCACTAATCTTGGGCTGGTAGGGGTGCCTTGAGGATCGTTTTGAGAACCACTGGTCTATATGTCTAGTTGACTTTCTACTCAGAATAATGTGTAGTTTAATGAATAGTTCCCTAGATTAATTAAGACAAATGTGGAATGATTATTTTACGATTCTCTGTAAAGCTTTTGATGATCTTCGATTATTTGTGAGAACCAGTTGTGCTCTGCCGTGGTCTGTTGAGTTCATGAAGTAAATGGTTTATCTATTGCTTATAAGCCCCTCCAGATGTTATTATCTTGATGCTCTCCCAGAACCATTTGCTGCTACATGTAGAAAAGACAGTTTTTTTTGGGGGGGGGGGTGAGGAGAGGCAGGAATGAATTTCTTTTCTTCTATGCATGGACAGAGAAACATTGCCGACTGGTTAACCAGTAACTTCCTGTTACAATGCACAGTTAATAATTTCCTGTGTGGGGAGATATGCAATGGGTAATAGTTAGGTTTGTGTATAGGGATTGATAGAAGCTGATTCATTGAACTGTTATTTATATTTATAAAGCACCAGTATATATTGCAGCATTTTACAACAGCAAAGAACCGGTAAAGGCAACCACACCACTTCATCTTAATAAAGTGGTCTGAATGCAGCAGCCCTGTAGTTTTGTAGAAACTGCACCTCTAGTGGCTGTCTTCCTGGCAGAGTAAAACCGGCTTGTTGACCAATTGCTGCTCCTAGGGGTGGTGGTTTGTTTTTTGTGTGTTCTGCATGCGCGCCAGCTCACACCATCTTGATTGTCTTGGCTAAGGAGGTTGAATAGCAGGACAGAGACCAGCACATTGAGGGTTGAAAGACAAGTAAACCTCACATGCGCGTGAAGGCACATCCATGGGTATTTTAATACTACAGTGTTAGGAATATACACATAAATGGGTACAACAGGTGATAAGGGCTCTGCTCAAACCAGGTCAGTGTGGAAAGGAAGTGGAGTCAGGTTATGCAAAATGTATCTGAAAGAAATGCAGGGATTCATTCACTGAACACCTTATTGTAGAGAAACATATTGTGACAAATAATGCCCCACTTCTTATGCACTATCCACAAGAGTCGAGGTAACCGTGCTTGATGCACTGTTGTAGCAACACGTGGAATGTGGTCTGGGTGCCAACTCCCACTACCCTTAAAGGACCACTATAGTCCCCTGAGGGTGCCCCAACCCTCAGGGTCCCCCACCCGCCTGGCTCTGGAAAGGGGAAAAGGGGTAAAACGTACCTTTTTCCAGCGCTGGGTGGGGACCTCTCATCCTCCTCCTCTCCTCCCCGTCGGCTGAATGCGCACACGCGGCAAGAGCTGCGCGCGCATTCAGCCGGTCGCATAGGAAAGCAGTTACAATGCTTTCCTATGGACGCTTGCGTGCTCTCACTGTGATTTTTCACAGTGAGAATCACGCAAGCGCCTCTAGCGGCTGTCAATGAGACAGCCACTAGGGGCTTTGGAGGAAGGCTTAACCCATTCATAAACATAGCAGTTTCTCTGAAACTGCTATGTTTATAAAAAAAAAAAATGGGTTAACCCTAGCTGGACCTGGCACCCAGACCACTTAATTAAGCTGAAGTGGTCTGGGTGCCTAGAGTGGTCCTTTAACCCTGCAAGTGTAATTATTGCAGTTTTTCATAAACTGCAATAATTACTTTGCAGGGTTAACTCCACCTCTAGTGGACAGCCACTAGAGGGCACTTCCGTGTCTCTAGCACAGATTTTCTGTGCTAGAGTGTCGCTGGACGTCCTCACGCTGTGTGAGGACCTCCAGTATCGCTCAATTCCCCATAGGAAAGCATTTTTAATGCTTTCGTATGGGGAGCTCTAATGCGCATTAGGTCTCTCTGGCCGGCGGGCGGGATCAGTCTCACCCACTGGCCAACGTAATGCGGAGGAGCGGCGGGGGAAGAAGCAGCAACGTGGGACATGTCGCTGCCTCTGGTAAGTGACTTAAAGGGTTTTCACCCCTTCAGCAACCGGGGATTGGGAGGGAGAGGGGACCTGCAGTGCCAGGAAAACAGTGTTTTCCTGGCACTGGTGTTTCCCTTTAATGTTTTTTTTGTTTTGTTTTTTGGACTGATGGCGAGGGAAAAAAATTTGACTTAAAGAAACATTATAGCGTTAGAAATATTCATAATGTTATCATTTCCCTCTGCTCTAAAGTTATTCTCTGGCTGGTGTCGAATAGGTTTAAAACCCTTAAAACATTTACCTCTTTCCCTCAGCACTGGCGCAGTCACTGCCTCCTCTGGCATCTGCAATGCAGCAAGCATTAGGCCTTCCCCACAGGAAAGCATTAAATCAGTTTGATTTGACGACACTGGATGTCCTCATGCAAAGTATGAGGACGTCCAGCGTTATTTCACGGAGTTAAACTCTGAAACTGCAGGAAGTGCCTCTAGTGGCTGTCTAGTTGACAGCCACTAGAGGTAGTCTTAACATCTGAAAGTGCAATGTTTTATACTGCAGGGCTAAAGGGACAGGGACACTGCACCTAGACCACTTCAATGAGATGAAGTGGTCTGGGTGTCTATAGTGTTCCTTTAACTTAAGGCGTTTGACAGAAATCGGACAGTCTTATCTAGGTTCTCGTGAGAGTGGGGTGTATGGGAAAGCAGTGGGTAGTACTTGGCAATTAGAGTGAATGTGTAGCTTGAGTACAATTGTGGAAAACCTACAGAGGACCATTATTTCAACTAAATCATGAAGGATACAGGTAACCGGTATGATGATAATTGTCTAAATATTTAATCACGTGAATAATGGCAGTAGGAAAAACTTTTGTAAGTGGATACTTTACAGAAGTATCGGGGACCATTTAACATATATCCATGGCTAATGAGAACATGTCCTCTTTGCCTAAGTTTCCCATCTCCAGTGTGTGATCTGGGTGGAAGTTAGTGGGGACTTAGGTGTTAAATCATCATGACAGTGAGGTTTACACAATATAATGTAGTCATACATTCACCAAATTTGAGATTTTGGAATGTGTTAAACCAGGCTTTCATCGTACAATTAGATTGAAGTGGCATTGCAGAAGACAAGTCCCAACAACATGAATTGCAGACAACAAAAATAGACATTACCTGTTACAGCAGCACATTCCTTTGGATGAATCATTCCATGAGATCATTTGGACATTTCACAATCATTAGTGCGTCTGCCTATTGTCAGAGTGTGGCAAAAGCAAAAACCAGTGCATAGCGTTCAGAAGAAACCTTCTTAGTCTGCCAAACTTCGTTTTATGTAATAAACATTTTTATTTCTTCCAGAAAAAGCAAGTCATGTTCATAGCTCAGTTGACTGCGGTTCTGAGCCATCTGTCCCTTGCCTTTCTACTCTGTTTGGTTTCAGTCATCCAAACCTGTATCAAGAAATTGATAGGTCATCCACTAAGCTTTTTGATGCACATGCGCCTAGCCGAAATAGCAAGATATTTTAGTAACTAGGATAGAAACCTACAAACATACAGGTAAAAAATGAAACACATAGAGTAATATTGTATATCTACCGATATGTACTAATGTATATTACAGTCACAAAATTATAATTGATAGTAGGAATGTAGGATATAAAATCTGTATTTTCTTTTCTACCACTCAAGTGGAAAAAAAACAATATATGTAAGTGCACACACACATGCAAATCTTCAAAAGACCATATATTTAATTAGAAAACTGCACTTACAATTCTCACAATAAAGGCAAGAATATGCCCAGTGTTGGTAAAGGTTGCAGTTCCCCAGCACTCTGGTCTTTCATGTCCAGAAAACATAATTGACTTCTTTCACACACCTACAGGGACAGTTTCCAGAAAAAAAACACCTTACACATTTCTTCGGATGGGACAGATTTTCTCTGGGGTAATTGGCCAAACAAAAAATCCTATAATATATATGCCATTGGCCATCCTTTTAAATGGCCCAAACACACCCCTGATGAGGCAGTAACCAAATCCATTAACTAGAGCGGTTTTGGCAAAAACCACCCCATGGGTGCAAATAACAAACATTTCTTTCTGACTCTTGAAACTGACAGGGTTATTTACTCAAGTGTGAATTCTAAGTGAATTAAGGCCAAGGGGGGTGGGGGTATTTTGCTGCCATTAGGCATCTTTCATCACATGCTATACAAGCTGATGATGGACATATCATCCGATGCACATATTTAACATTAACTAGCTGGTACTCTATTCTGGGTTGGCTAATAATGCAAACTAAATGGCTCTCTGCAGTGTTTTATAGATAGCAATATTCTATAGTGCAACAATGAATTATGCACCCTTGGCATGTACAGACTGTAGATACCATCACTGTCTTGCCAAGGGTGCATAATTCATTGTTGTACTATAGAATGTTGCTATTTAATGTGAGTTGTGTAGTGCATACATGACTTGGCTACTTGGTAGAAGTGGTATGGCCAATTTGATTGTCGAGGATAGATCATGCACCCTTTCAAATGGTCATGGCTTGGTTCAACCCTCTAAATCAGGGATTCCTAGCACAGTCCTCAATTACCCCCTACCAGTCCAGGATTTAGGGATTGCCCTGTTGGGTTTTTTCTAAAACACCTTGGACAACTTGGTAATCCCTAAATCCTGGACTGGTAGGAGGTACTTGAGGACTGGGTTGGGAACCACTGATTTAAATCATATCTCCTAACACAGCATGCAGAGTTTTTAAACAATGGAAAGTGAAGGAAGCAAGCTCGGAATAAGCTCATTAAAAAGTTACTTGCCTCCGAAGGTTCCTTGCTTGCAACAAACCTCCATGATCTGCTGTTTCTGCAGAGGCATCTTATTTAACCAGATACACCTTTAAAAGCGTGCACCGTCAAGCAGCTGTAGAGTCATCCAAAAACCATAATGAGACTTACGGGAGGTTTATGGGAAATGTAGCTCAGGCTACAGCAGTTCCACTCATCTATAGCATATGCTATACATAACTTGTACAGCCAGAGGAGGAAGTTTCATTGACTCCTTCTTTTTATTTTATTTTTTTATTTATAAATATCTTGCAAGTAAATCACTGAAGTTAAAAGCTAGTTAGTTTTTTGCGATATGGGTGCATTGAGACAAAGTAGTCTGTTTGCTTATAATGTTCCTTTAATCCAAGCATACTGTTTTTTTGAATTTTTTTGAATTTCAATTTAAAAGCTTTATGCCTCCCTCCAAATGATTAAATGTAACTTAATTTCAGTGTAGTTATGTTATGAAAGGAGATGAAATTGACGTACAATAGCATTCTTTCATAGTGACTGAGCACACGATATGATTTTTGTTATTTAATCTTATAGTTCTGAGGGTATATTGGCTTATACATTTTTTCTTATTGAAGGTGTCTCGTATTTAATTATTTTTTATTTTTTTTAACAAATCAACCATCTTGCTTTTATGTTTTGCTATTAAATAAATCCTTGACTCACCCGTGCAAATTTATGGCTATCAATATTATCTCTGTTAGTCAGGTCCCTTTTGAGTGGTTATTAGAACCATGCACAGAGCATTCACACAGTATTAAAGGGGGTCTTTAATCACCTAGAGCAACACATGTTAATGTAGAGTGTTTGGGGCATGTATCTTGTCCCTTTACTCTGACAATGTAAAACTTTGCGGTTTCTGAGAATTGGCAATTTTTACCTTAGTCCAAGATCATACATCTAGTGGCTGTCAAACTGATGGCCACTTTAGGTTCATCACTATACACCGCATGATGACACCGAACATGGCAAATGCTTAAAATCCAGAATATTGGATTCAATGCTTCTCTATAAGAATTGTCACACTGATGGAGCACACTGATGCACATGCACCATAGTTCCACAATGCTTCACTATGGAAAGCATTTAGATTGGACAAAGATGATCTTAACTGATGATCTCACCGTAGGCAGATTCTTTTTTATTTTTTATTTTATTTTTTGAAATAAAACAAAGGGAAAGGGGGTGCTAAAATTGAATTAAAAATTGAACACTCTAAGGTTAAAAAAAAAAAGTGTATATTTTTATAGTTATAGTAGTATTTCTTTACGTAATGTTTGCCCACTTGTTTCTTGGATAGTACTTCTTGATTGTCCTACTTGAGTAAATAGGAAAAAAGAAGGGAGGGGTTATGGAGTGGAATAAACCACCACCACTGCCCCAGAGAAGGTTACAGGAGGTATAGGGGGCTTAACCCCAGGGAATTACAACAATGAGAACAAAGAAAAATGGGGTAGAGGATCCACTCACACAAAGTGGGTGGAAAATCCAACCCATTCAGTAATACCTCCTAATGTAGAAAGTCACATGGATTGGGTAAATAAACCTTTATTAGAAAAAATGCTAAAAAATAATAATAATGGTACTAGATACACCAAAACAATGTGTATAAATAGTGATAGAGTGAACACCAACACCTATAAAAGGCTGGGCAGGCTAATCCTAGAAAGTCACATTATTAAGTATAAGGTTCAGGTGAGTAGGTAATATATGCCTCTAGATGGTCAGAGTGGAGTCACCTAAATAACCTAGTATATATGTGACAACACGGTCTAGTCATACAGTTGAAGAAAAAATAGCACTAATGGGATATTAGGTATCTGGCAGTGGTTATGGTGCTGACAGCAGAAAAGGGCAGAACTGTAGTCACAGGTATATGTATAGGCGCCCGGACTAAGTCCTGAGGTGTCTAGGTATTACCAGTAGGAGAGGGGGGAGGAAGAGACGTTTTAAGATTTAGTTCTGAAACACAAGCCACTTGCATCCCAGAATTACAGGTAATTAATCTATTTTCTTGCCAATTAGACAAATCTCACCTTGTTATTCTGGGAAAAGGACATTCCTTTGTACCAACCCCAGCATTTGATAAGTTTACATGGACAAAGGATTTACACCTCTTTGTACGTAAATTGGCACTACATACATTTCATGAGTTAAACAAACAAAAGAAAGCACGTTCTCTGGGTCTCTCTAGCATGGAGATTGAATGCCTTAACACTCTGGTTTCCCTCCTTGATGAGAATGATGCCCAACCATCACTTACTTATAGGAGTCTTAAACTCAAAAGCCGCTTTACTCCCAACTTCTCATCCTTTAGGAATATTGACCTTTTCCTTGAGGCTGTTAAAAGTGAGATAGACGGCATAGAAAGTAAATATTTTCATTCTTTTCCTAGTGACAACTTATCGAGAAGGGAACAGACCGCCTTAAAATCACTCAGGGATAACGACAATGTGATTATAAAGCAGGCAGACAAAGGAGGAAATGTTGTGGTCATGGATATTTTCAACTATGAGCGAATGGTTTTGAATGTATTGGGGAACGCAGACACTTATACCATCCTGCCTTCTGACCCGACAACACTTTCCTTGAGAGCTATAAGGTAATTCTGGACGAAGGCCGCAGTGGAGGGTTGCTCTCTGATGAGGAATATTATTTTATTTTGAACCGTCATCCGAGGATAGCAACCTTCTGCTGCCTGCCAAATGTCCATAAAAGCCTTGAGGACCCACCAGGCCGACCAATAGTGTCTGGGGTTGATAATTTAACCCAATACGGTAGTCTTTATATTGACCAGATTCTCAGACCGTTTGTTGAACTCCTACCCTCTTACATTAGAGACACTAAGCAGACACTCTACCTTCTTTCGAACCTCCATATTGAACCTACGGCCAATCTATGTAGCCTCGATGTTGAGGCGTTATATCACTATTTGTACTCATTGTTTTGGTGTATATAGTACCATTATTATAATTATTTAGCATTTTTTCTAATAAAGGTTTATTTACCCAATCCATGTGACTTTCTACATTAGGAGGTATTACTGAATGGGTTGGATTTTCCACCTACTTTGTGTGAGTGGATCCTCTAACCCATTTTTCTTCATCCTACTTGAGTAAATGTTTATCAGTCTGCATCTGTCACCTGACGTGTAATTAGTGTCATTGAAAGCCCTATTTGTACGGACGAGTTTTAAAAATCTGTGTTTTTAAGGAGGTTCATGTTTAGAACCTATGTTTGGGCACATTGCTATAAAGACCTCTCTTTAAGACATCTTGGAGACTTTCCAGAGCTGTCTGTGCTAGACGGGCGTGGGCTTTGGTTTTAAGTACCTTTATTGTTGCACTGCCAAACTGTAGCTAATATAAGAGTCAAGGTTTTAGGTCTGTAACAGTGTATGTACTAGTATAGCTTTTCACAAAGAAAGAAAGAGGAAAAAAACCCCCCTTCAAAATGGATTTGTAAAATACTCCATTAAGACCAATACTTAAATACTCTCCTCACTATAATAGGATAGAGTAAAACCGTAAATGTATAGGTATTTTAGTAAAGTATAAAAATGGCTGCTTTAAGTGTATACACACTTACAAATGACACATGGCAGATGCACACCTGGTGTTGTGGGATGCTCTGCAAAGAATTTGTGAAAAGTCTTAGAGGCGGCAGAGCTGAAAGTAAGGCAAGAAGAGTGTGTTTTAATCTATACGTTTGTTTGGATTACACCAAACTATCGATTAACATGTTTTAAATCAATCTGAAGTAGAGTTGGTCTTATTGCATGGTGTGATCATCACCTATATCATATGATATGAGGTATTTAATTTTTATTTTTTTCTTCACCAACTAAAATTTTAAAGGAATATTCTAAACACCATAACCACTACAGACTGTTTTTAGAATGGTTTGACAACTTACTTGAGTCCTACCAAGTATTTATAGCTGCAGCCCCTACTTCTGGTGTTCTTTTACAGAAAAATCCAGTTGGCTCTAAAGAGCTAAGCAGGTTGTGGATGGTTACTCTATATAAAGCTGCCTGGCTTCTCTTTCAGGTTGAAGACCAGATGCAGTAGAGGGTCACGTCACCCAGCTAAGTTGTAAAACCACACTAAACCGTTTGACTGCCTAATGTAGGATAAAGCCAGTGCGCCTGGCAGCAGATATTTTATTTTGAGTATTTAAAAGCTTTTGAAAGCTACAGCTGATATGGTCAGAAGTGGAGGTATTTCAGCCTTCTAGTTGCAGCACTAAATTGCGGCAGTTATAAATAAAAATGGGCAAGGGACCTCTCTGTAGCATAGCTTCTACAATGTGCTTAAGTAGGTATGGGTCTTTATGGCCCTTTAACTTTTTTCCTTCCTCCGTGATGTAGTAATGGGCACTAATATCTGATTTAATGTCTGCGGGTACTGCATTTGACTTACTGTACGTTCCCAGGAAACACTCCCTTTCCTGAGAACGTACAGTAGGTCAGATGCATTAAAATTTCCTTTGTTAGTTCTGCTGGTTCCTGGATTGTTTTTGAAAAGGCTCTGCCCTATTAACTGTGCTGTATTCTATAGCTAGGAAAGTGTTCCAAGGGAGGGTGGTAAATGTTGAAGGAACTTTACAGTGTTGGGAATACAAACCTGTATTCCTCGCATTATAGTGTAAAAATAGCTGTTTAGCTGACAGCCCCTTACCGTTGATTTAAAAGGTGACTCTTCTTTTACTCTCCTTTGCCACACTAGTCCTGTCTCCAGGCTGAGAACTCATGATGATCTTGGCCAATCCAATACTTTCCTACAGGAAAGCATTGGGAGGCTATTGTGCATGTGCAGCAAAATGCAACGCTGTGTCAATAAGAATCTCTTCATAAAGATGCAATCCGTTCAGTGTGCAGCATTGGAGTAGGAAGCACCTTTAGTGACTCCCACTAGACGTGTTACAGGCTATAGACTCCAGAACCACTACAATAAGCTGTAATGGTTCTGGTGACTAAAGTGTCCCTTTAACTTGTGAATTACTTTCAATGGGTTAACAGATCAGTCGATGACTCTATTGTTATGCAGAGTCTGTACAGCAGCCAAGAAGGCTTATTCAGCAGGATGCTTTGCAATCATATTTACTTCTTTCATCAATGTCACAAACTCCTTATTCAAGCAGAACACACCTAGAATGCGATGGAAAGCCTCCAATATGTGTATTTTTGGTAATCTTCAAGTGTTGGGGAAGGGCTGGAGCTTAAGAAAAAACAAAAAAAAAAAACATTGTTCTACTTGGCTCATCTTTAAATGCTAAAGAAAATTAAATCAGTGGTTCTTAACCCCTAGGTTTCAGCATTTTGATGTTAATACCAAGAAAGAGTTGTGATCCCCCGAGCATGACAGTTTAAAACAGAAATTCCTTTTTTTTTTTTTTACAAACCTGTAAATGCCAACATAATTTGAGAACTTGGTTCTTAGTAGCTGTTAGAGTATGCTTCCCTTAGCGGTGTCACCACTTGCGCATGGTGCTGTTGTGTAAGTGGTGTTGGCTTTGTTCACCGTAAACCGATTTGAAAATCTATAACTTTAAACAACGTAATGTAGGCCTAAAGAAATCACCTGCTAGAAGGCCCACTACTTTGGGGCATTGTCTGTAATGATAGTATGTGTTTGCAGCTCAGCAGTTTGCAAAAACACAATTGTTGGTAAGTAACTTGATACTTGGAGGCTTTAACAGAAGTGAAAATGAAACACCCAATACATAAAAAAAAAGACATGGACAATCTTGCACAGCATGGCAAAAATCCACCACATTCAAAGTATTTCTAATCCCCTGTGCTGAGACACATCTGAAACTGACATGTATTTGTGAAAAGTGCAAAGAAGACTGGGCTATATATACATCCATCTTCTTAAACAATACCGTCACCCGATGAATCTTGTCCTTTAAAATCAAGTTCATAACGAGAGGGATTGTGCGTGCAGTTTCTGTACGGAGCCCTTTAAAATGTACTTGTTACTATATACTGTGATGTGCAGAATTGAAGGGCTCATTTGTATGCATTGCTCAGTATTCTGTGCTGTTTTGTGGATATTCACTCTCTGCACTGTTTGTGCATATTGGTGTATCCATTATGTGAATTCATTCTCAATTATAGATGTCCTTTCATACTGAGGGTTTGAAGCCTTAAGTGCAGGTAGCGTTCATAGAATAAATAGCAAGTCCACTTGGAACACCGAGAGCTGCTGTATTGATTTTTGAAAATAATTATGGATACCCTGGTTTTAACAAGATCTTATTGATAAGTGTATTACACTGTGAATAATGACCGTTTGAGGCATCTGCCATTGAATTACCAGAGCCGTATTTCTCTAGTAGTGGATTCTGCTGGAAGATGCTGTCATTGAGTTATTGTAGACAGTATCACATTGGCTTTTGCTTTTTGGCAAATAGTTGTTTTATTTTGTGATCTGTATGGTCTGAAGCCAGTCCAAGATTCAGAATTTACAGATCAAGGCATATACCGTCACTTTCCCTCTGAGCACTTGGCCATAACCATGTATTGAACATTTACAGTTGATTGCAAGCAAAAAGGGTTACTTATAATTCCGATACATTTGTAACTATTTTTGGCTGATCACAGTACCTGTAGATGGACACAAAAATCTTAAATCCACCTATAAAGATTGTAAGGTAGGGTAGGCCCACCTCTGCAGCCTAGAATTAAGACGTAAAATGTGTTATGCTACAATACCCCAAAAAATAGTAATTGTAAACTGCACTTCTTTAATCTGTATTCAAACCAATACATGTACGTACATACATACAAGAAGTGTGAGACTGACATTCAGTGTTCAACAAAATCTGTGATCTATTAGTTCTTTCACAACGTTAACATTCCATGGCCTTTTCATTGATCGAATCCAGCAGTTACAACAAGTCGCTCAGTGGCCAGTTTCCTGTTCGCCTATCAATTACTTTTTTCCTTTTTTTTTGTACTCCTTATAAGGGAAACGTCTAGCACAATGAGCACAGATTTTGCTAAGGAAAAGGTGGAGTTCACATTACAAGCTGCTATTCTTACGTTCAAAACTATGCCTTCCGTTCTCCGCAAACGTTTAAAAGCCACTGAATTCTTTGCTTATACCATGCAAATCTGTCACACATGTTCCTGTTGAAACACCTGGCTAGAATTTACACCTTTATTATATTGGTGCGGCTTGTCCATCCTAAAGGAAGGCGTATCGGACCAGGTTACGTTACATTTAAGCCTGAAAGAATATTTTGAGGGGTTTATTTGCTACACAGTGAATGGAAAACTGGCAAATTTCAGTCTCAAATAACAAAGTTTTGAATTATAGCTGTGTTGGAGAACATTTCCTTTTAGCTATTTTGGCATGAATTTTGATGTTCTGTTTCAATTCAGTACAGTTCATTTAAGCTGTTTAACTAGTAATTGCAGCTGATTTATATTTACACCCTTCAATGACTTCACTAATTGCAAAATTGTTTGAAATGCCCAGGCTTGCTAGTGCAGGAAGGACAACTTAGTCAGTAGCTTTTAATTTATTAATGAATTCTAGAGCAAGGTAGTTTTTTATTTTATTTATTATTTATTATCCTCTCAATTGTCTGCAAATGAGCTAGTCATGATCATTGCCCCTCCTAAAACGGGGTTCAGTTTTTTTTAAAATAAAATAGTAGTTGGTATTAATGATCATTTGGGGGGTGGGGTTTAAATTAATGTAATTACATTTTTTTTTCTTCTTAATATATGTGAGTGAGTAGATTCTATGTTACAAACACAGTATAAATTGTGTAGATGTGTTAATTCCTGTTTTCCAATAAACAATGCTTGCCGTGCATAAATCCATCTTTGGGAATCACCACTAGGCTGTGCTCTCTAGATGTATGGGGTCTGATTGAAAATTAGGGTAACTTAGTTTCTGTGCAAAATATAGTAGATTGTCGTAGATTGCTGTGTGTATATGCGTAGTTTTTTTTTATTTTATCAAAGTGCAGAAATTTAAGACATTTTGTGATTGATTTTGTTTCAGGCTGAGGCTGAAGTAGCCGCATTAAATCGCCGTATTCAACTTGTGGAAGAAGAGTTGGACAGAGCTCAGGAACGCCTTGCCACTGCCTTACAGAAACTGGAAGAAGCAGAGAAGGCAGCCGATGAGAGTGAGAGGTGAGTAACAGGAGGGAATGTATCAATGTGTCTATAGTTAACCCTTCATAAGTGAATTTTCAATGTTAGCAGAGTAACAATAACAGGACACTCAAACTACTCAACAGTAGCTCAGTGCCCATAGATATGTAGATAGAAAGATATGTAGATAGCTAGAGCTGTGTGTGTGTGTGTGTGTGTGACTGACACACACACACACACACACACACACACACACACACACACAGTTAAAATTAGGTAAATGCAACCTCACATGAACAACAACGCATGACATATTATACTGTCATGATTTATTTAACACAAATAAAGCCAAAATGGAGTACTTAACACCATTTCTCTGTCTTGGTGTAGCTACAGCTTCAAAAGTGCTTACTGGACAAATAAGGATATACAATGTACAGCGCTATATAAATAATAAAATCATAAAAATGTAGCCATTATTTTTTGCTGCTTACAAATATTAGTGGCTTAAACAGTATCAATGTTTCAGTCCATAAGATTTTTTTGTTTGTTATATATAATCTCCCTTGCAAAACAAAGTATTGATACCTTGCCAGGAAATTATGTAATAATATCACTGGTTAACGCATGAGAAGTGTTTTTCTAATATTTCTAAGTATATTTTTTTTTGTTCATTTTTTAGAGGTATGAAGGTTATAGAGAACAGGGCAATGAAGGATGAAGAGAAGATGGAGATTCAGGAGATGCAGCTGAAAGAAGCCAAACACATTGCAGAAGAAGCTGACCGCAAATATGAAGAGGTAAGCCAAGGCAGCATCAGCGAGGAAGATAGTTCTAGGATTGTTTAATCTTGAATTAGTACAATGTAACTAGGCCAGATGGCTTTCCATCGGTGCTATGTTCTTTGCTGACTTGCACAAATTACCCTTATAAAAATAAATCTGGAATCATTAGGATTTGTTAACTTTAAGATATCCCTTTGATCCATAAATAAATTCAGCAGTAGATGCTGGTGCTAGTTCATCTGTCACCTTTGTGGGTCTTTGCATATTTCACACAGACCCCTGAAACTGATAGATTCGATGTGGGTCCGGTGGCTACAGGATGCAGAGAAGGTAGGTTTTACTTACCTCAGGCTGTCTCACATGGGTGCCGCCATCTTCGTCCTTCTGGTCTTCTTTGGTTCCTGGTGCTTCAGTTGTCAGGAGTTACGTCAGAGCTGTACTCTCCCGCATGTGCAACACTGTGGTCTACGGAGGATCCCATGGGTCCTCCATAGACAGATTCTGGGTTCCAAAGCTATACATTGTGACAGCTGCTGGCATTGGGCAAATGTTGACAGCAGAGCTTCACCTTTTGCCTAACCTCAGGCTTTTTACCATCAGCCCCCTTCTTTGTCTTATGGTATCTTTGGATTGCCCTCGAATTTCATTGAAAATCCAACGCAGCCTTGATCAGCATGTCATAAACCATATATCTTTATGAAATACTGAAAAGTGACAGATCTGCTTTTAAATTTTAAAATAGTTGTTTAGACTGCATCTTACACATTTGACCTAACTCATTACTGTACATGCTTCAAAGCTCCAGTGATAGTGTTGTTTCTCATGCATTATTGAAATGTGACATTTGCTGAGTGCTTCTATGCCATCTGCTGTCAATGCAGTTTTATTTTGTGCCATTCAAACCTGTGCAAAGCTAAACATAATCCTGGTTGTATTTTCTAATCCTCAAATTTATTTTTTTCATTTTTTTTTTTTTTTAAGGTTGCTCGAAAACTTGTCATTCTTGAGGGCGAACTTGAGAGAGCAGAGGAGCGCGCAGAAGTGTCAGAACTGTAAGATTTCACGTTTGTCTTTGCATCTTGTTTCCGGTGTTTAGAAATTGTTCCTCACAAATTATGTGAAAATCTAACATTGTGTAGATATTCGCAGTGCAGAGCGGCCACATTAGCAATATTGTGTATGCATATATATTTACAGAAAATAATCCAGTTGGGGATAGCTTTGATGGATTGTGTACGTTTCAGCAACTACTCCATTGTAACACTATACAGCTACACGTGCTGCTCGCATATTTGAAGATAGTGATTAATAAACCATGAGTCTATATGATCTACTGAAAGTAGGTTGGGAATGAAGTTTGAACTGCTGCTTAAGCTTGCTTTGTGGTCGTTGATCTTACAACACTTCTGCACCTGTTGTTTGTTATATATTTTAATTTTGTGCATTTTATTACAGCAAATGCAGTGATTTGGAAGAAGAGTTGAAAAATGTGACCAACAATTTAAAATCTCTTGAAGCTCAGTCTGAAAAAGTAAGTTAATATGTGAACTTATGAAGTGCTATGCCATTGCTGAATAAAGTGTAAAACCTTACAGGGATACGCTTGACACCAAAACAACTTTTAGCTTAAAGAAGCAGTTTTAATGTAAGGATCATGCCCCTGCAGTCTCGTTGTTCAATTCAATGCCATTTGATCACTTTTGTTTCTGTTTATGCAGCTCTAGTCACACATCCAAGGACTGTGACTTATACAACTTTCATGAAAAAAGAAAATATTTTTCAACCAAATGTGACAGCACATCATGTTCACTTCAGAAGTTATCTCATGCTCTGTTAATTGAATTTTAATCACACACAGGAGTGCCCTGCAGTCTATTAACAGAACAGGAGATAAGAAATTCTAAATTAAACAGACTGTGCAATAAAAGTTTAAACAGTTCTCTCTCTACTGGAAATGTATAGGTCACATGCAGATGAGGTGTGAGTAGGGCTGCATAAACAAAGTGCTTTAGCTCCTAAATGGCAGAGAACTGAGCAGTGAGACCGCAGGGGCATGATGTACACACCAAAAACACTACATTGAGCTAAAGTTGATTTGGTGCTTAGTCTTTTTAAATCAACCTATAGTTATGTTGCCTTTTATGTAATTTACTGACTGGATATACGAACGCACAATATTGTAACATTTTATTTTCAAAGCATATACATCATGTGCAGAGTAATTGTTGGAATATAAACGTTGAGCAAACTGGAACAATAGATAACTAGAGAATGGAGGATAGGGTTACATAAAAGGTAAAATGTAACATATATAAGTGCAACCTTGTCTTATTGTACAATATAATGTGACACCATTCAGTAGCAAAAGTATAAAACATTGTAATAGATTTTATGTGAAGACACATTTTGTGAGCTGAGACAGGGTTTGAGTGCTTTTTATATATCGACTGTAAGCTCGTCTGAGCATGGTCCTCATCTACCTATTCCTGTATCATTTTGTAATTGTCCCATTTATTGTAAAATTTCACCCTTTCAAATTATTGTAATGCGCTGCAGAATAAGTTGGCACTATATACCAATAGTAATAATAATTTGGAGAATTTTTAGATCTGTATTCAAACTGAGATTTCAAAATATTAATAGCCACATTTGGGAACTATCTGAATATTTAACTACTTCTGTACTATGGCCAAGCAACTCTGATTTCACATTTCTGATACTAAAGGCATATATTTTATTTTAGTACTCTGAAAAGGAAGACAAATATGAAGAAGAAATAAAGATTTTAACAGACAAACTTAAAGAGGTAAGTAGTTATTATTACATAGGATGTGATATTTTGTGATGCACAGATATTTTGTACATGTCAAAATTCTCTATTTTGTTCTAACTATGCAGGCAGAAACCAGAGCTGAGTTTGCAGAAAGAACAGTTGCCAAACTAGAAAAGACCATTGATGACCTGGAAGGTAAATACATTTTCTGCTCTTCTGATAGTCTTTAATTTTGCCTGGAGTCTTAAATTTTTTTTTTATGTCTCATTAATTATAGTGTCTACTAAGTAGCGTTGATTATAAATACAGTATAAGCTAGCTTCACAGAAGAAGCACCCTCCTCCAGAGCAATAGAAACAATGGCTAGACTTTTGAATAGTGTTGAATGATCTGAGTGTCCATGATAATAGTGAATTTACCAGGGATTTGTAACATTTATTCAAAAATCTGGTGCATGTTAGCAACCTGTGAGTTTAGGGCTTACATCCTCTTCAGATCCACATGAATCTGAAACTGGTGTTTTAATTGAGTGTTGCAGCCATGCAGCTTAGTCATGATATGATTGTTTAGTGGTTTTATTTCATTTTACAATTCCTGCAATTTTAGGCTCTCTATTATTCTGCATTGTGGAGGAAATGATCCTTGCAGCAAACCAATAATCTGCCAATATTTGGCTGAAAAAAAAATGTTTTGGTTCCAGGATTAAGTTGTTGCAGATGTTTCTAGTAGTGAAATTGTGTATCGTAATTCTCTTCAATTAAAATTTCATTAAAACCAACAGTCCAGTAATATCTATAATGCTCTCTAATATAAATTTCTTTCTCTTTCATGCTTTCCTCACTTTCCTCTTCGTGTACTTGGCTTTTCTATCTCCGAATTCCCGCCTTTTCTGTCTACTAGATGAATTGTATGCCCAGAAGCTGAAATACAAAGCTATCAGTGAGGAGCTTGACCATGCTCTCAATGACATGACTTCCTTGTAGACCAACCCATTGTTTCCCTGTCATGTTTGGTCTTCCTCGTTCTCCTCTGCAAACTTCTATACTGTCTGTTTCTAGCTTCCCTGTTCAGATTAAATTGACAAATAAAAACATCTCTGCACCTTTTCCTCTCTTCATTTTCTTTTTGTTTGTGTGGCCTGTATGCCATATAGATTTAATAGCTGTGTGTTTGTATGCGGTATAAAAAAAACTTGGAAAACCTATATACAAAGATTTTCACATCCCTTATAAAATGTGTTTAGCAGGCACTTGTTTATAAACAAAAATACTTTCCTCTAGCCAGGAAAAATGCACCTTTTACAGTGACAATGCAATGAATGTTGCGTTTTTAAGTGTCTTACAAAACTGTGTGAGCCAAAAACAGGTTAATTTCTAGCAGGGGAGGGCTGGCAGACTTAGGCCTGGGGGGAAATCCAGTCCAGTGGCCCATTGCACCTAGAGGAGAGTAAACCCACATTTCCCATGTGATTGAAACGGTGGGGCAGTCACCTAAACACACACACTTGCTGATTTGACAGGCACATGCACACACACACACACACACACACACATTGTTACAGGCATACTGACTCAGACAGACATACTGACACACACACAGACAAACTGGCACACACACGAGCTGGGGGGGGGGGAACTTGGGCTGAGGAAGGGGATTAAAAAAAAAAAGTCTTAGCTTAGGCAAGGGAGGGGGAGGCAGGAGCATCCTGGGGGGCAATTGCCTCCCTTCCCAGCCCGCCCCTGGTTTCTAGGCTTGCCAGGTAAAGCACAAACAGAAATACCAACAGCTGGTAGAAGAAATGCCGTCCATCTATCATGGTCAGTAGTGTCTGTACAATAGTTTCATCTGTTTCCACAGCTCTCAAATGCCATTTGAAATTTACCATCTTGCAAAGTAGATTCTCACACCAAAAAGTAGATGCATTTTCTGATTCATTTCCTGTTGGATTCCACCAGAACAATGTTAATAGTTCGCTCACCTTCTATAAGCACATTGTGTGCTCGTCTGAGCAAGTCGCCCTTAGAATTTACATACCCACCTGACTTGCCAATATGTTTTGAAAAGTGTATACAACATGCTTATACATTGACATCAGTGCTGAAATAATCTTAAATATGGATAGTATGTGTTTTTGTTTTGTGTTTTTATAGGATGTATTGCGGGTTTACAGTTTTTTGATTTCCAACTTTACACTTCCATGTGAGGCATGTGTAATTCTCAGTCCAATAGCAACAAGTTGTAATTTTTATCACACCCAGCATAGAAACGAGGTATTAATTGACATGGAGACATTAAAATGTTCGACAACCACAGATTACCATTTGTTAAATCTTAAGATTTTGTAGCACGTAAAAAGCCAGCAGTGGCTTTGGTTGGCGAGACCATTTTTTTGACTACAAACATGTCACTAATGATTTCAACAAGCATTGCAACTCGTGAACGGTTTTTAAATTATGGAAAATAGATTTTTTTTTTTTTTTAATGGCTGTGTATAGAACATATAATTAACTGTTTCATTTTAATTTTTTGTTACAGAAAAGTTGGCAAATGCCAAAGAAGAAAACTTAGGAATGCATCAAGTTCTGGATCAAACACTACAAGAACTGAACAATTTATAATGTGAAGATGCTTTTGCATTCCTTAAACTATTCCTTTTACACAGTTCCTCCCCCAACCCCCACTATCTCACCTATAATCTTAGCATTCCAGGAAAGAAGAAAAAACAAATACAAACGTGACCAAATATTATTTTTAAGCAACCTCTGAAAGTACAAATCCAGAATCTCATTTTACATTGGTGTATTGTACTTTTTTTAAAATTGCTTTTTTTTTTTTTTTTTTTATACAAAGGTCCCAATGTACATTCCATTCCACAATAGTCATGTTATACTTTATCTTTCTCATGTTATCCTGTTACAGGACCAAAATGTGTTCATATAAAAATATGAAAAACGATATAGGAGTTTTGTTTTCTTTTTTTTTTTTTTTTTTTTAATACAATCAATAAAATCAAACATATTTAATTGTAATTTATTCTGTCTGTGGCAAAATTATATGTGTGAAAAAAACCTGATCATTTGCAGTTCGATAGTTAAAGGACCACTATAGTGCCAGGAAAACAAACTCTTTTTCCTGGCACTATAGTGCCCTGAGGGTGCCCCCACCCTCGGGGTCCCACTCCCGCTGCGCTGAAGGGGGAGGAAGGGGGTTAATCCCTTACCTTTTTTCCAGAGCCGGTTCCCTCGGGGCTGGGACTCTCCTCCCTCTTCTGATGTCATCGGCTGAATGCGCATGCGCAGCAAGAGCCGCGCGTGCATTCAGCCAGTCCATAGCAAAGCATTCTCAATGCTTTCCTATGGACGCTGGCGTCTTCTCACTGTGAAAATCACAGTGAGAAGCGCGGAAGCGACTCTAGCGGCTGTCAATGAGACAGCCACTAGAAGCTGGTTTAACCCTAATGTAAACATAACAGTTTCTCTGAAACTGCTATGTTTACAGCAGAAAGGGTTAACCTTAGGTGGACCTGGCACCCAGACCACTTCATTAAGCTGAAGTGGTCTGGGTGCCTATAGTGGTCCTTTTAAGGCTATTACGGATTTCTCTGCCAATTATGACTGCACCATGTAATTTAAAGAAGTAACTAACTTGCTATCATATTTGTTTATTTATATTGAAGGGAGGGATCTGTTTTATTTTAAATTGGATTTATAGAATGGCATTAACTAATCTTTTAGTCACACTAATGCAGTAAAATCTAGAGACCCCACATCCAACAATATAGAAAGCGAACAAGGTGCCACTCGGGTGAAGTGTAAGCAGGACTTTGCTTATTTTACACATGCTGTGCTTTATAATAGGTTTGATTCCATGCACCCTTTGACCCATGGCAATACTCCCCTCGTACCTTGGCTCTCCCCACTGAGATTCAACCTTATTGTAAGGATTAATTTATGTGTTTGAAAGCACATGGGGTGGTTTTATAGTTGACTGCAAACTATTATTGTAAACCGAGTTAAGACTCCTGTTCTTTACTGGAATCACAAATTCATTAATTAGGCCCACACTAATTATCAGCTTCTAGGTGATGAAACCCCTAATCCAGCAAAGTGCCAGGTTCTCCAGGCAACCTGCCCACTATAGAGGGCTATAATGGGTAGGTTGCTTAGAGTGCCTTTTTATACTTTTTTTATTTTGGCATTTTAGGCACCCTGAAGCATTGAATAACAGGGCTGGGAGAGGACATAATGAGAGACGCTGCTCTGGGATGATGCCCCAGTCTTTCTAACTGAAATTATTTTGTGAGTCAGGACAAGTAAATTGGGCTACCAATTTAATCCATTGGTTTATTGGTTATTCTCCACACCCCTGCTAGTTTAAAGGGTAATTGGCAGAGCATTTAGCAGTGGGTCCAGAGGGGCATTGTCTGTGTATCAAAAGCATTTTATTAAGCCAAGGTGGTTTTGGTGCTTATAATGGTCCTAGATAAATAAACTTCATTAAATCCCCCTTAGCTTCCCACAAGATATTAAATGTGTTGTTCAAAGCTATCAAATAACATACATCTCAACTGTCATAAATGTGGTGAGACCATCCTAAAGTCAATGACTTGCCACGCAGTTCTGTTTAGTTTATTGGAGTCCCTCAAATGAGGACAGCAGGGAAAAGTCCTCAGCAAGCTAAGTAGTGAGTGGGGTTGATCAGCATGATAGGTGGTCAACCTGCAATGCCTTTAGGCCTCACCGTTTTATACATACTGGCACTCCACCTAAAGGCCTGCCACCACCTGTTCCAACTGTATAACTAACAATGTTCAGAAAGTAAAAGACAAGATAGACTCCCATTTTAGCTGCTCCACTTCCACAGAGGAAGCAATGGCATGTTTTGAGTGAGTGTGTGAATCAAATTGCTATGGAGGTGTTTAAAGCAGCCTGTATTACCTTTAGTGTATCTAGAGATCATATAGAAATAACATGAGATGTGGACTCAACATGCGACCGTATATACTAGGGTATAAGTCGACCAGAATATAAGTCGAGGCCCCTAATTTTACCCCCAAAAACTGGGAAAACTTATTGACTTGAGTATAGACCTAGGGTGGGAAATGCAGCAGCTACTGGTAAATTTCTAAATAAAATTAGATCCCCCCCCAAAATTTTTAATTGAATATTTATTTACAGTGTGTGTGTGTGTGTGTGTGTGTATGTATGTATGTATGTATGTATGTATATATATATATATATATATATATATATATATATATATATATATGCAGTGTGTGTGTGTGTGTAACCTTGGTGGGGGGAGGGCATTTTTAATTTTTTTAATATTATTAAATTTTTATTTTTTTCCGTCCCCCCTCCATGCTTAATACATGGCCAGGGAGGGGGGCTATATTATTCCCTGGTGGTCCAGTGGATGGGCTGTGCAGGAGGGGGTCTGGGAGCAAGCTATTACTTACCTTTACAGCAGCTCCCTTCTCCGTGCCATTCAGCTCCAGTGTAAATCTCGCGATCTGCGTGCCGAATCTGGAGCTGAACGGCACGGAGGAGAAGGTAGCTGAACGGAGCTGCTGTAAAGGTAAGTAACAGCTTGCTCCCAGCCCCCAACAGCCCATCGGTCCTGGTCTGTATTATGGCAATGTAAGTTGCCATAATACAGACACTGACTCGAGTATAAGACGAGTGGAAGCCAGAATGTAGGTGGCGGAAGCGGAATCCAAATCGCTCTGTACAGACAGAGCAAACCAATACTGCAGTAACAAGCTGTGAGGCTGATGTGGCCCATTTAACAACGTGGGTAGATGATCTGGACAATCGCAGTCAACTGAATCTGCGCATCCGCGGAGTGAGTGAAGGAGGCTCTTTGGAAAATATTCCTGAGCTCCTGAGACCGATCTTCAGCCAGGTACTGGGAGATGCCATCACCTACCTAGATTGGGCCTGGTTAGAGCCTACCGAGCACAGAGACCCCCACCGGCACCTGAAGACCAACCCAGGGACTTCATATGTTGCCTAGACAACTACCAGGTGAAAGAAGAAATCTTAAGCACAGCCCGCTGCATGGGCACCCTCTTCTTAGAGGGCCAGACAATAACCATCTACCAGGACCTATCTCGCTACACACTACAGGCCAGAAGAGCCCTGTGTCCAGTAAAGTCAGCCCTGCAAACCAGTACCGCTTGGGTTACCCATTCTCCCTGTCAGCACGATGTGGCCAAGATTTCCTGGTAGTGCGAAAGCCCGAAGACGTCCTGGAATCTTTGCGCGCTCTGAGCCTTCCTCCGGTAACGGTCCCCAACTGGCTTGCAAGACCTTTCCTCCACACAGAAAGAAACAATAGTAAAATCCGTGGCGCTACAATAAGCAGCTGAGACACACTTAGTGGGAAAAATCACTAAATCCCACAGCACAAAGTGAACACAGATAAAAGTAGTGTGCAGCGCTAATGAATAATATCACCAAGTACAATCTAATACATGCACTATAATAGTGTAAACCCAAATAGAGAAAACACACAAATACCCCAGAATATACAGGATCAGCTGGTATAAAATTCAATAGTACATCCCATTTCTGAAAGTCTGTATTGGGTGATGGTGTTTCTTGATGGTTTTCAAAGATGTTTTTCTATATGAAGCTTGTTCCTCGAAGCAAAAATGGTGTAGAACAGGCATACAAATTAAAGATCAAGTATAACCATTTATTTGTATAAAATATAAAAATCTTACATGAAAGCAATGATGATGCCGTTCACAGGTAAGTACCATATACAAAGCACAACGCGTTTCGACGACCTCACTCGTCTTCCTCAGGTGCAACATTAAATCACAAGCTTCAAATACATTTAAATATAAAAAAGAGCGCGGGAAACGGGTACCTCCAAACCCGCCCCCTTTGCTCAACAACCAAACGGCCGTGCAGATTTTCATTCTTCTTTTTGGTCCCGTCCGGCTGTTATAGTTGCGGCTATTTCACTTCCGGTTTTCGGCACTAAGCGTCTCGTTTCCGGGTTTTCTGCGTTCCACGAAAAGCCAATCAGGTTCTCTATGCGTTCCAAGGAGATTCACTATGCGTTCCAAAGATCGTTCCTTCTCTGAATGAATGGACTTTGATGACTACAACTTAAAATCCATGATGTCCATGATAAATGTCCATACATACAATATAGGAGAAGAAAGGGAATATATAAAGCAATTAAAAAACAGAGTAAAATACAAACTAAAAGTGAATATAAACCTATCAAGTCCCTATAACATAAATAGTTCCTTAAAATTAAATATAATTATACATATCGAAATCGATATTTAACCCTTGAGGAGAGAGGGTTTCTAAATCGAAGATCCATTTCATTTCTGTTTTGTTAAGGATCTTCACATGGTCACCCCCTCTCCAGGGTTTTAACACCTTCTGAATTCCCATAAAATGCAATACTTTCCTCCACAGCCCAATGGACCCCAGCTGCCACATGGACGAGACCCAAGCCTAGGTAGGCCCCAACCACCACACATCTGATCTTGCGACCTGGTCAAGCTAGACACGAGGTCTGAGCACCTACTAATCTACACCACACCGGTACAAAACGGGGGACAAGTTCACTGATTTGGAAGCACAGCATACTGTAAGTACTTTACATGGGGATCCACAAACAACTGTACACTCCGCAAGCTGGGGATGTGGGGGGAGACACCTGGGGTGGGGGACGGGAAGGCGGCTCTCCACGACATGGCCCAAGTGATCGTGAGGGGCCACTACCAGACTGGGGTGAGAAATGGCGGTCAGTCACTCACCAGTTCAACTTAAAACGAGAGGGGGGGACCGTACTAGATTGGGGTGGGGGACGGGGTTCACAGATGGCACCTGAGGGACGCAACATTGAGAACTCTGCAGCCACGTATAGACTCATCTGTCACTACACCCCCATTCTCCAAGACATATGGACGCTTCCACCAGCCGAAACAAAACTCCTAAACACAAGCTAAGAGTATCCACACTGCAGGGTGGA